GGGGAGCCGGACTTGACGGTGCCTGTAGAGATGTTAGCAAGGAACAAAGCTACTGTCAAGGAGGTGATCCGTGCGGTCTTTGTTCAACATGTCTTACAGACCTTACTTGGTTTAGTATGGTTGGAAGATGAAGCGACGGTGTTGAAGAGAGAGTTTTATAGAGATCATCTAGGTGATATGACGGGATTGGCACCGAAAGTCGCGACATCTGTTTTGGTGTTATTGGGGAAAAGAACGGGAGGGAAAATATTGGAGGATCATGGAGAAGCTTTGGTTAGATGGGTGTATTGGTGGGGTATACCATCCGCTCAGATCTTCTTGGGATTGTGAGTCTCCTGTTGCTTTCGTTTGTCACATCCCCTCCCCCATGCAATACGTCTTTATCCAAGACCCCCCTCCATCATCTTCGGGAAGCCTTGTATTTCATAACGTGTTCTGACTTTCAGCGTCGTCATCGACACCTATCAATACTTCATGCACCGACTCTTCCACACTTATCACTTTCTCTACCGACATATTCACTCAGTCCATCATCGTCTTTACTGCCCTTACGCCTTCGGTGCGCTGTACAACCATCCCCTCGAAGGAGTTCTCTTCGACACGCTCTCAGCGGCTATCGCTCATTCCCTCCTCGGCCTGTCTGCGAGACAAGACATCTTGCTGTTCACTTTCAGCACGCTGAAGACTGTCGACGATCATAGCGGTTACAGATTGTGGTGGGATCCGTTGCAAATGATCTTTGCCAACAATGCCGATTACCATGATATTCATCATCAGGGATATGGCATCAAGTCAAATTACAGTCAGCCCTTCTTGTGAGTTTTCATTTAACCCTCTAAGTGGATCCCTCTGCCATCGTCCCTTCATTTCTCAGCAAGATGGGAAGCTTGACTTCTTCTGGACCGCTAGCGAGCAAAGGTGTATTCACGTTCTCCGTCTGTTGTCATAGCCATGCATGACGCTGACGTGTAGCATTCACTTCGATGTGCTTCTCGGTACACGAATGACGCGCGAAGACGCAGACCGCAAGGCTCGACCCAAGAAGATCGAATAATGTGTACTTTTAACCATACCTTTCGTTCTGTACTACACTACTATCACTCTCCCTTGTGACCTTCCGTCATCCGTTTATATCTTTGTTTGTCTAGATTGGGGCTTCCATTCGTTATTGCGCTGGATTAATGCGGTGATTTACCTGTAATAACTCATGTCATTGCCCCGGTGGTGCTTTCCTTTCATGTGTCAATCTTTCTAGCCCCTTTGATCCACCATAATCACTTTGACTCTCATTTACTGATAGGAAAATGATAGCTGATCACCCTCACGTAGCTTATCTATCACTCACTAATCAGTCAAATCAACCCTCCCTTCATCCCTCCCAGCAATGACGATCTTTCCTTCTCAACCTTCCCCCCACCCATCCTTTGTCCACGACCTACGCCGTCATGACAAAGCTCCAAAAACGCCATATTTACCAAACAAACTTCCTTTCCCAATGTCCTTCTTTGTCCTTTTCAAGTCTCACTTTCCACTGCCTTTCTTACCCTTTGTCTCCCTTATACAGCACAAAACGTCACTGTGTCCTCTCCTCCGCCGGGGGTGGGGAGTTGGGAGAAGCAAGTGAAAGGGAAGATGGTCATGAATGGGTAAATTGTCAAAGGTTGTTTGACAACAAGAGGACGCTCCTTGCAACTTGTGAGACGAAATGGTGAAGAGAGAAGAAGGGGGAGAAGTGATGCTTTGTTTGTCTTCTCCGCATTTTGCATAGTTCTTTACAACCACGTCAGAGGGAACTCTTCCCCGTTCAGTCTTTTCAACTCGTCACTTTTCTCCCCGTAGCCTTCGTTCTTTCTCGTACGAAACCCAGCGCTTATTCGTTACTCCCAACGTTCAATACTTGGTATCTTTCAGCGACGAATTCGTATTCCAGAAGGTGAGTTCTCTTCTTCCCCTACCTCAAAACTTGTATTCCTACTCGTTTGACACCCTCAAGCGACCTTCTCTCACACTTCCGCCATCCTCGGTGCGGTGTTCTCGCCGGAGAACATTGCACAGGAATTGGAATGTGGGACAACCTACACAGCAAGAAGACTTCGCTGAGTAGAACAGACGTTTGCCACCCACAGACTTTGAATCTATCATAGACTGTCTTAACTTCAACTCGCCAACGTATACTGCTTTAGCATAGCACAGTCAAGGACTCGACAACATGTCACCAGATAAATCACTTTCAAACATATTTGACCCACTTTCTTCCCCTCCACCTCTACCAGCATCACCCGCACCAGCCTATACGGCATTGCCATATCGTGACACTGCATTTCATGTAGCTCCTCTTCTCAACAACAAGTTGGGTGAAGTAGAGCTGGAGACTTGTGATGGGAAGAGGTTTTTGGTACATAAGAAAGTGCTTGAGAGTGAGACTGTCTTTTTCCATATTTAGTGAGTGTGGGATCTCTTTGAAACTACATCCACTTCATCTCCCTGTTTTACATGAAACTTTCACCTGCCCCTGATCTGGTCCGGTCTACCCACGCTGACATACGTTCACCCCAATCACATTCCATCAATAATACGATTACAGGGTTCTTGTACATATTAGAAGCCCCTCTCCTCCCACCTGCACATTAGGCAGAGATGCGGAAGATTGACATGTCTGGACCTTTTAGACACACGCTAATAGCTAGCTACGGTTTCGTCCCTCTTTGGCGTGTACAATCTCAACCTCATAATCTTGAACCCTATCATGTTTCTCAAACCACCGTTACAGCTCCTCCACCAGCTATCACTTCCTCCCCATTAAACCTATTATGTTTACCTAAAATCCTTTCTAATCTTCGTCATTCCCCTCCTCCTCCTCCTAATCGTTCTGAAAGTCCTCCTCCAGCATTCTCTGACCTCCCTCTTCCCCCTCCTCCTCCTCTCCCACCTAAAGACGTGAATGCACCAACACCAACTACTTCCCCATACACTTGGGTAGTCCCCGAAACAGCTTCAGTCTTAGAAGCTTTCCTTTCCCTCATTTATCCAACGGGAACATTCGCACCTAATCAATTATCTTCTTTAGATCTAACAAGTAAAGTCGTACGTGCCGCCATGGGATATCAATCTTCTAAAGCACTTTCTTCTTCTCGTGATAAATTAGGAGAATTCATACAAAATTCTCCTGTTGAAGTATACGCTTTAGCATGTTTTTTCAAATTTACAGATTTAGCAAAATTATCTTCAACAACAGCTATGATTGTTCAACCTAATGAATGGACACAAGAATCTAGAGCTTTAATGGGAAGGTTAGGTGCAGAGAAATTGTTAAATTTAAGAGAAGAAAGATTGAATGGATTGAAAAGGATTTTAGAAAGACAAGTTGAAAAAGATGAACATTCTGATACTTGTGTTAGAAGAGGAATGATGGAACATTTATGGCAAAAACATAGAGAAAACGTTAAAGAAGGTTTAAAGGTCGAAAGTGAATTGTTGGAATTATTGACGGTTGATTTAAGAGGTGGTCATTGTGGTGATTGTTTAGTAAGTTTGGGTGAAACTATTAGGAAATGTTTATTGGACGCCAATTCTTTACCTAAGACTATTTGAATGGTTTTTTCCGTTTGGCCTGGTTTGTAAACGAAATGAGACGAAATGAAGACGTGAATATACAAGACGTTTAAATTCGAAATATAACCAACAAGACGTTTAAGATTGATAAAGATAAAATCCAATCAGTCAATCAGTCAATCAACCACTAGATCATCTGCTTTATGATGATTCTCACCAATGGAGTAAACGATAATTACCAAACAGTCTTATCAAGTATATCAAACAATACACGATACTATCCAAACACCCTCCTTCACTGTCATTACGACGATTTTTAACCCCCTCCCCCTCGTCCCTTCGCATCCTTCGCACCCTTCGTTCAATCAAGATATCCAATTGTAGTTTCCACAATGACGGTTTGTAGCTTTTTCACGAATGCACTTGTTTATGTTATTTTCCCATTTTCCATCTCCCAGTTTGTCTCTTTGTCTCTTTCTCAACTCAATAATATTTCATATGTGGGTCTACGAGTAATCTAATCAAATCGTACACTAATACGTCAAAGATTCTATATAAATGTATTTGCATTGATGTATATCATGTCATCGTACAGAATACACAAGTATACTCGTATAAAATCATCCTTGACCTGATGAAATTGATGTATTCCCTCTTCCCATATCCATCGTCGTCGTCGTTCCCTCTGCAAGTCTGACGGAACGTCTAACATCCGGACTAAGACTTCTCTCTTTCAATTTCCCAGAATTTGAATACAAAGATTGTCTCTCTGTCCCCGAATATGTAAAAACCTGTTTATCCTTGCCAGTAGATAAAAGAGGTTGTCTTTCCGTCCCCGCAGACACAACACTTGATCTTTCCAAAGGTCCAGGTCCAGGTCCATCTTCCAAATATCTCAACTTTCTCCTCATCTTACTTCTTTTTCCTGTAGTTGAGACGGGTCGAGAAGATCCATATAAGACCGCTTGACACATGATGGTCAAGTCAAACATTAATGTCCCACCTGATCCTAATAGATAAGGCAAAGCTTCGAGTAGATATGAAGATGATGATGAGAGAGGGTTTAAGAGGATCGATAATACGTATGTTGTGTTACCTAAGAATGCGAAGAGGAAGAGTAAGATTGATAAACCTTCTATAGATTTTCGTGTGAACTGAATATCAGCATATTGTCATTTGCAAAATTGAGATTTCAAGTTGTGATATAGAGTCGAAACTCACATTCATCCATATTTGAGGTAAACGAGAAGCTAGATATAAGGTAGTACATGTCCAAGCTGATATCCTCCCAATGACACGTTCGGTTGAAGGCGGTACGTCTGTATTTGGTTGAGGTTGTATAACCGTGTCGTCGGGTATCAACTTCGTTTCGGTGTCAAAGGGTTGTGATTGAGGAACATTCGTGTCGTCAGAAAGTATAGACGTTTCGGTATTGTGTAAAGGTAACCGTGGATTGGCAAATTTGGAATATCTGATTGAAGGAATGTTCACTGTCGATTTCAATTGTTGTCGATGTGAGAGTACCACACCTGAATAAGAAGAAGAAAGTGGATTCGTAGAAAATTTACTCCATCCTAAAATCAATCCAAAACTCATAAAAGCAATTCCAGCAGCTCTTTTACCTTTTCCTCTACTACTTTGTCCCCTTACCAAACTTAAACTTCTACTAGCACTTCTTCTCCTCATTTGAACACCTTGACCACCTTCATTAGGTAAACCATCAATACCCTCGATCTCTTCAGGTGGAGGAGTAGGAACTTCAACTCTATCTCTTCTTAACGTTCTCCCTCTATTATCTAACAAAGCACTAGTGGATAAAGACATTATTCTTCTATCCCCACTAGCGGAAGTACTTGTACTTTGAGCAGACATTTCAGAATAAAAACTTTCCATCATTCTATCTCCATGACCATGACGAGAATGACTTCTTCTAGCTTCTGCTCTTTCTGCAACTCGTGCTACATCTAAAGCGGCTTCGTATATCGCTTGATAAGAATCGGTCATGGTAGTCGAAGTCGTTATCTCGGGTCCGAATGAGCCGGAGATGTACGACTGATGTGAACGTAATGGTCTTGGTCGCTTACGGTTAGGTGAATGAGTAATGGCGGCGTTGGATGTTGATCTATGTCTAGAGGAAGGAGGTATGGAAGGAGGAAGAATGAGGGATTGCCTAGGAGAGTATGTTATTGGGGTTTCATGTGAAGGAAGAGAGGGTCGAAGGATATGTTGATAATAATAGAATTGACCGAGAAGGGTAAAGTCGACGATGCAGAAATAAGTAGCGAGATATGTCTGGATATGAGTCATATATCTTATAGATTCCATATATCTTACTAGAACCCATACATGTTAACGAATGAGTTGAACGCTTGGGATGAAGGGTAAAGGAGGAGGTGATTGAGAAGTATACAATATAGATACTTACTTGGAATGGTAATTGATCAGTCAAGATACAACCTATGAGATTGGTCATGTCCCCTGATAGTGAGTATATGTCCAAGGAGCAAGGTACGAAGGACATACCGAATAACCAGCTACAGAGGAAAGGTAGAGATAAACCGTCAGAAGACTTTAGACGAGCGTTCTTTATCACCTGAGGGAGTTGGGCGCATAACCAACAAGAAATGCTGGCGTACCCGAGCAAGTCGGCCGTGGCCACTCGGGAGGTATATTGGCCCATATCTCTTGTTGACACGCTGGAGAAATGAGTGTTGAAAATGAAAGTAGAGACATGTAGGTGCAGACGAAGAGAAGAGAAGAGATGTTGGTGTTAATGTGGAAACATAGATACTATCGAGATACATACATAGCCCCTAGTAGTAGCAGTAGTGGGTGAATGGACGGAAGCAAATTGGGCTCCTCTCACCCATCGAGGCTACAACCACAACTCTATCCACAATACAACTTGTATCTCAACACCCCTTGCCGACACATCATATACAGCACTCGGTCAACACTGGCATTCATCAAGTACCGGGTAGAAACAGGAGTATCTGTCATACCGACAACCACGATAAGTGAACCTGTACGACCTTCAGAGGGCTGGCTATATCACAGAGGTCACGCTCGGATCACCCTCCTCAACCCCCAATCTCAACATGTATCAATCTCAATATCCACCTTCTTCTTCCTCTTCCACTTTCCCTCCTCCCACGGGATCCTCTTCTGGTCCTTACCGTACTCATATGATACCTGTACAGGTCAAACAACCATACACAACTGCCTCTTTTCCTCCACCACCCGTACCCCCTCAGACGGCCTTCTCACCCATGCCCTCTGGTGCTTCCGCCCATTCTAGCAGACATCATGCACCTCAACAACCTCACCCTCCTACCCAATACCAGCATTACTCTCGAACAGCTAATGCGAGATACAATGTCCCACCTACTTCTGCCGGCGTTCAACCGCAAAGACACAAAGGTACGTTGGCACCAGGCCAAATGGTACAAATAGGCGACTACCAAGTTCGCGTGGAGAGGTATCTCTCTGAAGGTGGTTATGCTCATGTTTATTTGACAACATCGGAAAAACCTATCTATCCTCCGACTCAGATTGAGAAAAGGGGTAGATGGGGCGAGAAAGGATACACTCAACATTGTTTGAAGAGAATCGCTTTTGAGGACGAAGCAGTGTGGTTGGATGTGAAAAAGGAAATTCAGGTCATGGTGGGTTCAAAAATATCAAGCAAGAGATTGTGACTAAATGTCAGAAATATTTACCGCCAAACCCACACCTGACTCAATATCTCGCATCAGCTCATAATCGTTTGTCCAACGGCACCCACGAGGTTTTCATCTTGATGGAATACTGTTCCGGTCAGTAGCTACAAATGCGTCTCAAAATCAACTAAGTTACAGGTGGTGGAATCATAGATCTTCTGAACAAACGTTTGCGAGATCGACTGAAAGAAGTCGAAATTCTCAACATCTTCACCGATGTTTGTGAAGTGAGTGTCTCGTCTTTCCGCAGTCAAATCCAGCTGATATAACAGGCTGTCGCCGCTATGCATTCACTTCCTCAACCACTCCTTCATAGGGATCTCAAAGTACGTCATCGTATACTAGACAGTAGACCGACTGACTCGACAGATTGAAAATGTTCTCTCTGTCAACTCTTCCTCTGGTCCAAGTCCTCAACGCCCCATGGGACTCATGTTTAAACTGTGTGATTTCGGCTCAACCACCTTTCCTGCCAATCAACCTCCAACGAACAAAACCCAGGCAGATGCTCTGGTTTTGGATCTCAATAAGCATACGACACTGCAATATCGCAGTCCTGAAATGGTGGAGCCTCTCCTAGGTCTTCCAGTTGGATTACCAAGTGGTGAGCATGAAGTCTTGCTGTAGCGACTCAAAGCTGATTGCTAGATGTGTGGGCCCTCGGCGTGCTTCTGTACAAGTTGTGTTATTACACCACCCCTTTTGAAGAACACGGTACTTTGGCCATTGTCAATGCCAGATATACGTTCCCACAATACCCTGTATACTCGCCTCGACTTCAACATCTGATAGGTGAGCTGGCTCCCCTATGGTGACGGAGCTGATGTTGAGCTTCAATGCTCGTGGAACAGCCGAGCAGACGTCCGACTGTGTTTGAGATATTGAAAACTGCACACGAAATGATTGGTTCAAAGCCCGAGATTGACTACGTCAGTGATTTTTCGACGATGATTCATTTGAGCTCACATCCCCAGCCCACTCCATCTCGTTCACTATCCTCGTCTCAACCGAGACCTGCGCCGAGCCAACGACATCAATCCAATCCTAATCTCCTCGACTTCACGTCCCCGGCTTCTTCCATCGATCGCACACCCGTCATGCAACCTTCACTAGCATCTTCCGTCCAGCCACAACGTCGTGGTAGACCGACTCGAGAATCCGCTCCCACTTTTTCAATCTCGGCTTCTCAATCGCAACCCAACACTCTGCTCAAGTCGCTGCCATCACGTCCAATGGCACCCCCGAGACCGCAGGTCACAGGCGAGCGCCCAGGGGCTATGAACCCACCGTCACCAGTGGACGCTTTTGGCATGCCCTCTCTGGCAAATGTGGGGAGAAGTAATTCTTCCGGACAGTCAGGATTTGGAGACTCGTTCAGCGCTCCGCAACCCCGGCCAGGCGTCGCGTCACGTCAACCATCAAACACGCATCTTCGACGATCGTCCTCGACTTTTGGGGATACTTTCTCCGGTGTGAAGGGACAGACTCAAGGCAACGAAGTAAGGAAGGTATCTCAGCCTACATCGATGCCTGGTCTTAGCAGGTCCAACACCACTTTGTCACGTATCGAACCAAAGACGTCTCCGGCACGCAAACCCGACGGTGACTCAAGCTTCGAATCGCGTTTCCCTTCAATTGAAGTTTTGGCTCTTGCAGGTGAACCTTCCCGCCCGCCCGTGTCTCGACCATCCTCGACAAGTACGAACCTTCTCACTCCAGCAATGTCATCTCTACCTAAACCTCCCTTGATATCCAAACCTTCGCTCATGGGCAATCTCACAGGTGGGGATCTTAAGTCCTCTCAGGCCCCAGGGACCGTCCAGCATGCCGCATTACCTCGATCGACCAACGTCACAGGTACAATGTTTAAGAATACGCTTGCAAGGCCCCTCAGGTCCTCGTCACCCGTCCGAGATCAAGCAGAGTCTACTGAGCAAAGAAAGGCAGTCTACGACAAGTCGCCCTCGCTTAAAGCCGAAGTCTCACCTCGACTATCAACGCCAGATTTCATGTGTGACCAAGATTCGAATGAACTTCAAGTACCTCCCATGAAACCCACTCTGTCGTCCTCTCCATCCACCAGTATCAACTTTCCTCCTTCTCCAGCCGCCGCAAAGTCGCCTCCTCTCACAGGACACTCTCGACCCCTCTTGCCAAATATGGATTCTGGCAAACCCAGCTCGAATTTCAATGATGAGCAGTGGTCTCCTTTGGAAGATATGCGTCGGAGTCATTCTCTTTCTCACCGCCAAAACCAACGTCAACCCTCGAAACCATCGAGGGTACCCACGCCTGTCGATTCAAGTGACGATGAACAAGGTCCGGAAGAAGCTTCACGAAACCATAAAAATCAAACAAAGCAACAATCTTTATCCGCATCACCTAGTATACAAGAACGAATGGCGAATCTTCAGACAATATCAACACAGACAACGCAACAACCTCCCCTATCTGCGAATACAAATTTGACCTCTTTGCCACCTAATCCTGGTAATGCTCCCTTTGCTCGTGACAGGGCGGCAATAGGAAGAGCAGTTTCTGGAGAAAGAAATCGCCCACAATCCATGTTCCTACCTTCGGGCGTAATCAGCTTGGATTCACCCAACCTAGCCCTACCATCGCCAATTCTCGTCCCCAACCCTGAGACCGCTAGCAGTTCCGGAACGGGTCGACCTTCACATATCCGTAAAGGCTCGATTACGGATATAGTCTCACGATACGAATCCCTCGTTCCTAAATCTTCGAACGGTGTGACTAGAAAACCTAGTTTGGCCTCCAAACCTCCATCTTTGCGGAATGGTAGTGGTAACGAACACTCCCTTTCCAAGCCTCTCTCCCCCACCGCATTAACCCCATCATCACCTCCTAATCCCGCACCGAAACCTATGTTAGTCCCGAGCCAAGTCAAGAAATACGGTCCAGGTCCCACTGCCGATGCTTTCTCACGATCAAGTTCTGGTCGAGCCTTCCCAGTGACCAAACCCAAACCCGCGACTTTGGACCTACACCTCAAATCTGATATGGGACAGGAGAACAAGGGTGTCAAGGTCGAGATTGAAATGAGAAAAACACCTTCCCCTCTTTCGGCGACAAAGGCGGATGAGGGGAATAGTTCTCCGGAGAAACAACAGACTGTCAACTCGTTGATCGCCAGGTGGAACCAGGGAAATCTCAAAAATCGGTAACTCACCTACTACTCTTGAAACTGCAGGACACTTCGTGCTACGTAACGTTCTTGAGGCTCAGCCTAGAAGGTGGTAAGTCTGAGACTTTGCCGGTTGTGCAAAAGGGCAAGTTCAGTCCAAGTAGGGGTTCGTCTCCCAGAATATCTGCAAGAGCTACACAGGTGCATGAGTTGGGACATGGGTTGTGCAATGCTAAATGCTATTTACAGGGTACTGATAGTCCTCTCTCCACTCTTCCTCACACCCAACCAATAATTTTGAACATCATCCACCACAAAACGTCTCTCAACTCGAAGGCAACGAGCGACGAGCGGAATGACGTCCCTCACAAAACTAACAAGACCAATCATGTATGTCCACCTCAAAGACCTCACACGCTTCCTCTTCCTCATCATACTGTTCACAACCTCTATCATCAGCGAAAACCCTCCAATCCCTCTCCTCCCATCCTCCCGGTGCGACATCGTGTACGCCGGCAACATAATTACCCCACCTCCACTTCTCGCATCGTTCCTTCCAAGTCCAGATCAACGGGGTGAGATTACCACTCGCATCTTTCTTATCTCCAAACGGGACAGACATCCCTGGCATGGGTGGGAGATGAGGTACGATACCCGCGTCTGCGGCCATTTCAAGAGCTTTGAAAGCGGCTTTAAGTTCACTCATACCCATACCTGCTGCAGCTGGATCAGCGAGCATTTTGGCGAGTAAGGCGGCATCACGTTCCGGGTCGAAGTTTCCCAAACCGGGTAAGTTGGGAAGACCATGACCATGACCTCCATGTTTCTTATCATCTTTTTTGACCGCCTTTTTGTCGTCCTTGTCTTTTGGGTCTTTGTCTTTCCCATCTTTGTCTTTGACGTCTTTGTCTTTCGCATCTTTGTCTTTCGCATCTTTGTCCTTGGCGTTTTCATCTTTGGCATCTTTGTCTTCGGCTTCCTTCTTGTCAGGTTCAGCTTCCGCTTCTTTGACTTTGTGGGGTACGGCTCTGACATCTGCGTCGTGTTGCTCATCGAGATTCTTGGCTTTTTCATCTTTGACAGGCAAGGCGAGGATGGCGACATCGGGATCCAAGTCGGGTGCAGACTGACGTTCGATCGGCTCACCATCGAGAACTTTGACATTACTCAGAGGAGACATGGGTACGTCTTCTTCCTCTTTCTTGTCTTCTTTCTTATCTTTCTCCTTGGCATCTTTAGCATCCTTGTTGTCTTTTTCCTCTTTCTCCTTATCTTCCTTGTTGTCCTTGCCATCCTTGTTCTCTTTATCATCCTTTTCTTTACTATCTTTGTCCTCCTTCCCTTCCTTTGCCTCTTTAGCCTCTTTCTCCTTCTTCTCACGCTCTTTACGTTCCCGATACTCTTTCTCCTTCTTCTTCCTCTCCTCTGCTTGTTGAGCTTTGACCATATCACCAAACACACGATCATGAGCTGAAGTGACTAGCATTTCAAAGTTATTTGCCGTCGCTTCAGCCTTCCACTGAAGTTGATTCTCCATTCTCAGGAGGAAATGACCATGAGCGAGGATCAGATAGCCTGCGTTAGGTTCATAAACGTCCCTGGGGAGGGGTTTCTGATAGTCAGCGTCGATCCTTTACCCTCTTGTCAAATCTTCAGTCATCCCCTCTTCTCTTCTTCAACTTTGTTCACCAAGTGCTCTCCGAACCCGCAGCTTCCCGCCCCCCAAGACACGATCTAGTGCTGTGTGAGGAAGAGACGACTTACCGGGGCGTTATATGAACATTGAATGCCGACGGTAGCAAGGACTTCTTCAAATCCTTCCCTGGTCCAGGAAGGAGCATCAGGATCTTCTTCTACTTTAGTCTCAACCACTTCGACTTCTTTCTTCGAGTCATCTTTGGCATCGGTGGGTTTCGGTTCTTCCGATTTGTTGACATCGCCATTTTCTTTGGATTTTGCCTCATCTTCCACCTTGTCTTTGTCCGCTTCCTGATCCTTGTTGTCTTCGTTCGACTTATCCTTCCCTTCTTTGTCAGAACCCTCCTTGTCCTTGTTTTCAGGTTCTGGGGGTGGTCTTTTGGGAGAAGGTCGAAGATGTTTCTGAGCTTCGGGGGAAGAGAAATCGTACTTTGCCCAGAATTCTTCGATAGGAATCTAACCGTCAGTATCGCATCTCCTTTTCTCCTCCCATCACCTGCATCCTCTATACTCTTCTATCTCGACGTGCGTGTTCGACGTATCTATCTCTACCCTCGCAAAAAGGAGATGGCGTTCCGCATTACAGAGCGTACAAAGGGTCATAATGCTTGAGTGAAACGCTCATGAAGATGGATTGACGCCTTATGGGAGGACAAATATAACAATGAAAGCGAGTATCCAGGTCGCAGAGCACGGTAGCTTGGAGATGGAGAAAGAAATCGAGAGATGGAAAACGCTAACTGAAGAAGGTAAGAACGATAAGAATCATCAACTCACCTCATAACTTCTCGCTTGAGCTAAATCATTCCACAACTCCCTCAAAATCCCCTCGGCCGTATCCGGTACTTTCCTCTCACCTTGCAATTTCTCTTCTTTCAACTTTTTCAACTCTCTCTGCCTTTGTTTTTCCGCTTCACCAGTCAACAAAGCCAAAGCTTCCCTTTCAGGTCTCTCTTTCCATTGCTCTGTCAACCAGCCGTCTTTGGTGACGTCGATATACATGACTTCAGCTTGTACACCTTTGGCGTATTTATGATAAGCACCACGAGGGTCTATAGGAATGGGAGGATAAGGACGGGAAGGGTCAAGATCCAATTTAGCACGAACTGGTTGTGGTGGAGCTGGACCTGCAAGTTTTAGAGGTGGTGGGATTTCTTCTGGTTCTTCTTCTTTGTCATCTGTTGGTTTTTCATCTTTATCATCTTTGTTATCTTTCACATCCTTGTCATCTTTCTTCTTCTCATCTTTGGCATCTTTGTCTTTGGCATCTTTGTCGTTGACTTCTTTCTTGTCTTTATCGTTATCTTTATCATCCTTCTTGTCTTTATCTTTATCATCCTTCTTGTCCTTGTCCACCACTGGTTTGGGCTTTGTAGGGGGTGCTGGATGAACGGCGGTGATCAAAGGTGGAGGAACGATGTAACGATGGTATGACATCTGACGATTAGTTTTGTTATCGATACTGTTTCACTATCAAGCCCAACAATCTACTTTATCATCTTTACCATCTACCAACCTCGTCATACCTTCTTCATCTCTCATCTTCGATTCGTCATAACCACCAACATCAACGTCTGGATGTCTTATTGCTACCCATGTATATCACTCTCCGTTTCAAACTACATACCCTCCCCATGTCATACCATACCCTACGGAGGGTTCGACCTCACTACGACTCAAACACCATACCACAATCGAAGAAAGAGAACCGACGAATAGGAAAGGTGACCAGATCTCTCAATAATACGGAAAAACTCACCTCGTACAATCACCAAGAAACAACTGAACAATGGGAATTAAATTCTATTTGTGAAGATGAGAGGGAAATAAGAGAATTGAAGAGATAGATAGGTCGATTCGAGATGGTTTGAATGATGGAACGTACCAGAATCAAAAGTCAAGTACAAGAGAAGAGAAGTAGTAGATGAGAAAATCGCGACGTTTCGACTTCCGACCTATGGGGAAAGATGAAAGGTCTGTTGTTGGAGGTGGAGAAAGGAAAGAGGATTGTTGAGTTTTTGAAGGAGGTATCAAAGGGAAGTATTATTTCCTTTGATAAGCTTGGACGTTTTGGGATGAAGGAAAGGGCGTCTCGTCAGTGCCGTTTTGGTTTGATTTTTTCTTGAATGGTTAGTTGGAAGATATGAGGACATGAAGGGGGTTCATGGGATGTTTGAGATGGATTAGAATGGGAATCTGTGGGATAAATCTTCGATTGTCATGAGTCTTATGAATAGAATTCATCATGAAAGCCATCATCAAACAACTTCCTTCCTTTCCTTCTTCGTCTTTGGGTACCTTTCGATATGTAGTCAGAGATGAGTTCAGTGACCCGTCAGTATGGCATGGGATAGTAAGACTGGCGAGGCGGATATATCAGACGTCAGTATGATTAGTCATTCCACTGCAAAGCACTTATAACATTACTTCTTTCCGATGCTACACATCTCGCATTAAAACGCCCTTCTCATGGCGGTTCCAAGAAGAAAAAAGCACACAAATCCCTATTCCCTCTTCCCGCTCAAACAGGGGATCCACCACCGTGATTCGGTACAGTTTCGTCCTGATGCAAAGCGTGGGTACCCGCCAAATGCGCCTTCTCACCCCCTGCCGTTTTCTCATGTTGCTCAAGCGCCAATTTCCCATCCTTCGCCAGTCCCGAGTTGGCAGCAAACGTCGAATGAGGTTTCCAGGACGCTGATTGACGAGGACTGGCTTCTTCCATCATGAGGTCGATTTGCTCAAGCGTAAGACCCTTACATTCGTAGATGCAAAAGTATGCGAATAGAAGGCAGAGAACACATGTCGAACCCCAGACGAAGAACACGCGAGAGCCGAGGTTGGCTTCGTCGGTACCAACCATGTAAGGGGTGATGACGGTAATGATACAGTTCCAGAGCCAGTTGGACGCGGTAGAAATGGCTACGCCACGAGATCGAATGGGGATAGGGAAGATCTCTCCGATGATGACCCAAGCCCCAGGTCCCCAGGTTGAAGCGAAGAAGAAGATGTAGATGCAGATCAAGGCGATTTGACCCTTCACAGCTTGTTGGTTGCCGCCGTCCGTAACTCCAACAATGGCGCAAATAAATTCGCAGATGAGCATACCGAGGGCGCCATAGATAAGAAGTGGTCGACGGCCAAATCGCTCGATGGTCCAGAAAGAGATGGGGGTCGAACAGACATTAACAAGAGTGGTGATAAGGGAAATAAGGAAGGGGTTGTGAATAGTTCCCAAGGACTTGAAGAAAGTTGTGCCGAAGTAGAAGATGAAATTGATACCTTACGTAATCAGCCAGAATTGATGTGACATATAAAGAGGAACATACCTGTCCACTGTTGGAACATCTGCAAGGAAGCACCGAGGATGGTACGACGAACATTGGAGCCAGGGTTCCGGAGACTACCACTGAAGCAGGCGGCCCAAGATGCGAAGTAACTGTGGGAAGGGATGAGCTCAGTTTCGTATTCGTGGTTGGCGATGATTTCTGCGAGCTCTTCTTGGATGTAGTTGGAGTCTTCGGGTTGACCTCGAATACGGGAGAGGGCGCGAGATGCATCGTCGACACGGCCACGTTTAACGTACCAACGGGGGGATTCGGGAAGGAGAAGGAGACCTCCACCAAGGATGAGACTGCTGTAAGCGAATACCGATGTCGAAGAAGAATGAAACTCACGCCCAGAGGAACTGAATGGCGATAGGGATACGGTAAGATCCTGTGTCGGTACGGTTCTGAGTGGCGTAACAGACGCAGGAAGCGAGGAGGAGACCGATGGTGATACAGAATTGGTATCCGGATACGATGGCACCTCTGACTTTACGAGGGGCGATCTCTGACATGTAAAGGATGATGATAGCCGAGATGAAACCGACGCCAAATCCGGAAACGAGACGACCGGCAATCAAGAGACCGAATCCATGAGATGCGGTTTGAAGGATACAACCGACGATGAAGATACCACAACCAATGACGACGGTGATCCTTCTTCCTAAGAAGTCTGCGCAGTCACCGGCAATGAGAGCGCCGAAGAATGTACCAGCGGAAAGTACGGAGGTGATGGCTGATTTTTTACTGGCGGGAAGGACGAAGGCGTCTAATTCTGCTTGAGATGCACCTGATGGGGGAATGGGGATCCCAGTGATGAGATTGATAAAGTCTAGGGCGTCAATTCTGCGTCTCAACGAAGAAAGAAAGGGTGGGAAAGACTCACAATTCATACCCAGGACACCATTCATATAACCGGAATCATAACCGAAGAAGATACCACCGAAAGAGGCGAAGACACCTAGAGAAGTTAGACGACGACAACGACGAAGGGTGGGAATGTGAAAACTAACATAAAAGGTATGCTTTGACGGTCACTGGCGCTTCAACCCTATCGGGGTTGGTCGTCGCCATTAAAACAGCTCCACCCGGCACTAACCCCCATCAGCCTTTGAAGATGATGATTAGACGCCACTGAGAGACGTCGTGGATGATGGAAACTCACTGTTGACTGGTTGTTGGTCGTTGAAAGATCAATAGGACTTGATAGATGAAGAGTTGAGGAATATATATATAAGAATGATAACTTATAAGCGAGAGGGGGGAGGTATTTCAACTATATAAGTTTGAAGACGGGCGTAAGAGGAATTGATTGTCAGTGGGGATGGATGTGTCAAGGGGGAGAAATATAACACATACATCTCGTCATTTTTTCCTCTCTCCAACCCAAATACAACCGGGGAGACCCGGACTGACTGTTGGCTGCAGGCGGACAAGCGGCAAGCGGACGGACGGGCGGACCATGCAAAAAAGTCACAAGAGACAAAAATGACATACGGTTATTACCCTTAGCCGGATTATACATCACATGGTTACGTACGAGTCCCTTTACAATCTTCCGTCCTTCCCCCTCCCCCGCTCCCCCACCTTGTTTTCTTTCCCGTTTAGTACTCCCGCATACCTTTCGACTCCACCTCTGTAATTACACCCTCAACCGTCCCAAAACTGTGAGAAAAAAGGGGTAATGGAGACCCACCCCAGTGTCCGTTCCGAGTTGCATGCCTCACTCACACTTTCTTTTCCCGCAATGAAACCCCTTGTTCCTGATGAAATCTCCTGAATTCCTGAATGCGGCTAGCGGCAGAACCGAACTTCGCGCACGACACGAAATCTCTTCACGCACGACAAAATCACGTGATAAAGCGTTAGGCATGCAGCACAGAGACGTTAGGCGCACGCAGGGACACCCTTCCGTCCTCCCCCCCTCCCCAATTGTCCTGTGGCCAGAGTTGCTAACCTACTCCATGATCTATGCATAGAAAGATCCTGGTTTTTACACGGACATGTAGAGATCGTCCCCCTCTATTGGTCAGTAAAAGTTTCAGGCTCAAAGGTCAAGAACTGACCGAGATAAACTGATCTCCCTTCCACCCCTTCTCCCCATGAATTTCCGGCCGCCTCAGAGCCTATACTGACTGGAAGGTATTCAATGGGGATTATCGAGGGTCCTGAGAACGATGGTCAGTGTCTCAATATCATAGCTTATCTCCTGTAAGTTGCAGAAAGTGATGAAGTTAATTGATATTACTTGAAAGTATGAGAAAAGTGGAAGGGCGATCTGTGCACAAGAAGCCACGTGGTTTGAGACGCCTAACTTGATTCTGCGGCATGCCTAACGGCTAGTCACGTGATTTTGTCGTGCGTGAAGAGATTTCGTGTCGTGCGCGAAGTTCGGTTCCTAGCGGCAACTGTATTTGGCAGAAAACGCGAAAAGATTTTGATGAGGCTGGAATTCCCCTGATCGTCGGATATCCGGACCGTCCCTTAGCGCAAAGTAACCCCGCTTTTAAACCCCCCAACGGTCATTCGGCCATGGTGGCATGGTGCATGGCCCCACGGGATCAAAGTTTTACATTCTTCTTCAAGCTTCAGAGGATCTAAGAGGGGAAGTTCCTTTAAGGATTCGCCTTCGATCGGAGGTGACGACGTCTCCTAGCTCTCTACCTTTGTGTCAGACGGTTTCGACCCGGTTGTTGTTACTTACCGAAGTAGTGCACATACAATGAAGGATGACAACCACTCACAACGCGCTAGAGTAATTGTTGATCGTCGCGTCCAAGCCTCACACTAACCACTCTTACTGCACTCCATGTAGTATAAAGTATGGTACGGTCCTTGATTACTTACATCACTTGTGTTGTCACTCATAATGTCTGTCATTTGTCCTCGGTCACCGTGCCAAATTGAATTTCAACGGATCATCGTCCCTGTCGGGTCAGAGGATCAGAGGGCGATCAGTCTTGCATCGCTACTCGGCAATGTCAACGGATCGGCAGTCAATGCTCATACTCGTAGGGGCGATGCCTCAACCATTTCCCAATCCCCATCATCAGCCATAGCGATAGACTTGCGGATTCACGGGTTGGGCCGAAGTGAATCATGTCCCTGTCTTGGAAGTACTAAAGGACGCAAAATGATAGATGAAGGCAGGGGAATAGCAGGGGAGACAATAGCTGATCGGAATACAAGGCGATGTCTACAGCCTTCAGTAGCTAGGTGATCCGGTGAATCACCCGGTGTCTTGACAATGAAGGAATAGTGCGTACATTCATTCGTCGGTCAACCCGTCCTTCCTTGTGATCACACTTCAGACATTCAAACTGCCCGTACTTGCCAGATCTCCCTTCCCCTTTCCGAGTCTCCGCGATCTTTCGAGCTGACATGAGAAGGACAAACCTCAACACCGGCTTTCTTACATCCTCGCGCAATTCCAAAATATTGGGGTCATCAGGTCGATGGATTAACCGGTTCTGGGTTCACTTTTGCGTCGATTCTCTACATGCTCACCTCGGGAATGTGCTTTTGTGTGATCTCGACTCGCTGGCCCAAATGATCCTCAGTGTTGAAGACTAATAGAGATGGAATCATATCGACGCTGACCCTCTGACGATCAGCATGGTGTACTACAGTAATAGGGTATCTGACTGAACTACTTCCTTCCGTCTACGAGGACCACCTATCAGCTGAGGTCATTCAAAATGTTTACGGCAGCTTATGGATGTGGGACAAATTTGTATGACGAGCAGGGGTATGGGGGATGCATGAATGAATGGAGGAGAGATAGAGACGGCAGGTCTCCAAAATGAATCGGCGGGCAAAGAGTGGATCATCGATGAGTGACCGACCATCTTGTATGATCGTGGAGCTCTGGCTGGTAGGGTAATAGGAAACAGGATCAATCATGGACGCTTGAGGGACAAGGGAGAAGTATGAGGAGTATGGAAGTGTAACTGACAAATGAGCGAGGCCCCTCAAACACAAAGTATGCAGGTTTGAATTGAGAGCGGGAGAAATCAGATGAGTGGGTATATGATGCCATGCCTACGAGGATGATGCCCGTGAATCTATCGGGTAACCCAAGCGATGCAAGCTATATTTCAAGGAAACTCGTGATTGCAAAAGTAAAAAATACTTCAAGATAGGGCAGAACGTTGACATCAATGTTCTTCGACTGGAGATAAAGCATATCACATTCTCATCGGCCGACTTGACTATCGGTAGCCGTTGAGGGTCGTATAATGGTTTGAAAGGATAAGAACAGGGTGAGGAGATGTATTTGTGATACAATGTCCGTTCGTAGTTGAGTCACCAGGATACCTCAGTAGTTTCAAACTATCAGTAATTATATGGGATGGAGTGATGGGGTCGTCTCATATGTTCGAAGCTCTACATAGGAAAGAAGACAGAGGAAGAGGTCAACAGAGGAAGCCGTGGTCTCTGACGAGACGAGAAAGAGACCCAATCAATCAAGGATTAAACTCACCGGTAGGTCGACTCTTGCATCTCAACCTGATGAACTATTAATGTGTCACTCTCATCAGTGGAACACCCCCATCTGAACCGTTTTTTGTGAAGGAGAGTTCAGAACCGCTAGAATACCACTAATATCATCTTGTCAATTGTCGAGGCGCTGAGATGATGGGACATGGACACTACATAGTTGAGTGGTCCAGTCAGCCAGCCCTGCAGCCGACATGGGTGAGCGGACTGAGGCAGAAAGTCGGCGTTCGCCGCTTCACTTCCATCAACTTGCTCCCTACGATCCCTAACTACCTTACCTTGCTTGATACCATCGACGATTGAAACCTCGTACTCACCACTTTCATCTCTGCCTCCAAGTGGCAAGTGAGTCTCTACACTAACAATCATAACCCTCCTACGGCTATGAGCTTTCCATCTCGTCTTCCTCCCAAGTAAGGGCGTCAATGTCGTGCTCACTTCCTCACATCGGCATTCGGGTAAAACTTCACCTCTATGCTTCTTCCCACGCCATCGTTGTCTGATCACCCTCAAATATCTGGATAAGCTATCTTTACGACTCACTTCAGCTTCTGATATCCACTTTCCATATCCTTTTACTCTCTTACATGCTACCTGTCACTTATCACATACTACATCTTACACGCTACTCCATAATCCATAATTCATCAAGCCTCGAGGCCCTCCTCAATGACATGATCCACCGACGTAAGTGTTTGATCACACATTAACAACCACCCTCATACCTTATCAGAACCCGTTAACTTAGTGGAGTATTGAATCCTCGGTGAGAGATCACCCCGTATTAAGCCGCCAAGCCACCAAGTCATAAAACACTGACGAAAATCCTCTTATCGTATTGTGGTCTGACGAAATAATCACCTACATAAACGTGGAATCATCCCCCTTTCCTCTCGGTATCTCCAATAACCGACATGACATACCATTTCATATAATCTAGACTCTTTAACGCCCAGATCTCATGACTTTGAATAATCCCTTGACCCCAATATCCACTCCTTGGATCCATGTCGTACGTTCCGCAGCATGCCTTGGAGACCTTCGGAAAGTCGGTTTTAGAAAACAAAACTTTTTAATCCCCTTTCCCTATACCCTCATTTCCATTCGACACACATGGATGACCATCCTTGTCCTCTTTTCATATAGACGAATCTCCCGATTTCACCGATGAAATGGAGCTGGAAAAAGGTATAAAAGACCCTTCGACCACTTTGTTTTTCTTCACAACACATCGACTAGATCTTTCTGAATTCAACAAGTCAAAGTCAAAAACAAGAAAAACCAAGGAAAACAAGATGCCTTCTTACGAGCAATTCCACAACCAATTCGACATCGTCCAGTCGGTCGTGAGTCTCTATTACCTTAACTTCATCCCTCAAGTTTCACTCCTTTTCACACCTACAATACTCCACATATGTCTTGATCCTTGAGCTTCGACGGAACTTCAACTTTGCAACTCGATAGAAGATCACTCCTCTCTTCTGTCTTCTGAAACTCCACTTGACTCGTTTTTCTGACAACTCCCCGGCAAAAATTATGACTTCATCACACGACTTGAAAAGGAAACATTTCGCTGACTTCAGTCCGTTGAGGAGCACCAGTCCAAGCTTTCTCACGAAGTCATTGCTGGCGGTGCCGCCTTCGAGGCCTGCAGGGCGTGAGTGTTTCTTCTAATTCTTCTTCTCCCAGATCACGCATCTCACCCCATCCTTGACCACACCCAACCGAGTCTATTCTCACTCTCGCCCTCCAGATACCCTTCCGTTATGCCTCAGAATCGTCAATACACTCAACCATACCTCCACGCTGGACCTTCAATACATCCTGAATAACCGATCATCTGCTGACACCCAGCTACGAAGACAAGTGCTCCCGTGAGGGCAGACCCGCCAACCACCGTCTTGCCAAGGAGATCATCGCCGGCCTTGCCGCGTCGATCGTCGACCGCGTGAGTTTCTCGTCTTATGCTTTTTGACCCCTTCACACCTGCTCCATCCTGCATTGTCATCCTCCCTAGCCTCTTCGATGTTGTCCTGGTGTCCTTTTCTCACACTCCCCGCCCCGCGTTCATACCCCTCTCCAGGAAAACGTCCGTCACAGTCCACACCCCGTGAGACCCCAAGTACCATCTGCCTCACTTGATCTTCTGACAGATCGCTGACCATGACAGGAGTTTGAATCCAAAGGTCTTAACTGGCTCGACCGCGTGAGTTTCCCTCTCCTCCGTCATCCCACACCTACCACCCGTCCGGCACCCACACCCCGTCCTTTTCTTTCCCCCTCTCTCTCATCACGTATCGGGAGTCCCCGTAATGCTCGCTTGACATGCTTCACTCATCCTCACTCCATCATTCGCATCCCTAGCGCCAGCTGCAATAGCCACCACCACCCCTTCTTCATACGCCAAACACCTCGCTGACGTCTCAGGAGCGTGCCAAGTGGAAGGCCCAGGAGGAGGCTCAATCCTGCCTCGTCCGTGAGGACTACGAGCTCGACTCGGAGTTCTAAGCCACTCGCGCTCCGAAGCACCCGGGCCGGGTTGGCCACAAGACAAGAAGCAAGGTTTTGATCGAAGATGAGATGAGAGTGATGAGAGATGCATGAGTTGAGGCGACGAATTTGCTCACTTTTCCTAACGTCTCCCCTTTCGTTTTCGACTTTGGAATCAGTCATTTCAGTCAGCATCTGCTTACAATTCCCTCGTTGAGTTCAGCTTGTCCTAAATCGTACCGGATCAGCCTTCAGCCCAATTGACTTCATCGAGGTGGTAAAGGCTATAGGTGAACGGTCATGATATTATACATGCATTGATCGTTATTGACTTTCGTTTCTGTGATTCCTATCTTCTACATTAGGTCATTTTAGCCTTGCGAGCAGGAAGGTATTTGATAGGTTTGCGATGTAGGTAAGGCCAAGGAGGCCCCACGGCCTGTTCATCAGTCTTGAGAGTCGCTAAGAGAGGGACTGACCAGGAGCAATACCAATAATCCACCAGTGAAAGTCTCCACGGCTATAGCTACCGAGCTAGAGTACCAAGAAGCGGCGAATGAGATGACCTGAGTGTGAGCTTGCTTTGGACTATTGGGAAACGCTACCAACTGTCAAAACGGTCAAGAAGACTTGTGAGGTCACTTCTACCAGGCGTTGGCCGTGAGGGTCCTTGCATTAGCACAAATCGCTCGTTCGGATTGATAAGTGATACCCACTATTCTTCCCTCTAGCCAAGACACCACTGATGGTGGTAGATAGTCCATGTTTGTAGTTAGGTAGCGAACGGGTTTGTCCAAACTATCTTTGACATGCCAACGAGCCAGCGATCGAGAAGGACCTAGAAAAGGTGCCACCTCGGCGATATAACCGGATCTGGTTAACTCCGCTCAAGTCAAGATCGGCAATGACGTCGTTCGTAAGTGGCTCGCCATCCCTTCCCTGTATCCCTGTATGCCCTTCCCCCTCCTCTTAATAACCCACTCCGCCATCTCTCTTACCATCCACCTGTGTACATCCAACAACTCAACCGTTTAAACAAAGAGGGATCATCGATCCCATAGTCTCCATTCACAACGGCGTCAGAAGCTATAACTCTCGGGCTCGTAGGCCTTCTTTCAAAACCCGTCGTTGAAGCAGTCTTCGATTCTCCCACCACGTCACCCTTATCTCCCTCTTCTTTCGAATCGAGGCAATCGATTCTCGTCTCTCCCCCAGGAAAAGATAAAATCGAACCATCTACCGCTCCGGTAAGATCTATCGGTAATCTCCCATACACTGTCCCTTCCCTTCCTCGTGGTCAACCCGTGATAGAGAACCAATACGTTCCTCAATTATACACCATCGAAGGGGCACACGAGCTCAAGTTGAATAATATGACACTTCCTGTTGCAGAAAACCACGATGAGACTGGTGCTTTGGCGAATGGAGTGGATGGTTTGTCGATTCATGATAGACACATGAACGGGGATACTGTGGAGCACCACCGCGGATCTACGGAAAAAATGGAATTAGGCCAGGCTTTAGCTGATGGTCCTCATGATGCCACTCTTGCAGAACGCCCAATGTGAGTCATTGACATGCGACATTCACGAGGTTTATACCTCTTCATGCTCCACCACATCACTTTTTGATTTCAAGATCGTCGACAAAAGATAAAAGCTGATGGATTCCAGGTTGAGAGAAAACCCTTCCAGATCATATGTCAAATCCATCAAGTCTATCCCTATCGTGACTACATACGACGATACTCCTGACCCAGAGCCAATCGTCATGCCTACGATTGAACAAAAACCAAACCGACCCAAATCGGTCGCCGCTTCTACTAAAGGTAGCGTCAAAGGCAGTATCAAGCCAAATGTCAAACGTTCAACTTCGAAAAGTGGGTCTATTGCTCCATCGACAAAAGGAACCTTTGGTCCTACGGCCGCTCTTGACGGTAATCCCCGTCCACCTTCTAGAGCCGCTTCAAGAGCTTCTTTCGTCCCTTCTCACACGGGTGAGGAAGCACTGGGTGCAGCAGTTATAGGCGATGATATCATGTCGGAAAAACACAATTCCCTCAAACGTACTTCTCTTGCGGACAATGGACCGGTACCGCACTTCGAAGATGGTGACAGATCCATGAGTCCTCGTCCTCAATCAAGCTTTGGACATAGGCCCATGCCGAGCCTCACCGCCGTACCGGAAGATCAGCGCGAAGGTCAATTCGGAGGAAGGCAGAGTAGAGCGGGGATGTTGGATAGGAGTGGGACGGTGGTCAGCAGGGCGAATACTCTGGGAAGGAACGGTACGCTTTCTAGAGCTACCAATGGGGGTATCGTGGGGAGTCGTAGGGGTGCTTTTGGTAGAGGTGCAGGGGCCAGTATTGGTACTCAACCTGAAGAGGTTTTGGGTAGAGAGTGAGTCGACCTACCTTTTACCCTTCTTACCCCCAATCTTCGGAAAAGATCCAATCACCCGCCCACCACTCGCTCACTCTCATGACATCTACTGCTGCATGCCCCTGTTCACCTGCTACTGGGATTAGACCCATGAGAAGCCATTGTTCAAATAACTAATAATTAGTGATATCCACGCCCGCGCCGAACTCTCCGAACGTATTTTAGACGACGCCACCCTTCGTCGTCTAGCCACCATGGAGAAAAAAGACGCGAAACGTCTTGCTAAAGTTATCAAAGCCGAGGGTCAAACCGAACATAAAGCTGTTCAAGGGTCTATCAAAGAGCTTGAACGTATGGTCAAACTCCAGCGCGAAGCAGCTGCGGCCGAACGTAAATCCCAAGCTCGTCTCAGCGCATGGACGAAGAAAGAACACAAGGCTAGGCTTAGGTTTTTGAAGGAAAAGGAGAGGTACGAGAGGATCGAAGGAGAGTTGCGTAATGCTGAGAATGATTATGAAGAGAGAAGGGATCATGCGTCTGGATTGACTGCTCAAGTGGCGGAGAAAACTCAGGATTTGGATGATTTGCGTGCTCAAAAGGCAGCTGATGATGTGAGTGAAATGAACTCGCTCTCATTTCATATTCCGCTCCATCACTCCTTCTGTCCACATGCTATGCTCCTCACCGTGGCTCCGTCCTACTATTCGTGTAACCCATCATTGCAACTCTCGGTTGCGTGAACTCACCCATTTGCGGAGGCCACACATACGAGAAATACAAGGAACAGTTATTGACAAACAGCGTGAAAGAGCAGTCAAAATGCTCGCATTGCGTAACCCTGCGCATAGCTAGTCGGTATTCACACTTTAGCCGAGCAAGCGTGGAGCGCCGAAGAAAATAAGAGAGGTACCGACGCGTTACAGGGGGAAGAGAGAGTGTGAGTGTGTGAGTGTGGGAGAGAGATCTATTTCGACGAGGAGTGATATCCAAAGTGTAGATTCGAAACCTGTTTGATAGCGATATTCTAAGCACGTATAATTCGAGGGGAAAGGGAGATTGGATGAATGTTGTCTCTGCTACCAATTCGCAATTCGCAATCTTCACGCTTGATGTTTGAAATCTTACATCTTTCACATCACACATGGAATGGAATGGAGCTTGATCGGGTGTAGAGCGGCTTGATCGATGGTGACATCCCCTTCCGATTGTTGACCTTGACGATAACCCTGATCGCTCACATGGATGATCGATGATCTCTCTGCGATCTTGGGGTGTTCGATGAAGCGTATCTTGGACGGATGGTTGAAAAGCGGAATGTAATACGGAGGAATCACGTTATATAGGAGCGATGGACAGATGGACAGATACAGTAGGTGGATGAATGAAGGAGAAACGTAAACAATATGGTGATCACATAGTTGGGTACATACTGATAACATCTAATTTCGGAAAATCATCCTCATCCTCATCCTCATTCTTATTCCTCTTCATCTTACTTTTCTCCTTCATCATACCCAAAGCTAATATTCTCCAACAACATCTCCGACATAGAATCCGAGCACATAAAAGAGTCGACGTGATTTTCCTTTTCTTGATCCTCTTTCTCCACCCTTTCCTGTCCACTCATCATTCCCTCTTTCTCTCTTGTTATGATTTCAAAACATATTTGGGACATTTTTGGCAGTCACGTATCATATTGTAGGTTTACTTTTTCGTAATCTTCATCATTTCAGAAACTCTCATTGATTCATTTCCATTCTTTTTCGTACCATGTGTTCCTATCCAATCCATAGGATACATTCATCTTGAATCAAAGTTTCTCCTTCTCTCACTTGACATTTCTTCATCATGACCAAGGTCGTTTGGAAACTGGTACAGCATAATCTTTCCAATCCTGATATAAAGGTTTTGTTTCTTTTTTATCCTCTTGTCTATTTGGAGAAACCCAATTTCCTCCGTACATCTGTGACACGTCCGTATTACTTGATTCTGCTTGTGGTTGATTGAAAGATGTTGATGTGTATGGATTAGGGATTGATTGATACATTTGGTGTTGTAAGAAACTCTGAGGAGATGGTTGATTGGAAAGAGAAGATGAAGATGATGCGAAATTTGGAGGTTGACAAGTTGATGTGGAAGCGAAAGCTGGATGTTGAGGAAATGTTGAAGTTGATGGTAATGGAGAAGGATTAAAATTTGAAAAAGGTGTATATGGAGTTAAAGGTAATTGAGATGGATTCATATATTGTGGAAAAGATTGATATGGTATAGCACCCCATGGTGTCATATTTGGTGAAGGGAATGAAGAAGTATTTGTATTTGATGGTGATAAAGATGTATTGGGATTAGTGTTGGTAGTTGAAGATGAACCGATCCCCATTCCCATTCCTGTCGATTGTCCTGTGTATCCAGGTCCTCCAGGTCCAAAATATTGAGAAAAAGATTCGAAAGAGAATAATTGAGGATTAGGATTTAGATTAGGGTTGGTGTTGGTAGTGTTTGCATTTGTGTTTGAGGTAGAACTACTGGGTTGATTCCAATATGTCATAGGATTGGGAATATGATTACCGAATGATATTAGAGGGTCTTCATTTCGATTTTGATTCACTTCACCAGAAACTTCAGAACCGGAATTCGAACCTGTTGGAGAATCGACGTTGGAAGCCGAAGGATCCGAAGAGATCCAGGAATCAAACATGGATGGACCGGAATAAGATTGACCTAAGGGAGAAGAAGGACTATGAACATCTCGATATTGTTTATTGGAAGAACTGGGTGAGATGGAACTTGAATGTAAGGTGGAACCTGCACGTCGATCGAAAACACATGGAATGTTCTTGAGTTGACATCGGGTACAGGGATTGCCTCCTTGACACTAAGATGATCAGCATGAAGGATGGATGGATCATGATATACACACGGACGCGCGGAATGTCGGAGAATTAAAGAATTAATGAGGTTTGTGGATCCTTCGACATGAATGAATCTTCTTCTTCCTCTAGGTGTTGTTGATTGGTTACGAAGAGACTGAAGAGGAAGGTGGACTTTAGTGGAAGGTTGATTAATGATGGAGAGGATGGGATGGGAAGGGGTTGATAGGAGGATGGTGAAACTTTCCAAACTCACCTTGCATTTCCTTTTCCTACATCCCACACAAGCTTCCGGAATCCTCGTTCGTTGCTTCATTTCTTTCCCTTTCCCACTTCCTGAACCCGATCCCCTCTGCGTGCTATCAAATCCATCAGGAAGATTGACTCTCAAGGGTGATCGCGCGGGGGGTTGGCTGACAGGGGGACTCGTGTTGATTGGCATACCAAATCCTCCACCTCCGTGCACCATCGATGGATAATTGATCGTCGGTTCTGGGTTGTTTGGTGGAGATTGGGTGGAGGAACTCTGTGAAGATTTCTTGGCTTGTCTTTGTGACTCTAACATACGATCAAAGAGACCGGGTTGAAGTGTGGGTTTCATCTCGTGTGATCCGTGATGGGAGGTATCGAAAACGTAAGGATCCAAGTTGTGAAGAACGATGGGATCATTGGAAGTGAGAGTTAAATAAGGAAAAGAGTCAGATTGAGACCAAAGCGTGTTTGAAGCCTGACGAGGTTGTTGTGTCGGCGCCGGTACCATCAACCCGAGTGCAGACGTCATATCGTGTCCCGGGGTGTAAGAGGCGGATGGGAGGGAGGAAAGGTATGGTTGAGCTATCGGACCCGATAAGAGCGACATGTCGGAAGTCAAAGAAGATCGGATGAAATGAGAAGAAGATGGAAAGACGAGTGGTATAGGGGTTTGTTCATTGATGATTCGTACTGCCAAACGGTCGTCGTCAGTAGTGGCGGCTTGTGCTTCCCACTTGGGTTCGTTTAACATTTCGACAGGTTCACGACAAACGTTGTAATCTACACAACTGGGGTTAAGAGGTCGGTTCGGTTCAGTGGGAGAAGGCCGATTCGAGTCGGACACTGGAGAGTATGGCCAGGGGTCGGTGTTTCCAGCTCGAGGCGAACAAGCTTGGGGATCCGACATGTTAAGGAGTGATGGTTGACGAAAGGAAGGAAAGCAAGGGGAGGGGATGGGGCGTAAGGCCGAGAGAAGGCGTGTCGGCAACAAGTTTTGAATATACTTTTCACTATGACTTCTAGTTCAAAAAACCCCTATCCCTTCTATCCCAACCCTCGGCTTGTTGTCGTCGTTCCGTCCGAACAGGATTTGCAGAAAACAGACACGTTGGTTATCGTCGTCCAGCTAAGTTGTTTCTACTGTCTTCGGCTTGTTGACGGATACGGGAAGAAAGTGGATTAGAAAGGAAGAGAAAGGACGGGTTCGATTTGTTTAGATTATGGGTTCGTGAGGATGCTTGTTACACAAAGACACGATAACTTCACCCGCTACCCTTCTATCATTTTGTCTTGTATCCTATACACAACCCTCCGTTCCATCCGAGTTGAACCCGGTTGGGAAGATCAACAACATCTCATTCGATCGTCTGATGGACATCGTGCGAGAAGGATAGGTGTCCATCCCTGTCCACTACGTCCTTGTGGTCAAAAGAGTATCCTGAGGGGAAAGAGGCGATGATGGATAAGTCTGAGGTGTGAGGGAGGTATACCCTGACGAAATGAGCGGGAGTGACATCACGGAAAGAAGCAGTTGGATATTGGGTGAATGACAAGGGATGTCGAAACGCCAAAATTTCACCACCCACGGTTCACTGATCAGGGGGAGGGTTTGGAACGCTGGGAACGTTAAGGCGGATGACATTGTGAAGATATTGAATAGGAAGACGTCATAGACGGCATGATTAGACATAAGAATGGTGGGTTACATGGCACCAATCACCCAAATCGTATACGTTACTGATAGATAGAGAGATTTCCCGTCCACCGGTCAAACACCCGAGACTGAAGACGATCCCAACCCCCGAGACAAGGATGTAGTAGTGTCATGGTGAGTGACGGGCATTCGATCGGTTTGATTTAAATACAACGAGGTGGGGTGACGGAGCGGTAGGAATGACATGACTTGGAACGTTGGTCGGATGAGAAGGAAGCGAAGGACTAGGAGAGAAGGAATGAAAGATTGGGAAGGTCGAGGACAAGTTGTCGCCCTATAACGTGTGGGTAGCGTGTAGGATACGTATGAGAGCTCGAGTTGGACATCTCGTACATGACTCAGGACATCGTACATCTCTCCCCCACAAGGCTATCGGACTTGAAGCACGACTCCCTTTCATGTCGTCAGCATCGCTAGTTGATTCGATTATATTATTGTCAGTTGATTGACATCACGGGATCTTTGGTTCGAGTGCCTGGGTGGCACGGGATCCAAGCATTGCCGGATTCCCATGGACCTTAGTGTCGGTTCTGGCCATTTCGATCGATAGGGTCTTAGTGGTTAGCGTTTGGGACATTTCTGATGAGGTAATTTTGAATATCAGACAGTTTCCGATGGTGGAAACCTACCAGATAACTGTCACTAAGTTTCCATCTGACTTCTCTATTAAACCCATCAACCACGCGATCCAGCGACGACTTCAAATACTTGTTCTACCCCATGCAAGTACGAGCTCCCATCCAAATGTCCGTGGGTACGGACACGAGCTGTCAGCTCTACGCAGTCGATACGTCACCGTGCTACGGGGATCGGAACGGTTGAACCGGTCCGTCTCTCCGTCTCTCCTGCATGCCTGCACTTGTTTCAAGATGAACCGAAATTGGGTCGAGCTTTTGAAGATTTGTCGATCGGGTCCAGACTTCACGTGCTTCCCCACTCTGGTTAGCCTCCATCCTCCACCGTCAGCAACTCCCTCGGCTCCATCGATCGGATGATGAACCCAGGCCAGCGACCGTTGAGAGTGAGAATGTCCGATAGATCTGCTTTATGAATAATGTATGACACACTCCGTCCCATTGACCTACTCTTCATCACGGTGCAAGCAAGCAATCTGAAAGCTTGAACCTTGACAACGGTGGCTTCTGATTGTGGCATGTGGCACTTGCTTACATAACTTACCGGGTTGTTCTTTTCTGCCACATGACTCGTAATCCCGAATTTCCCATCGGACACGACCGTCAAACTTTGTGGTATCGCCATATCTACAATTTGATAACGGTTCCTCACTTCATCGGACTTGACCTCCTGTCTTGTTCCTCCCACTCTGCTCTCACGCCTCACTTTTGACATTTCTCACTGACCGTACAAAGAACGCTACGATGACTGATAAGCTGACTGACGGCCACGTCCGTCATGGCCATAATGGAAGGTCTAAGATATACAAGCCACAAGTTGATTGACTTTTCTACTCTTCACTTGCTCATTCACTCATAAAAGTAGTGTGACACAGATCGTCGAAGATTGTCGACTGAAGAAGTGACAGAAGTTTTGAAGAATAGATCAAGGCAAACAGGGACAAGATGCCTTCTGCAATATCTGAACCTGTCGAAATCGATTACAACGAGTTTATCTCCCCAGCGGCTAAGAACAGGGTGAGAAACCCACTCAAGACACTTCGACCTTATGTTTCTCTTCCTGGGATCATCAGTGTGAGTTTCCACTCTTCATTACATCCACAGACAAGAGTTCAGGAATGTGCAGAAGGGAGTTGAGGTTGATATTCAGTTCGGAGGTGGAATGCCTCATCCTTCCACCTGGCCAGTAAACGCTATGACTGTTTCTGTTCCATTCGCCGGACAATCGGTGTTCGTACCTGGTTACAATAGTGAGTATTCGTGTTTTGACTTTTATATGCTATATTCAATGCCTTCCTCCCCTTTCCCTTCATGTTTCTCGCCGATATCGACTTCCAGTAACCGTTTGAGCGTCAAACCTTTGTACGACCACCTTGTCCTGGGCATCTGAAATCTGATGTATTTAACATACCGTACTGATCTCTAGGCCCGACACCCGACTCTCTCCTCCCTCTCGCACCTTATAACCCACCAAGCAAGACTGACCCTGCTCCAAACTTAGTCAGCGAACTTCAATATGCCAACATGCACGGAGCTCCTCATTTGGTCTCTTGGCTCACTGAACACGCCAAACGAATCCATAATCCCCCTTACGCAGGATGGAGCGTTTCCACAACTGCAGGTAACACCGATGGTGTAGATGCTGTCATTCGAACTGTCCTCAAAGCTGGCGATAATGCTTTAGTGGAAGAATTCGCTTATCCAGGTCTTTTGTCTGCACTTCATTCAGCTGGTGTCAAGGCTACTGGTGTACCTATGGATGGAGATGGGGTATTGGATTCTGCTATAGATGAAACTTTAGCGAATTGGAATGAAGGTACTCAAGGTCCTAGACCTAAGGTCTTTATTCTAGTACCGTGAGTTTTCTTTGTGGAAGACAAGTTCGAGGGAGAGGCTGATGAAGTCAGAACTTGTTCGAACCCTTCTGGAATCACTGTACCGGAATATAGGAAGAAAGATATTTACGCTGTTTGTAGAAAATGGAATATACTCATTGTGGAGGATGATCCATGTGAGTGTTTCCAACTTCTCACCATTTGCATCTCATCACCTCTTCCACTCCTCCCGTCATTACTCCTCTTTCTTCTGGACTTTCGACAATGTTCATGTCGCGCACCCTACTTTCGGACCACCTAGTCATATTGACCTCATTGCTGTCAAGAATGTACTCTACCATGCGTCGGGGTGATCCACTCGGAACAATCAAATGGTCAAATCCACGATGAAGAGGTCGAACGTCGAGAGATATGAAAAAGGCCTGTTACCCAGCGCTCATGTTATAGACTGTTTCCTTCAGATCCGTCCTGAGGGAGCATCAAAACCAATCGTCCCATCTTTCCTCTCTCTCGACATTGACGGTCGTGTAATCCGTGTAGATTCTTTTTCTAAAATCGTCTCACCCGGTTCTCGATTAGGTTGGATCACAGGTCCAAGTCAACTAGTACAACAAATCATGTTCATGCGTGAAGGTTCTACTCAATGTCCTTCAGGATGGAGTGTTGCTGCTATTTCCGCTGTTTTGAGAGCTTGGGGTGGACATGAAGGATTTGAACAAAAATATTTACCTCATATTTCTGGTAAGTGATGATGTTCTATTCCTTGCCGTTTTTCCCACCAAATCTATCCGTAGATGTAAAATTATTCGAAACCAATTTCTTCTGTTCCTCGCCTCAACATCATCGCAAAGATTTTCAAACGATTGAAGTAAATCTTGGAGAAACCAAAAATGAACCTTTTGAAAGAATGTTAATTAACCCATAGACATTTACGCAAAACGTTGTCTTCTAATGGTATCTCAATTCGAAAAATATCTTCCTACCTCAATTTGCGAATGGCCTTCTGGATCAGGAGGAATGTTCCTTTGGCTACGATTGAAAATTCGTAAACATCCGAATTACTCAACTAAATCTTTGGAAGAAATCTCAGATCAAATATTCAAAACTCTCATAGAAGAGAAACTCATCACTGCTCAATCGTTTTTCTTTAAAGCTCCAGGTAAAGAATGGAGTAAAGAAGAAGAAGCTGAAAGAGTATTTTTAAGATTAAGTTTTAGTTATCCTTCAGAGGAAGATATTGAAGAAGGTGTGAAAAGGTTAGCTAAAGGTTTGAAGAAAGAGTGGGGGTTGTGATTACGAGCTCAATTTTGTTTGAATGATCTCTACGATTGACCGGGAGATCTGGAAGACTGAGTGGATGGGTGGATGAGTGGATGGGTGGTTGGATGGTCGCGTGGTTGGGTTTGTATGCAGTATGGAAATAGAGGGAACCTATGTGATGAATTAGTGAGGAAAACCAGGGGGAGATGGAAATGAAAAGTTCAGTATAGTTTTATAGAACCATCATGATATCTTCCCATTCCTCTTTTCATCCTTTTTTGTGTCGATCTGCGATCCCAATCGACATTTAACGTTTCATGCGGCGAGTGATCATTAGTGAACGGTTAGTGATATGTGAATCCCCAGTGACTATGGATTATACTATGTGATCATTCTTGCACTTTCTTTATTTATATACAGTGCATCCTTTTCATTCTACGACAAATATAAACTTATCTCCCTCTAGCCGACCCCGAGGAAAGATACACTCAAATATGATTTCAATCATCTGATCTCAGTAAATCATCCATCAAATGACGCACAAACGTACGACAACAACATAAACAATCTTGTTCCCTCTCAGACCCTAAGAAATCCCAAACCAAACCACTTCTTTCCACTTCTCCATCAGACACCTTACGTTTCGAGTCGATACGATCACAATTATCATACCTACATTCTTGATTCATAATCGTGCATAACCAATGATGTAATCCCTTCAAATCCATTTCTCCAACCAAACCAATATTAAACGTGTGCCCTCCACCATGTGTGTTCAAGCTATTTCGTTTCCATCCTTGTGTGATAGAAGGTGCCAATATCACTCGAAGTGGATTTGATGTCGGAGGTACGAGTGTAGAAAGATCAACCCATTGTTCGAAATATCAAACATCCGATGGACGAGGTGAATGTATTGTTAACGTTTCTGGTTTTGTAAGACGAGAAAGTAAACATTGTAAAATCATGTTGAAGCTTGATAATCCTGAACGATCGAGACAATAATGTTTAGCCGTGAATTTAGCGATGAACAATGGGCAGGATATTCCTAGATGATTATGCAGGGGTGTGGAAATTCGACGTTTCTTCGAAGATTTCCGACGGTTTTCAATTTTGGGATCTCCTTGTGTGAAACACATAGTGTCGGCATTGGGGAATAACTCAAATTTGATTTGTCCGATAATTTTATCAACTCGTTTGAACCCAGCGTCATATTCCGTCGCCAGAATCAAATTTAAACTTAAATGTGTGATGAGAGCAAATGCAAGACGGATTCTTGCTTGTGCTGTAGACACGAATGTGAAATCCATTACCTTAGTATCTCGGTCGACGGGTTTGATTGATTTCATTGGATCCGATACATGACAGTTGATTTCTTTGATAGATCCATCCGGAGGAAGAATGGCACTACTTTTACTATCATCGCAAAGTCGGAATACAGGGGGAGATAGGTTGGTATCAGTCGTGTTGGCTACTGTAACATCTACCCCACCAGTGTTAAGGTTCTCACTTGCTCGTCCCTCCTGCTTGACGACCGGGACAGACTTCGCGATATCATCCGAAGACAAAAGAGCGGATAGAGGAGAGAAGAGTTTCATATATTTCCGCTTGCTGTCGATAACAATATTGGTATAGAGCAAAGGTGTGATTCTGGCGTACATCGCTTTATTAACCCTCTGACAGACGGTAAGGGTGGTTGTATCATTCTTGTCGGCGATTATTGTGATGACTCGGTTGATGATCTCGACCGGAAGTTTGGTCGAAGAGTCGAAGAGATAGAGTCTTGAATGGGAGGTCATATTGGGTGGAAAGGGTTTGACCAAAAGAATTGTGTGTAGATCAGATGGATCAAGTTGATGGATGGAATGGTGGGTATGGGGATGTGCGAGGGGCGGTGGAAGAGCCTGGATCGTCAACGATGATCCACGATGTTACAGAGATACTAACATCGATTGTAAGGAGAGCGAAAAAAACGAAGTTTGGGGGGATTTACAGTATATATTGTTCAAGTAGGGATGTCACGGCAGTCACCACCTCCAGGAACACCGTGACTGTCACATGTCACACCTTCTTTTGTGGGAAAGTCGAACGGGGGAATCATACACAGGTCATTCTGGATGATGCACATGGCAGGTAGTGTGACATGTATACGCGTGACATTGAGTTTCTCAAACCGCGACCGTTTACTTCCAAGTGTGACAGGTAAGAAGAATTGCGACTTGATTGTTCTTCGAGAACGCCCCATATCGGGTATGCCAAACATCATAGAGTACAATGACTGGTCTCAGTGATACTGACCAGAGAGAAGCTTGACAAACTCACGATAGTGTCGTCATGTTCTGCAGCCCCATCCGACTCCGTACATATTAAAAAAGACCGAAGATACGTTGGTCATATTGGAGTAGATTTGTCCACTAAGTTGAGTAGGAACCTGGTGGTATCATCGATCACTTGGGAGACTCTGACTCCACAACCACTACACCCACCACCACACCCGCATCTCCAGACAGACTCAATAACAGTGTCACTTTCTCTTCAGTCGTACGAGATATATAATGTAACGTCGGTCGACCGTTTGACATGTATCTCAAATCGAGCGATTTCCATGTCACTCGGGGGAAAGGAAGTGCCTTGTAAGCTGCTTCTTTAGCTGTCCACCTGTGGTCAGCATCATCTTCATCTTCTGCTTTTTACTGCTTTTCTGTGCACATGTAAGTGTCATTGATGACTCACCTAGAAGCTAGAAAGCGGAGCTGAACGTCTTCTATCCGAGGTAAAGCTTTAAACTCTATAAACTCGCGTGGACAACAAATCCTTCTAGCCAAATTAAAGCTTCCTCGACGAAGGATAACTCCTCTCAGTCTGTCGATAGAGAGAATATCAATCCCTACACCTATGATCATCTCCACTTTCGTGGTGCTTCCACCGATCTCACGACCACCACGAATACCGAGATGAGAGTGGAAAGGGAAGTTTAAGAAGAGTGGGGGAGTCAAGTCGGTCGTAAAGCGGGCATAAGTAGGGGAAGGTGGAGGTGGTTGGTGATGTCACTATCCTTCCCTTCCACCACCTTCCCTCCATCATCACACGTTTTGCCTTCTCATACTCGGAGTTACAATCAACCTATCCTTATATGTATACCGACTCTTCGGAAAAGATCCTCATCATTTCGAACAAGTAACAAGTCACACTACATCAAGAATACAACAACATGTACACACTCGTCGCTGGAGGTTATCGTTCTTCTATCGCTTTACTTCAATTCGAACCTTCCACCGCAAAACTTAAGCTCGTATCTGAATCTGAAACTCCTGAAAACCCTTCTTGGGTAGAGAAGAGTAAAGTTAAGTCTGGGGTTTTGTATTCCCTTTCTGAGAACGACGATGGTTTAGCTTTAAGTCTCGCTTTAAGAGATGATAAGATTATCGTGACTGGTCAGAGAAAAACTTATGGTGGTGCTACTCATGGTGAGTTGTTCTTCACTCAATTCCCTCTATCATGTTATCCATTCTTTCGTTCATCTTGGTCATGTTCGGTACTTTCTCCCGCTTCTTCTCACTCCACTCTATCGTAATCGCCTTCTTTGTGCTACCCTGTTGAGCTGACGTATGGTTGATCTGACGTATGATTGATCTGACGTATGATTGCATTGACGTATGGCTGAACTGACGTATAGTACACTGCATGAAAGATGGTTCAGGTATCGTCATAGCCAACGTTCGTCCAACTTTCACATAATTCACATCAATCCATTGTGGACTACTCCAACTCATTAATCTTCGTCTTTCCCCATATATGACGATGCTCCACCACTTGACTTTCCATCTTGTTGCTTCCTTTCTTCACTTGCCCGAGTTAACCCACTCTAACCCCTGCTACTCGTCCGATCTTCCCACTCCACCACTCACAGACTAATGTACGTCACATAAACCTCATGACTTGTGTGTGTGGGAATAAGATGATACCAGAGACCATAAATGAAGAAACTTTGTAGATGGAGAGAAAGCATATAGGAAACTGACCAATCAGTTCATAGGAGGTTCCGTAATCTTCTTTCCTCTTAATCCTGATGGATCTCTTTCCCAGACATCTGAATCACCAAAATTACAATTTCCTAATTTATACGAAGACAAATCTCCTAATCCTGAACGTCAAGACTCACCTCATGCTCATCAAGTACTCGAAGGTGAGAATGGAGTAATGTACATCCCTGATTTGGGGAATGATAGAGTATGGATAATCGGTAGGGTAGGAGAGAGTGGATTGGAAATTCGAGGAGAATTAAAATGTCCTCCTGGTTCAGGACCTAGACATGGTGTTATTTCAGATGATTGTGAGTTTTTCTTTCAAATCAATAATAAACTTTTTCTTCCCCCAAACCAAGATACTCAAACCACTAAAAAAAAAAACTTACTAAATCTCAGTGAAACATCTTTACATTCTATCCGAACTCACTCATATAATCTATTGTTTCATCCTCCCTCCACCACCTTCATCAAACCCTACGACATTCCCGATAATCTCTCCAGTTCAAGAGTTTTCAATTAACATCTTACCACCTACCATCTCCCCAAATCAAAGTGATCCCATGCTTTCTGCGGAAATCGTTGCTCATCCTCAATACCCAAACGTCCTCTACGCTTCTAATCGAGCTGAAATGGATATAAATGATCATCCTTCTGGATCTATCCAAGGAGACGCAGTGACAGTGATCCTTCTCAGTGAAGATGGAGAAAAATGTCAATCTATCACACATGTCAGGACGGGATGTAATAATATCAGAGCTTTGAGTATCAGTCCTGATGGTAGATATGCAAGTTTGGCAGGTCAGAATGGTGGTGGGATTGAAATTTGGGCTATCAGTGGTGAAAGGGGAGAAAATTGGAAGTTGGCTGCAAAATTGGAGAATTTGAAGAAGATTACAGATATCGTCTGGATTTGAATGGGTGTTCTCTTTCTTGTCCTTAATCAAGATTCAAACTTTCCAAAATGGGGGGGGGGACCTTTTGTTTTCTCTAATGACTGAAGCCCAACTCCTCTTTTCTGTTTTTCACACGAATTGATACAAGTCCTTACCACAAACGATTGACTCTTCTGTCACACTCATCGAATCAACAATATCACTCATTACCATTATCACACCCTTTCCAATCCTTCATATTCAACACTTCACCTGTACGATAATTCGGCTCTCAAAGCACACGCCACTCTTCCATGTATTTCACACAATTTAGACACTATCAAGGATGATTTTGATCCAAATTGAATCACTGTAGATATGTCAAGAGTTATGAGATATTTTGTCAAGCTCTGATTGTAAACTTGATCTCAAATCCTGTAAACATGTTATGAATGTCATGTCGATTTTGATCTCTGGCTTCATCTTCTATGTCTGATCAAATGAAATGAAATGATCAGTAGCATGTTCATCCCTGGCTTCACCTTGCTTCCACTAGTATATACAGGACTAACTTTCGTCCACTTATTCCAATGTGAGGAAGTTTGTTCCTTGGATTAGTGGAACACGCACTGAGCAGGATGTGAAAACTTTCCAAGGCCACAATTTGCTCATGACCTGAATAGTTTCGGTTCGAAGAGTGGAGATGCATACGATGATACCCTATCCCATTTTGTTCAATACTTCCCAAATGCAACATGACTCTGTAATCCCCGCTCGACCTGCACTATCATTCTCCAACGTCATCTATTCATCGCATTACCCCCTCACTAATTGTCTCACTCAGCCCACGTCTCTCTCCCCTTGAATTACTCTTCATCTCCATCCCTACGACCCTTCATTGATCTATCCTATCTACCTCAAAGAGCTACATGTGGATCTGATAAGCTCGATCAAAACCTCACATCATCCCCATCCCTCCCATCCCTGGCATTCCACCCATTCCTCCCATTCCCCCAGCGGGCGTTTTCTCCTCCGCATCGACCACACAAGCTTCGCTGGTAGTCAACAAACTAGCCACCCCACTCGCATCCACCAAAGCGGTACGGACCACTTTCAATGGGTCGAGAATACCAGCAGAGATCATATCCCTATATTGAGAAGTTTGAGCGTCGTATCCCCAGTTGAACTTGTCAGGAGAAGAGAATTCGTCCGATAACAGTTTACCAACTACCACGGAACCTTCTTCTCCAGCGTTATCGACTATGGTTCGAGCGGGACGGAGGATGGCGTGACGGATAATGGAGACTCCTAGTTTTTGATCAAAGTTTTCCACGGTAAGGGCTTCTAGAGCTCGGGAAGCTTTCTGTGGAGTCAGCGATCGTCTTTCTCACGTATCGCTAGTCTCGAGTCATCGCTCCGGGTTAAATCTGCCGTACATACATCTGTTCAAGTGACTTTCTCTGGAGGTCAAAGAAAGAAGATCGGATGGAGCCGGAAGAGGTAAGAGTTGAGTTGGTATGACGACCCACTCACCAACAAAGCAGTCCCACCTCCGGGGACAATACCTTCTTCAACAGCCGCTCTAGTAGCGTTCAAAGCATCATCATACCTATCCTTCTTCTCCCCGACCTCCACTTCACTAGATCCTCCCACTTTGATGACTGCCACTCCCCCACCCAACTTGGCCAATCTCTCTTGCAACTTGGTACGATCATAATCGCTCGTGGTAGTATCGGCAATGACACCTCTAATCTGTTCACATCGAGCCTGAATGGCCGATTTGTCACCTTCACCATTCAAAATGATGGTGTCTTCTTTGGTGATAGTGATCGATCCAGTAGTTCCGAATAAATCAGGAGTAGCTTTTTCCAGTTTGACATCCAACTCATCCGTGAAAACCGTTCCACCAGTAAGGATGGCGATATCACCCAAGATGGATTTCCTGTTGTCCCCGAATCCAGGTGCTTTGACGGCGGCGACGGTGAGCTGACCACGAAGCTTGTTGAGGATAATCGCCGCCAAGGCCTCACCATCCACATCTTCAGCAATGATGAGTAAAGGGCGTCTAGTCTGAGCGGCAATTTCGAGAGAAGGTAGGATATCTTGGAGAGCAGATATCTTCTTTTCCGAGAGCAAGATAAAGGGTTTCTCCAATTCTACACGTTGATTTTTCGCGTCGGTAATCATGTAAGGTGAAAGGAATCCACGATCGAATCGCATCCCTTCGGTGATTTCAATTTCGTCATCGATAGTTCGACCTTCTTTTACAGTGATGACACCTTCTTTACCGACTTTTTCCATGGCTTGAGCGATGATGCTGCCTATATGAGTATCACCGTTGGCAGAAATGGTGGCGACCTGCAAATGTCAGCTTGTAATTCCCTCCGAAGGTCAGACAACAGCTAACCTGGGCGATCTCTTCAGAAGTAGTGATAACCCTCTTGTTCGCTTCGAGAACTTTGAGAACTTCTTCTACTGCTTTTTGTGAACCTCGACGAAGATCCATAGGGTTGCAACCCGCAGCGACATTTTTGACACCTTCAGAGTAAATAGCACGGGCGAGAACGGTAGCAGTGGTGGTACCGTCACCAGCCGTGTCATTGGTTTTGGAAGCAACGTCTTGGACCAATCTAAGTATAAGCCGCGTTCCATCCTCGCCTGCTCAATTTAATACGAAACTCACCTTGCTCCGAGGTTCTCGACAGGATCTTTGAGGGTAATGGCTTTGGCCACAGTGACACCGTCTTTGGTGATTTTTGGTCCGCCGAAACTTTGACCTGCCCACTCAGCTTACAGTACTTATGAGGAAAAGTGAAATGACATACCGATGATGACGGTGCGACCCTTGGGACCGAGGGTGGCAGAGACGGCTTTTGCGAGGATGTCGACACCTCTCAACATCCCTTGTCGAGCGTCATTACCAAAGAAGACATCTTTGCTGGCGTATCCTCTTTTGGCCACAGTAGCTGATTGGAGGAGACGAGCGGGACGAGGGAGAGCGGTACGAGAACGAGCGATGTTAAGCATTATGTAGATGCTATGAGATCGTTCAAGATGGAAATGTCATTGAGGGAAATTTCTAGGCCGAAGGGGAGAAGAGATGGAATGCCGATAGTCGACCGTGGGAAAACGATCGAACGGTCTAGAAAGTTTGGCTCAAAGCTCGTCTCCTATCACCACTCTCCTCTCTCCAACATCCCTCTCAACTCACTCGCAACAACATGGTGAGTGTACTCTCTCTCTCTCTCTCACTGTAAGAGGGAATCCATCAGCTTGATTGACGAGAGGGCAGAGATCATGTTCGAAAAAGATGTAATGAAAAGCTGATGGTCCAGTCCGCGTCTGCTACTTTCAAATCCATCCGTTCCCTTCAACCCCTTCTCGATCGAGTCTTGGTACAAAGATTCAAAGCCGAAACCGTAAGTCTTATTCTCACTCCATCTTTACATACTAGACCTACCCCTTGATCTCTCAAGTACCCTTGAATCCCTTCCATGTCTTCCAGGGCATGTTCTCTTCCAACCATGATGGCAGATCAATTCGTTGATAATCTTAAGAAAACCGCTACTGGCTTATTTCTTCCTTCCACGGCCACCTCTTCCCCGTTACCCGAAGCGACCGTGATCGCCGTCGGTCCCGGTGCTCCTAACAAGGAGGGGACCGTAGTGCCCGTCTCTGTTCAACCAGGGGACAAGGTGTTATTGCCCGGATGGGGCGGGAACCCCATCAAGGTCGGTGAAGAGGTGAGTTTCTGTTCTTCTTCCATCTTCCAATTGAGATTGATGGAACGTTCTGATGGATAATCAGGAATACCACCTGTTCAAGGATTCGGAAATCTTGGCCAAAATCAATGAATAGATGAGGAAATAACACAAAAATCAGTGGGAAAGATGGGATAAGGGGTGTCATCAGGGGTTTGTCCAATCTTTCCTTCTCAAACGCATGCAGCATTCACCGCTCAAAACTGACCGTCAAATTGATATACGTGTATACTGATCTACCCTTGATCTAAAGACTATATGACTTGTCGCTGAGGGAAGCATGCAACGTGGTCGGAAGATCAGAATGGAATAATCAAATAAGTGGGTGAAATTGGACGGAACAACGTGTAGAGATCACGATGGGGAGGGCGCTAACCTGACATTTTTTGATGCACCAACCCGTCCTGTCTACTAAGTGTTCCATGGAATGACTTATCCTATTCGCCACCTCATCCCCACATTTTGCTTCCTGTGCTTCCCTCTCTCTCAGCGTTCTCCTCTCACTCACAGCAGCAGACACCCTCTATTTACCACTCGTAATGATACGTCTCAAAGAGGACAGCATAGCTTCCACCCTAACCCGACCTCTCGTCATCCTCTCTAAAGAGCTTGGACTCGATGTAGCCGCCGGCACTTCTTTGTTCAAAAGCAACCACGTCCTGGGAATGCTCCTCGGTGGAACGCTATGGGCCGCCTTCATCGCCCTATTCAGGAAGCTCGCGGGGGACATCGGTCAGAGTATCTCTCATTGTGAGTGTTAGCATTTCTTCTCCCATATGACAGTATATCATTGACTTTTACAGTCTTCTTTCCTTCTGCATATATCACTTCGGAAGATCCTGCCAGGCAATGGGTTGAAGCTTGGATAGCATCAGATCCTATAGCTCAAGCCCGGATTGGCGATTTCATCGTTCAGACGACCTATTTGCATAATATGCGTTCTTCAACTCGTAACATCATCATCACCAGTCATGGTAGCAAGATTCGAGAATACGAGCACGACAGGCGGAAAGCCAATACCAGAGGAGAAGAGGTTATTGCACAGGCGCTGCCCCTATCAAGTGAGAGGATTAACATCAATGTATTCTGCACGACTGACTTACGTCAGAACATACTCTTCGGCTGTCGTTCAATGGTCAGTGGGTATGGGTCACCCTATCTGACACGAGCTGGTCTCAAGCTAAAGATAGTCGCATACGTCTCACGTCAGTCTCATCGTTTTGCTCATCATCTAAACAAACTGACAGTGATAGTACCACATGTTTCCAACGCCAAGCAGTTAGAGAATTCTTAGCAGAGGCTCATTCACGTTACTTCAAAAAGGAATCACAGGAGATTTTCATCTTTCACAGGTATGTTTGTTATTGAAAGACTTAGCACTAAGACCAGTTGCGATGAGCGCTATTCTCACCCTTGGGGTACCCCTATGGCACGCCCTGTCAGACCTTGGTCGTCGGTCATATTACCCGGAACGATGAAAGAAGATTTGTTACGAGACATTGAAAGTTTTCTCTCTCCTGAAGAAGTTGAGTGGTATGCTAAAACGGGTAAGTAAATACCTCTCTTTCTTCCCCATGCAATATCTGATGTGAAGGTATCCCACACCGTCGAGGTTACCTCTTCTACGGCGAGCCAGGAGGTGGAAAGTCTACACTTGGTACGTGTCATTCTTGTCTATCAACGAGGTAGTATCGAGTGGTTTGATCCTTGTACTAAATTCTAGTCGCTGCTTTGGCAAGTAAACTCCGTCTGGACATCTACACACTCTCCTTGAGCGGGCAGTGAGTCATCCGAACTTCCGTGACTATCAGTGTGGTGCTGATTTATCAGAATGGATGACGCTCGTCTAAATCGATTACTCCGAGAATGCCGACCACGCAGTATAATCCTCATAGAAGACATGTGAGTTCAAACTCTTCGTAATTTTGAATGCACTGACAGCTAGAGATCGGGCTTTTGCCCCTCCGAAGGGTCACGAGCTACTACTACTGGAGGAAGAAATCGAGATAGAGCATCACAAAAGAAAGTCTAGCAGTAGTCGATCAACAGTGCCTGAAAAACCACCTCAAGTCACCATGTCAGGACTTTTGAACGCGATCGATGGTGTTTCGAGTCAAGTGAGTGGTATGCAGGCATCATTCTGAAACCCGACTAATGATATCAGGAAGGATGTATCTTGATTGCATCGACGTGAGTACTAATTCCTCGGATGAAAGTATGTTGTATCTGACTCCCAGAAATCATCCAGATCAACTTGATCAAGCTCTTTCACGAGCAGGACGATTCGATGTGAGAGTTCCCTTTTATCCTGCTCAACCGGATCAGGCAAGACGATTGTTCCTTCATTTTTACTCGACTTATCCATCAACATCACTACGCACCTCTCGCATCGACCTTTCATCCCTCTCTCCCGAGAGCGTCAAAGAGAAGGACATCAGTCACCCGGATCACTCGAATGACATGGGCGTGGAGAACAACAAACATCAGTGTGATGAGCGATCTACGACAAAGTCAGAAATACTAGAAGAACTAGCGATCAAATTCGCTGACGCCCTTTTCCCATCATTCACAACTGAAGAAGAACAAGACCAACAGATAGAAACACAAGGACCTAAGTTATCCATGGCATCCATCCAGGGATATTTACTCAGATGTAAGAAAGATCCATGGGCAGCTGTCGAATATGCTGCTAAATGGAAAGAAGTAGAATTGGCAGCTATGTCATTCAAACGTCCCAAGTCGATAAAGATCAAATCGAAGAAGACTGTCAAAGGTGTGAAGAGCGTTACGGGTCGGAAGGAAGAGATCGGTACCACCGGTGAGGATGAAAGTGGAAATGAAGTGGGTGAAGTCCAAGTGGATGATACTGCCATGGTAACAAGTGTTGTCGAATCGGACAATTAGCATGATTCACATTTCAGTGTGGTAGGAGGACCGACTTCAGTCGGGGTGAGGAAAGTATCAGGGACCGGTGATATCATGGTCGAAGAAAGCGACGAGTTGTGATGAGACAGGAAGGACATTGGTAATGCATACCTCAATTTGATCATGTACATATCATTTGGTCTATAATCGAAGCACCCTGCCTAGAAGTTTTACCGGCCTGATCTCTATCTCTTGTAAGAAGTCTTTACATGGGGAAAGACAGATTCCTCCAAATGAAGTGATTATGTAGTCTTGTTGACTCGTGGACTCGGGTCTTTCAAAGGAATGTGAATTCATACAGTAAACATGACGGGCACATGAAGATATAGTACGAGTTGAGGACTGAGAAATGAACAACTGGACAACTCGTACACTACATGATTAGTGCTGATCAGCCATCAACAACGCTGTTCAGTCTGCTCAACCGTCTCTCCTGCCACAACAACCTTTTCTCCCTCCTTGACGTCCATCTTTTCTCCGTTATCAGGTCCTTCCATCCTTTCGATCTTATCGATCTCATCCCTCTTGTCAACGGTGTCAACCTTGTCCACCCTTTCTACCTGATCAAATTTGACTACCTCTTGCACTTTGTCGACGTTGTCGACTTTGTTCACCCCTTCCTTCTTTATAACCTCATTCACCTGTCCTACCTTGTCCACTTTGTCAACCCCATCCCCCTCTTCCTTAACCTCAACCTCCTGAACATCCACTTCCAACTTCTTCCCGTCTTTCTTACTTTTCTTATCTCTCTTATCTTTTCTATCTTTCTTACCCTTCTTCCCCTCCTCAGAGAAATCAGGTCCAGCACCTAAACCCCCAACTTTATTACTGTTTACCGGTAATTCCTTCGCCCATTCTTTAGCAGCTTGAACAGCTTTAACAGGATCATCTTTATACTGTAACAAGTAACTTTGTAAAGAAGCCATACTAACACCTTTTTCTTCTCCTCCAACTTTATCTTTATCCCCTGTTGGGAAGATAAAACGTACGAATTCATCAGCTAGATATTCTAAATTCAATGGTTTTGTTAGATCCATTGTCTCCGAATCGACTCGCTCTTCGAAATCGTCATCCGAGTCTGTGGTCGGTGTGTCGTGCGTGACCAGGCGAGTCGCTTCGGTGAGACTTTTCTCTTTCTCAGTATCGGAGAGGAGAGACGAATCAATATTGATCTCAGGGAGATTCTTCTCTTGAGATTCATGTTGATTGGTATTGAAAGCTGTCGTTGAAGAGAAAGAAGGAGGGAGAGGATGAGTGAAATCTTCGGCAGGATAGAAATGTAAGAATAAAGCTCGGGCTTGTGATGGGATAGCAGTTGTGAATGCTATTTGGACGTCGAATCGTCCAGCCCGAGAAAGAGCGGGATCAAGACGATTGGGATGATTACTGAGATCAATATCTGTTTTCGCATTGAGTCATCCTCTGCACACAGTCGACTAGGACCTTTCGAAGGTGAAAGGCGGGGTAGTGCGCTAGATTTTGAAGAGGGAGCGAAGAGCAGAAATGTCAGGAGCGATGGGAAAGTTTCAGATGCTGTACAAGAATAGTCAAGAGACGTGGTGACTGTCCATATAGGAGATGAAGAGGTATATTGTAGGAGACAGTTCGGACGGAGGTAAGTAGGAGAGGGGGAAAAAGAGGAAGAGGAAGCTCCGGGGGATATTGAGGAACAGGAATGGAGGAAGTGGTAGTTGACTCACGTAGAAGCAATCAAAATACATCCTTCTTGACTCGAAACACCATCGATGGCATTCAGCAAACCGCTCAAAGTGACTGTGGAAGGAGCCAGGTCATGTGAACCCAATGCGACGGTAGAAGTCGGTACTGGAAGTGCGACCTGGTCAGCGTCTGCAGCTTCTTCACCATTTTCAGTGCTGTCGTCTTCCCTGCTCAATCGGGCTCTACCACCAGAGGGGAACACACAATCGCTATTTGTCAGCTGAGGTACATGAAGGGTGGTCCCAAGCATATCGCTACAGTTGAGGGAGTGGAGAGAGAGTGAGGGGCATGGAAAAAAGTTGGTGACAAGGTGAAGAGATTGTGAGATGAAATAGGACAAGGAGTCACATGAGGATGTTCAGGTCAGATTATTTTACTCACATATCTTCAATCAGGATGACACTTCGAGCTGGACAGTCCCGGAAGAGTTTGGAAAGCTTAGCATCATCCATACTGCAATCATCAGCTTTTATCAAACTCGGAGACCAGGTTCTACGCTCCGGTGCGAGAGGAGAACCAGCTCAATGCACCCCGACTCCGATGATTGACGGAGGTACGGGGAGGACCGTATGGGTTGAAAGGGGGGAGCAAATCAATTAGCCGATCGATCAGAGTTGCGAAGAGGAACTCAAAAGAGGTGCAAGGAAAACAGAAGGAAGACCCACCCTCTTTGAGACGGATTGATCACGTAAATGTCCAACTTGAGTTGACTGGCAATAGCCGTCGCCAAAGTCGTTTTACCCGATCCTGGTTCACCGTGGAAAAGATATCTCGACATCAGTTGAGCAATTCTTCAAAGCATTGTACTTCTCACCCTTTACGATGAGGAATTCCTGTCCGAATGAGCTCGGATCGGTAACTGAAACAAGAAGAAACACACCTCTGGCAGCATACCAATTGACTTCCCTTTCACTGAGGAATTTCTCAACATCGGCAAGCAAATTGTCTTTCAATCTGTCGGGGAGAATGACCGATGACCAAGGACGAGCAGGACGAGAGACGGGAGTTTGCCATGCTGCTTTGATACGCCTGAAGAAGTCAGCACATCTTCTTTCTTGTAGTCGTAATGATGTCTTCTCCCGAAAATACACTAGAGTAATCGCTAATCAGAGACAGCGTTACTCTGGATGTTGCTTATAGACTGGTATACATACATAGCAAAGGCGGAAGATTGGGGGAATGAGAGTATATGACTAGAGAAGACAGAGATGAAATGGACACTCACATAGCATGATAGATCAGTAATTCTTTATCGGTTTTCTGGAAATAAGCCTTATGAGCGGCGGTCAAAAATTCTTTCAAAACATCTCCCTGCCATGAGAAAGTCTTGATCGCAATATTCTCAACCCTGTTATGATTACTTCTGGCGAAAAACGATCCTCGTCGAACGATCCATAGGTATTTTCCGTTAAATTTGATCCTTATAGTTTGATCTACTATCTCAGTATCCCTTCTCGGAATGATAAAGATGACATACAGAAAGTAGGTAATATTTGACCTATAATCTCATCATTGGACCAAGAACAATTTTGTTCTCCTACGTTTTGACTCGGTCTATCGCCTTTGTCCGCACGAAGAGAATTTCCAGTTGGTTTTCTGATGGAACGAACTTCATCGGTAGATAGTTGGAAATGGCAGATTTGTTTTTGTGCACCTGGATCTTGAGCGATATAGGCGAGAACCCAGAGACAGGCGGGGTCGGTAGCGGCGATATAGGCAGATGGAAATATATCTGTCAAGTAAGCTCTCACGCTCACCCTTATTAAAAGCCCTGCCATGATCGGAAGGAAGTATTTTGCAAGATGATAGGCTAGTGAAGGAAGCTCACGTCTGGTTAATTTATCTTGCAGATACTTGTAGATAGAACGAAGAGCAGATACGGCCGCACCGATCAGTAACATTCGAATAACGATAGAAGTAATTTGTGCCATATCACCTTCTCGAGCTAAGCGGACGAGATAATGCGCACCGCGATTGACGATGTAATCCATGGGGTCCATGATTGGATACCTATCAATCAGGAGGTCTAGTCAATTAGGATGACAGTGATAGGTTGTGTGAGTAAGTATTTATGTGAACTGTCAAATAAGAATTATCCAAGGTGAGAAGCTACGAAGTCAGTGAATTGAGTATATATGAGTTAGTGTGAGAAGATGCAAGTTGGAGTTTTGATGTGAGCAAGAATATCAGAAATGTGTGGTGAATGACAAGGTATGTTGGATGGAAGAGATGAGGAAAGAATTGCCTTTCTTCGTATTAATTTATATGACCTGCGGAGCTAAGGGGGCGGTGGCATCTTTGAAGTGGTCAAAGGTCTTCTACGCAACTCACCTTTCATGATATCCACCCACCTTTGACAATCGCTCTAGGGGTGTGGAGGCGGCGATGCCACAGATTCAAGGTTTGACCTGTTCTATGGAGAGATAGTATGATACGAGTTTGCAGGGACAAGGAGTAGTATTTAAGCTTCTATCGGTGTCTGAGTTCGAGGCGTGTAAGGAACGTATTCTGCGTTTCATATCATCTTCTATGTGGATGAAAGGATGAGAGTTGACATGTCGTTTCAAATCTCTGCCTCCCATACGCCTCTATACGTCAGTGACTGTAATGACATGGCAGATCTCTTACCTTAGTCCATTAAAACCGATGACTCTTCTACCATCTCTCTGGGCGGCTTCCCAATCGTCAACCGTGAGATCCACCTCTCTAACGATACCTTTCTCTAGGAGATATCTCCGCATCACTCCGTCGAGAAATGGTGCAGTCTTACGGTCTAGTCGTGGTGTGGCCCAATCAGGCATACCGGGTACGGGAAGATAAATGGCGATGTTGGAAGTATTTGTCTCTAGTAATACGGATTTTGTATGTAAAAGCACTTCCGGATGGGAACCAGAAGCTCCTGCTGCCCCTATAATGTCATGAGAGTAACAAAGAGAAAATTGGAAGCTCACCTCGTTCTGCCGCATGATCGTATATCTGTCGTAAGGTCGTTTTGTAGAGTCTGGAATCTCTCTGTGATTGTGTCTCCGTAGAAAGGTCAGTTTCCAACGGGTCCAGCACTAGGGGTCGTCTGAAAGGGCTTCTCGCGGGTGCAGGACGTAATTGAAAGAAGTCTTCAGGTCAGACTCGCACTGCGTAAGAGTATGCCACATACTTGCGTCCGCAGGAGCCGGTATAGCCTGCACTTCCAAATCGGTTGGAAGAGGATGTAAGACGACTCTCACCTGCTGTTAGCAACTCCCTTTCAGCAGTATCAGGTGAATCCACAAGAGAGGACTCATTGACGTACTCTGTAATCACCAGGTTCACACTGCTTCAGTAATGTCTCGATCTTCTCCCAAATTCTTTCATCCCCCGGCCATACGCCCCAGACTCCTTGGCCGCTCTTGCCCGAGAAATACTTATGCGCCTCTCTCAGACGTTTCAAATGCCAAGGAAACAACGGGACTTCCGACGATCCGACTCGTCTCTCAAAAGGTGAATGCCCACTGGCATACCTCATCGTAGTGAACAATGAGAACGACGGCTGAGGGTTAACAAAACATATGCATATGGTTGCGAGTAATGGTAAATCATACTTGGTCATTCTCATCAGTCTTCGTTTCTCCTTCAAGCTCCGTGACATTGTCTTCCCATGAGAATCCGTAGCCGGCCGTGGGCTGTTGTCAGCTTTGCCTCAAACATGAGATGTATGACGCACCTCCAAGGACCAAGCTCGAAGGGCGGATACTGTGGCTTCACCCCATCCCCCTGCTAGTGACATATCCGAATTAGCTGACTCTCCTCCTGGAAGATCGACTATGCGCATGAGTGAGAGGTTTTCCGGATTGATAAACCCCGCTTTGGCGGCAGATCCGAAAAGTGTTCTGAGGGGAGTGTAGAAGTTGCCAACTAATTTCATCAGAGACTTACAGCACTTGCACGACAGACTAACCATTAAGTATAATCACTGGTAGACGATGGATGCCGAGCTAGACGATCAGCGCTCCACACCCACCTGACATGGCCTCACTCTCGAAGATCACTAGACGGTGGAAGGCGAAGGAAGACAATGGGGAGTCAAGGAGGAGTCATACCTGGTTCCACGTGATCATCTCCAAGGCTTCCTCGAACGTCCCATAGCCACCAGGAAGGACGATAAATCCGCCCGTGGCCAATTGAGCCATCCTCATTTTTCTCTGCGCCTTGTCAGTCGCTTCGTCCGTTAGCACGTGGCTGTAAGGAAGACTCACATCATGCATCGTACCAGTGACCTGATTTGTGAATCGACCACCGTAATCCTCAGTGAGGATCTCCTTTCCTGTCCCTTCTTCAGACTTGACCTGATTCGTTGATGCACCGCTGGAGGAGGGCGCTGGGGTGTACTCTGAAGCCCTCTTCACTAAAGCTCGGGGGAGTACACCATGGACGTATCCACCAGCTTCGAGGCAAGCTTTTGAGACTACGCCTGAGGTATAAGTATCGTATGAGGGAACTGAAAGACAGAACGAACCCATGATGCCTCGCTGACCACCTCCATAGATCATAGGTGTGTGAGCTTCGGCAAGAGCTTTCCCTACGGCATGGGCGGCTTCTATGTAGATTGGACTAGTCCCAATGTTGGACCCACAGCTGATAGGTGAGAGATACTCTCGTCGGGAATGCTCGAAGACTCACAAGACACATACCGGCTTGTGCATACCTGCCAAGGGGAGAAAAGGTGCTGGAGTTGACATGATCAAGTATTGTATCGTATGGAAGAAAGTCAGTCGATCAGTCGGAAGGTAAACGTTCTTTCTTCATTCACAAAGGTGGGCAGAATTGGAGCCCCGCCTCGTCACACCACACTTACACGTCTGAAGAATTCGCCGAAACGCCGATTCGGATCCTGATAGAGGACCGACTGGCCGCTGACGATGACATCGACGTGTCTAATACGCAATCTTTCTCTACAACTACTCGACACCTCATTAGGACATCGCAAGTCTCATATCCCGATTTTATCAGAATCATGTTCATCTTAGTTCGTTTCCCTCTAGCTTCATACCCTTTCTGTTCAGCTCGTGTGAGAGGGGCCACGCTGATTTCCAGAATTGGTTTTGGGACGTCCTCGCTCAACTCGGTGAGCTGTTTGTGCTATGGTTCCTCACCAGCTGACACATGTAGGACTCACGAGTAAATCTGCCAAACTCCTCTTTCTCGGTCTCGACAATGCGGGTAAAACTGTCAGCTCTTCCTCTGACCGGTGGAATGTGGAATGTTGACTTGACTTAGACCCTTTTGCATATGCTCAAAAATGATCGATTGGCAACTTTACAACCCACCCTTCATCCCAGTGAGCTACCCATCTCTCATCTTTCACACTAGATATCCTATCAGGTTCAGATCTCTATCAGGAAGCTGATGAGGCATATGAGTAATATTGGGACATCAGTATGAAAACTCCGAGACTAGACTGACATACAGCATCCGAGGAATTGTCAATTGGCAATGTCAGATTCACAACCTTTGATCTAGGAGGTCACATGCAAGCACGTCGACTATGGCGAGATTATTTCCCAGAGGTGGACGGAATAGTCTTTTTGGTCGATAGCGCGGATACGGAACGATTTGCCGAGAGTAAAGCGGAGCTGGATGCTTTGTGTAAGTCTGTCCACATTCTTGTTTCCTCTTGAAACATCACTCATTCTCATGTTCGTTTTACTAACCGGCGTTGCTCTCAGTTTTGAGATAGTAAAGCGAAGGAATATTTGGCTGTTTGACACGCTCTTACGATAGTCAATAAGAGTGGAGGGCATAGGGTCTGAATAGCGAGTACAAACGGAATATTACAATTGTTTAACTCTCAGTATCAATCGAATCACTCGCTATGGTTCCTTTCCTCATTCTGGGCAATAAGATCGATGCCATGGGTGCCGTATCTGAAGAAGAGTTAAGACATCAACTGGGTTTGTATACCACTACCGGAAAGGTCAGTTCATCCATTTTCACCTTTATCTCAAATCATATGACACCACACTTGCCTCCGTTCTTACCCCGTCCTTGCAAGATGTGTTACCTATCGAGTGTTTATCCATATTTTACTCTGCTTCCAACAATGCAGACATAGCTGATGATCAGGGCAAAATACCTCTCCGTGATATCCGTCCCATCGAAGTGTTCATGTGTTCCGTCGTCATGCGTCAAGGTTATGGTGAAGGATTCAGGTGGTTATCACAATACGTGTGTTTCTTTCTTCTTCCTCAGAGGTCGGAATTTGACTGATATCAGATCTGATCAATTTTGTGAATATGAGATGTGAGAATTTGGTCAGTAGGTCGGCCGCGGCCAATGGAATGGAGAGGTATGATACGAAGTAAGATGATCACCTGTCATAGACCACGACCGGGGTCATGTATAATGAAAATATATGAGTGCATGCGACTTTTCTGGATCCAACTTACGTTTTCCGCATTGCCATCTCACCTTGGATTTACCGCTCATTCTTCCCTTCAAGGTTCAAATCCGACTGCTCGATCCCCTCCTGCCCTCTCATGGTCCCCTTATTTCTCCTTTATCGTCCAATTGTTTCCCTCGTACTCTTGACAATTGACAAGCCCAAGCATGCATGACTTCGAAAAGCTATGCCAAGACCACATCACAATGTCGTACGACTTAGGCCTTTCGTCTCGCCCTCGGTGTAGCTGTACCTCCCCTTCCTCTCCTCGCCCTAGGTATAGTACCCACCACAGGTGGTGGACTTCCACGTTCACTCGGATCCTGAGTAGTCGCTCTCCTGGTGCTCCTCCTAACTGCCGGTGTCTCCAATACAGTCTCCATACTAGCTATACTAGCTCTAGCCTTATGTTTCCCTCTTTGTCTTTTACTAGGATAATTGGGTTCTTCATCTTCCAAAGCGCGTGACATGGATCTTGTAGCTCGTGAATTCCGAGTATTAGGTATTTCAGAAGTTGCACGAGTGACACGTCTCGTTTTTGAAGGTGGAGATGGTGGATTGAACGAGCCAGGCATAAAAACAGTATCATCATCTTCTTCTTCATGTTGTACTCTTTTGCTTTGGATTGTTTCAATGTCTGTTTCCTGTAATATTGGTTCATGATGTGATTTCGGTTTAGATGAACGAGTTGAACGACGTTGTTGTTTAGACGAATCACCAACTTCTTTGAAATGATTCTTCTCTTCTTGGTCCTCGATGATCTTAGGTGGAGCATGTTGAATGGAAGAAGAACGCGGAGGTAAATTGGTGATTGGTTCCACATGTTTCGTCGTCATGATTTTGGGAGTGGAAGTGGGTAAAGTATGAGTAAAAGGTTGAGTGGGTATATGATCAGAGGTTGGATTTGAGTGTTCAGAAGATAAATCGTCATTGATAATCTTCCTTGTCCTAGGTATTTTCTTTGTCGGTGTCGTATCATCTTGTATTGATTTAGGTAACGTAAATGGACTACCACTTGCTACTCTTGTTTTGATAGGTGAATTAGAAGCTGACGTTGCGAATTTCGGTGGACCGGAAAAAGGACTTGCGGCTCTATTTCTGGATTGAAGTGAGATAGTTTTAGATATACCTAATCCGATTGAAGAAGAATTTGGTCTATCTGATAAACTTGATATCTGTAGGTCTTTGGATGATTTAGAAGTTTCAGGTTGATCATCCTTCATGAGCGTGGAATTGGGATGAGGGATTGATATCCAAGTATCCGACATTGACATTTCGACATCTGTCTCTCCATGACCGTTCAATGTCGTAGTGGATATTTGAGGTTCAACGAGTCGATGACCATTATGTTTGACATCCCCAGGATTTACGGTGGTGTCGAATTGGTTATTTGATAAGATTGAGACGGGATTTGTGGATGGTATAGTAGATAAGGATGTATTTGAAGGATAAGAATAAGAATCTAACATTAAAACCCTTCTTTGAGCCTCTGGTAAAATCCCAATGAATTCTCTAACCATTTCTCTCCTTCTATACCTTTCTTCTTCATTTCCTATCCCTCCAGCTAAATCTTTATCTAATTGTAAACTCTCAGAATATTGTCCAGTATGTACTAATCTCAACGTAACCAAATCCGCCAATAATTCCTTCGTATCTCTAGACATTCTCTTAGGTGGATGATGTAAGAATTCGATCAAATTACTTTGTTCTTCTTCCAATAAAGGGAGATGAATTAATTCTTTCAATAAACGTGTTTGGACCATGGGAGTATCAGAACCACAAGGTATATCGGGTATACCGAATAACCAACATAAGAGAGAAGAGAAAAGTTTTGATTTGTCAAGTGGGAGAATACGTATTTGATTGAAAGCTGTAGAGAGGGACGATACGTGAGCGAGGGAGAAGAGACGGAGAAGGTTTTCTTCCATTGTGATGAGAGGAGGATGAACGGAGGTGAGGAATTTATGGATGAGTGAAAGGGATAGAGAGGAGGGAGGAAGGGTGGAAAGGGTTTGAAGAATGGTGGAAGTGAAATTAAGGGATGTTATAGCTGGGTCTGAGAGATGATGGACGGCATCCTATGATTTAGCATTGTATTCACTAAAGTAGTGCTCTCGATAACGATATTATGCTCGACGACCACGGTGGGTGAGCGAGGATGGTATTACGTGTCCGCGGAGACAATATGGATCGCCGCACTGGTACGTTTCGACCGGAAAGTACCTCATCTTTCTGAAGAAAATCACCCCAAACGTAGACCAACCAGTTCGAAAGATAAGGACAAGGAAGAAAAGAAAATGAAGAAACAAAATCAAAACTCACCTCCCATCGTTCATGATCCAAATTCCAATAACCACTCATGAAGACTCTCCAAACTCTTGGTAATCCTTTCCGTCTGGCAAATTTCTCAGCTTTCTCTTCTTCTCCCTCATCTTCTCCCTCTTTTTCTTCCCCTTGTCCCATCCCCGTATGATATTCGACACCATCGCTCACGTGATGAGGGTCGTCGGTTACCATATCATCATTCGATACATCACCTGAGCTGGAGTCTCCATTTGCGTCATCCTGCGAGACCTTTTGCGAATTGGGGATATCGGTGGAGGGGTAATCTTTGAGAAGATAGTAGAAGAAACAATCTCTTTTCAACCTGTCCACGGGGGAAGAATGGATAGCGTGGAGTAATCGACGTAAACCCGCTGGGGAAGTTGGAGGGTATAATGTTTGGCCTGATTATCAGCGACATGACAATGGGGTCATCACATTTCGAGACCTTCCATATTACGAGTTTTATACTGTGGGAGAGATGGATATTCAGAGAAGCTGTGGTATTTGGTAATCATATAGGAATTGGATCACTTGTGATCGATCCCAAGGAGCAGGGAGAGGAATGAGAAAATCCAAAGACCAAACACCAGAGTATGATGATGAGCCCCGCGTAGAAGTACACATATATGCCAGGCAAGATTGTATAGATGAACAATCTTGTATCTGGGATAACCTCCTGGAATGTTGTCGTGGAAAGGTAAGAAGACAAGGAGGAAAGACAAAACCTACCATCCACATTTGCCAATTCTAACAATCTGTCCAAAAACAACTTTCCTTCGGGGTACCTGCCTCTTCTCAACGTGATAGCCTGCACTACTTCCGATGTGTAAGGAGAAGAAGATATATCGAAATGTCTCAATATGGAATGAGGAAGTTCGTCCATCTACTCATCAGCAAGATTTGTATCGTAACAGAGAAAACCTACGATCGAAGTGGAACGTTGATGTTATAGCTTACCTTAACTTACCTCAACCGAGGGTTGTACAGAAGTTGATTTTCTTTTTCACGGATATTACATAGATTGCTAGTGACGATTCGGACTTCGTTCGTGAGAGAACCGAATCTCTTATCTCTTAGTGCCTTGTAAAGTATCAATGTGACCAAGGTGAGTGGGGTAAAGTACGAAGAGAGGATGTTTGATGGAGAAAAAAGAAACTTCAACGCGTTTAGAATTTGTTGAGGTTTTTGATGTCATCAAGAATTTTCAACTTTTACTTCACCTTTTTCATGCTTGAACTTGATAAGTTACCTGACTTCTGACATTGAGGGGCGTACAGCAAACAAGAAGACAAGCTTCCCGTATCTCTGAAATCATACATCGGGGATTATCCTTCAGCCTCTAGCCTCTCACTAGTTTCTCTGGGAGCTACCAGGTATAACGGCCACTCAAGGATCAAGGAATTGCGCATGACATGGTAATCTTCTTCACTTCCAAAGGTACGTTCTATCTCTTGCTATCTACGATGTGATCAAGCTGAAGGAATACAGTGGTAGATCCTCCTGTGGCGCTATACATGTTCGTCTGTTTTTTACTCTGTGGAATCCGCTGATCGCTGATATTCAGGGGAAGAGATAAAGTCGAGAGTGAGTTCACCGCATCTCATCGAGTTTCTTCACAAGTAGTAGTACACAACATATGAGCCCATATCGTACTCCTCTTATTATTATTCTTACAAGAGGCCAAAGAAAGACAACACAATAGATAGTCTACCATGATTGTCCGCGATGTGAAGAGGACATATGAAGGGACGGACGTCGACTGACAATCAGATGAAGAGCTACTCAAATATGGTCTTCCAACAGATGTCTGGTTTCATGTAGAGTAAGTATTCATATTCATACAATACGAATGCTCAATGTCGGGCAGAAATGACAAAAAAGCGTTCGTTGATATCTAGTAAACTCTCTTCTGCTCACGTATATCTTCGTCAAACCCCTGATCAACCACATGGACCATGGGACGACTTGCCTGATGCTTTGGTCAAAGATGCGGCGCAGTTGGTCAAGGCGAACAGTATAGAGGGGAATAAGAGGGATAACATTACTGTGAGACATGCCATTTGTTATTTTCTTCGCTACTCGACTGCCTCAACGGTCTTCGGATCGAAAGAAGGCTGATTTTTAGGTCATTTACACTCCTTTCCCTAATCTGAAGAAAACGGGAGACATGGCCGTTGGACAAGTATCATTCCATTCTGATCATAAAGTGAAACGAGGTGGGTCTTTCTTATCCTTCTTGAGCCTGTCTTACGTTCCTCACCCTTTCTTCACATCCCCTTTCTCAGGCTTTGGTCCGAACCACGGCCGCGTATCAGATGAGGAATTCAGAGGGTTGAACAGACGAACATAAGCTGAATCCAGTTCACGTACCCACGAGGGATAATGCGATTATCAATAGATTGAATAAAACAAAAGTGGAGAAAGAGGTGGATCATGAGGGTGAAAGACAAGATCGATTAAGAGAGGAAGGAAGGAAGAAGAAAGCAGAGTTGATAGAACGGGTTAGTGTTTCATCCCTCCAGTGCACAAAGTCGTCATGAACTCCTTGTCACAAGAAAACTCCCCAAGAAAGGCTGAGAAGATATGGACACGCGTGAGAAAGATGTGGATATCTCAGAGGAGAAAGAAACTGAGGTCAGAAGGGAAGTCGAGCTGACGGTAGAAAAACAAGGAAGCCGCACAGAAGAAAGCGTGGGAAGAAGAGAAGAAACAACGGGCATACGAAGGAATGTTCACTGAGGAGGCTATATCAGCGGCGAAAGATGATTGGAGTGATGATGATTTCATGTGAATTTGATGTTGATCCTTTTCTTTCTCACTGTTGCTGTCGTCATTTCATATCAACAGTCGTCTCTTGACTTGTCTTTGTTTAAGCAAGGAGTGATGGTCAGCATGTGTGAAAAAGACGTTAGAGTGGGTGAAGAGAATAAAATATACGGAAGATCATATTATACCATCTTGGCTGTCCCACCTGAGACGATACCCACTACCCCTCTAGCCGCTTTTGACCCGAAATCTCTTCCAGAACCAGAATTCCGAGCTGCGATGAGGGAGATTACGAGGCAAGAAGCCACAAAGGCGGTACTATTTGTCAATCGAGTCTTAGAAGATCGTGCCAGCTATAAATTGATTGCCATTTTCTCACCAGTCATGATCATCCTGGGAATGGGGAGACATCGATCGGGGTTGTCGAGGATGATTCTTCAGGTGACGAATAGGGGGAAGGATGAGAGGGAGTGGGTATCGTGGGGAAGGGTAGATCTATAACGATGACGCCATGCGCTACGCTCTCGTACTATTCAAGGTCAAAGCTCTGCGCCAATAAGGGACTCCAACGCTATGACCAAAAAGTGCTAGTTTGCTAGCTAAGAAAAGGTGAGGGGTCAAGGGTCAAGGTACTTGAGGTGGAGAGGTGGAGAAAAAAACGAACAATCGATAGAAAGTGACCCTTGATAATTGTCTCTCCTCGTCTGACGTTCGAGAAGATGCGAAAATTGCTATTGAACAATCAGCTTCATGTACATATGTCCTTAACACTGGTCACTCACATCTTAAGTTAGGTAATGCCATCCTCGATGAAGTACTCGTACATGCACCATGCTACCATGCTAGGCTCTCGAAATCCAGTCAGACGATATGCGTTGCGCCGATCAGGGGACCGTGGGAAACCTAGTCAGCCCCCTCTTTCAGGGGTGAACAAGCTGCATCTTGGGATTTTCGGGATGACGCGACTTTTGTCCCCTGAAAGGAACGTGTAAGATGTTTGGGCTCGTCGTGTTTCATGTTTTCCCTCGGGTCTTTGGCTTTGGAGCTTTTGGACTTGGGATTGTTGTGCTCGGATCTTTTACTTGCATCCTTGGCCCCCCTTTGCACATCCAATACAGTTGATTCCGTTCCGTGATGATGGGGATGAGATGATGACAGCATCAAAGATCAATGCGTTTTTGTCACAAAACCCACCTGACCACTTTGTTCATTCTCACTTTCGACTCTTGTTACTCTTCACTTCACTTACGAAGTACTCTGTACACATTCTTTCCCCCCCGACGCTCTTTTTGCCATCGACTGGTATTCAAACGCCCCAAAAACGTATTCGACGACGTACGACGAACAGAAAATCCGAATATTCTCTTCTCACCCGACGTACAACGGACCAAGACCCGATCAGTGCTATCAGTGATTCACTGAAATAGCTCACTGCGACTTTACACGCCCTGCATAGTTTTCCACAATCTTTAGCCCTTCTATCTTTTTCCTTCTCCTCGACCAGTGATCAGTGAGACCAGAAGGACCGACGGCAACTGGTCAGGATAACAAGAATGATTCATCCAACCAAACTGGTCCAGATACTTTCTAGCCTTGCTGTGCTTGGCTCTACCCTTACTTTCTTTCAATACGCCCCAGTAAGTCATCCATTCGTCCCATACCATTGCTTTACCGAGAGTATTCAGTCTCCTTTATCATCTTTATCTCTATAATAAATATCCTTTAATTACTCACCGTCCCCTCCTCTCTACTTTCTCCCCCCGGAGCTCCAACCAACGGTTTCAGTGCTGACTCCAGACAACACTTGCCAAACACGGCGCCAGATCAAGCGACCATGATCATCATCGACATCTCGCCGCCCGTCGTTCCGTCGCTCAAGCCGTTCGCAGGCGTACGGGCTCCAAAACTAACCTCATCAAACGTGGTGCCGACGGATCCAAATGTCGTGTCAAAGGTCAAGCATACACTCCTCCTTCCGTTTCAACATCCACTTCCGCCACAAGTGACAGCACGACTAGCACTACCAGTATCACCACTCAATCCACCACAGTATGGTCATCGCCTCCTCCCACCTCCACCGTTCCCCCATCTTCATCGCCCTTGCCAACGAGTAGCGCTGCTTCCGGTCCAGTGGTAGCTGGCGATTGGGCAGCGTCCAGCGGTAACAATGGACAAAACTGGGGAGGATGGAAAAACCAGGGAAAGAAGTTCGGTTTAGCTTGGCCAAACGGAAATTGGGCAGGATCAAGTGATTCGAATTACATTGGAAATTACATCGGAAGTAAAACGAGTTGGTATTACACCTGGTCACCATTTTCAGTTAGTAGTGGAGATAGTTTGGGGATCGAATTTGTGCCCATGCTTTGGGGTCCGAACCAGGTGTCGGATTGGTGGGGGCAGCAAGGCCATTGGCCCAATACTGTGAAAAATGCGTTCTTCTTCAACGTGAGTTTGCTCCACTTCCACCATTGGCTAACCAACTGTCGCCTATGTCACCTATCCCTCCATCTTTTCCTATATCAAGACGGAGAGTACGGGGTCCGGGTGGGCGAGTAGTCATGGCGTACCGGCCGATAATGTTGTTCGACTCACGATCAGGAACCCAATGAACAATCCCAATCCAATATCGCTGCTGGAGCTTCAGTCCAATATTGGATGAACGACTACCTTCCTCTGCGTAACAAAGGCATTGCTCTTGGTTCAGCCGCCACTACCAACGCTCCGAGTGGTGTACAATGGGTAATGGATTCTATCTCCGCCTGTAAGCAGTATGGCAACGCCGCTGCGGACTGCCAGCCAGAGTGAGTTCTTGACTCGCCTCTGTACATCCTTCACAAAGTCTGCCCATTTGTAAAACCCGTCAGTTGCTGAAGACCGATGACGGATTTTTGACCTCCGACATGTTTCGTCAGACCGTGCCAAACTGGTTTGCATAGAGTAGCATTGACGAGCTGTTCGGCATCATCCAATACAGGTAGTGATAGCTAACACTCAGCTTCGCCGTTTGTCATTGGTATTCGACTCAAGTAAGCGACATGCAAAATTACCTGTGGAACTACCACCAAACGACTGGGTTGAAGATATGGGTGACAGAGTATGCTTGCCAGTCTTACTCTAATTTACCACAGTGCTCAAATGGGGACAGTAAGTCACATTTGTCCACTCTACTCTTCTCACATGCTCGCGAGCCCGCATTGACTTCCTCGATTTGTCCTCACCTGGCTCACATCTTCCTCGTTTTTGAGCATACTGTCCCGGGCCTAGTTATCACCATTTTCTTTGGCTTTGAGGATTTACCTGAACCAGATGCGACGTGAGCTGATCCGTAGCTTGGTACTTGCACCAGACCATGGCGGAATGGATGGATAGTCAAGATTATATTCTTCGATACAGTCCTTTCGGTGAGTGTCTCGACATTTCCATCCGGTTCTATGTTGCGTTCCAGAATGAGCTGAGCAAAAAGGTGCCATGGAAAACCTCCAAGGAGTAAACCAGGACAATGCTTTGATGAATCCTTGGGGAAGCATCACTGATCTCGGCAATTGGGTGAGCAACGGCTTTCGCGACCCACCCCCACCCCCACCCTACATTTTCATGCCATGCATCATGGTGGGAAGTTGGCCGTCCCTCGCATTCCTCTCACGTTGCACAACGAGGCATCACTGGCCATGCCAACCACTCTCCCATGAGCACGAGCGGGGACATGCATGTTCCTCCTCGTTTCCAACGCAGACGTGGACGACCGCTGATCCCCAGTACATCTGGAATTCTTAGGCCGAAACCCTACAATCCGACCGGCGCGGAAATGCCATCTTCGACGTGTATGTAAAACGATCTCGAACGAAACTCACGACTTGATGTCGAAGCGAACAATGCATCTCTTACTTTTCGGGTTGAGCTGATCCGGTGACCCGACTCTCTTCGTCTCTTCCTACCCACTTGGCTGTCAACACTGAATTCACACCGGGCGGCAAGTGCGTTTGACTATCTGACTAGACTTTCTCATGGTGTTTGGCAATCCCTAGTTTTTCCATTTCTGACAATTACGAGTCATGTTCCTTTGATCCTCTCAAACGTATGGAACAAATTAGGAGAGTGAAACAGATACTCTTCCTTGTAAGTCAGATAACATGTCACACAGTATCGCGGGAAGATGACTTACTGACAGGGATTATGAAAAGAACATCAGAAAGGAGCAGTATGGAACGATACCGTTACATTGACAGACAAATGGACGTCTAAAAGGATGTTGACGTTTTGACAGAAGGATGAAAAGAAAACCCATCCTTCGGGAAGGTGAGAGAGCATGAAAAGATACCACAAACGAACAGGAGTTGACGAGAGGATCCATATGTATGTATCACTTAGCCCAAAATGAAAAGATACGGTAGGTTCCTTTCAATTTTTCCCTCCGCGAACTTCGGACGTCACCTCATTTAACGAGCTGAGCGGTCTTCATGATATTGTTACAACTACACTGATACGGGACTTTGGGCATCTGTATATCACGAGACGGCTATTCAAGTGTTTTTATTTGACCTGGATCTTGTATTGGATTTTGAGGTAGATTGACGTGACTGATTAACTTTGGGTTGACTAATTGGTCACTCTTAACTAGAAGTGAAATCATTGAAGGAAACCACGGTCAAAAATGAGGACAAATCCATGGGAATCTTATACGTCTCCTGATCTAATCCGGATACTCTCTTCAATCTCTTTCGTCTGTCCTTCTCTTTCCTTCTCGCGTCCCGCGTCAAAGAGAGAATCACATCTCCCAACATCTCAAGTTTTCTCGGACTTGGAGGGTCTCCCAACAACAGTGAAACCTCGTTGGCTTCAAACAGAATCTGAAGAACAAATCGAGAAGACAAAAGCGAAATGTGAAATCACATGGTTAGGACACGCTACGACTTATCTCCGAATTCCTTCAGCTGACTCTGAGGTTTTTTTGGGTGTATTGATGGATCCTATTTTCTCAAAAAGATGTTCGCCTTTGTCTATCGGACCGCAAAGGAGACTTGGGACGGTGTGCGAGGTGAAAGATTTGGAAGAAGTGGATATCGTTTTGATTTCACATGATCATTGTGAGTTTCTTAGATCTATTCTCATACATTGACTTTCTCCACTACGTTTCTTTGGGATATTCTACTTTCACATCGATATAATGATCACTTGAAGAAGTACTCGGACGCCCTAGGCCTTCGATGACCATCTATCTGTCTGTCAGGATATACGTTTCATCGACTGTACAGATTCTCGTCTCCTTGATCACGACTCTCACCACTTGTATAAATCTTGGATCTTGTATGGATATCGTTGTGGGGGAGACTTAGATCCTTGGAGACTCAGAAGCTCAGGGGGACCACAGGGTTCGGATATACTGTACTCGTACAATCAAGGAAGGCAGTTGAGCTAAGAATGGTTTTTCATTGACGATCAGATGATCATCTAGATAAACAGACTATCAAAGATCTCAATAATCATTTCCCTCAAGCGAACTACATGGTTCCCACTGGTACCAAGAAATGGTTGGTGAACTGGGGTGTTGACCCTACACAAATAAGGGAGATGACCTGGTGGGAGGATGTCAACTTTACCTTGAGATTTTCCGATAGGAAAATCTCTTATCGTTCTGAGAAGTCCTTCGCTCATAGCATTTTGAAGGGCGATGAAGAGAAAGAGTTGGGAGTTGATGGATCGAGACGAGAGAGAATGACTGCCGAGAATACTCTAGATTACCTCGCAGTGATGAGCTCAACTGTTCAGACGAAAGGAGAGAAGGTAGGAATGAAGAAGAATACAGTCCGAAAACATCTATATCGTATGAGCAGAGACCACCAATGGGGGAAAGGACGGAAACGGTTAGTGGGAAAGATAGTGCAGAGGTGAGACCCGGGACGCAAAGAATAGATTCAGAAATCGCCTTTGTGCAATCCATCGATTACTTAGTGTCTGACCCGATCAAACCCATTGTTGATCCCACGAATTCGACCGAAAAGTTATTGAAAGAGGAGGGAATCTCAATTCGACTGGTATGTACCCCGGCCCAACATGCTTCAGGAAGAGGAATGTGGAGTAAGAACAAAGCTTTGTGGTGTTCTTGGTTGATGGAGTTTGAGAATTGCAGTGAGACTAAAAGAGTGTTTTTTGCAGGGTTAGTCATTAAGTTTCACTTATTTTCTGTACATTCTCACTTTACTGAACATCCCTATCACGCCATGACCTCGCGTGGAAGATTGTGACTATGTCAGATATCCAAATCCTTCATCTTCAGCTACAAAAAGGGAAATCTGAATGATCAAGATGACTCATGAACAGAGATACAGGTTATCGATCAACTTCCGATGGACCAACTTGTCCAATCTTTCGTGGTAAGTCTATCCCTCTTGCTACCTCATTCCCATCTCTTTTTCCTTGGAGTTTGATCAACCATCGTCTCTCTATCTATGATATATCTATCTGCTCCTCTCAAAAGTATGGGCCTAATCCATTGGATCGATCTAAACATTTGAGATGATCGTCTAACTTTCAGAAATCCGAGAAACCTACGGAAACCCTACTCTTTCTTTATTACCAATTGCAAATGGTTCCGTCTTACCTTATCTCGAAAGTCTAATCCCCTTTCTTCGAATTGACGACGATGTCACACGACATGTTCATCTCACACCTCAAGATGCTGTTGATGTGCATAGGGAGATGAGAAGTGATTTGAGTATCGGGGTTCATTGGGGAACGTTCACTTCTTCTCGGAGAACACAAAGTACGATCAAGGATTTGAACGATGCCAAACGGCTTAGAGATGTGAATAGCTTTCATGTTGGAGATGTGGGTCAGACTTGGGAATTCTAAAAGATCGACATTCCTGTCGATGATCAAGACAACACCCATGTCTATCAAGGTTCAACAAAACGATTATCAGATGAAGATGTTATAGCTACTGTATACAAAGAAGTGGGGACCCATGGATCAGTCGGAACAACTACTCTCTCCCAGGATCTTGTCACGACTCACGTTCAAGGTAGGAGCAGAGGGATAGAAGAGTGGGAAGGATGGGTGTTGAGTCATGGTCCTTATATTCCAGGACAAGGGAGGGCGCAGAAGAAGGGAGGAACTCTCAAGATCACACACTTTGTTATCAAATGGGTCTAGACATTGGGTTGTGAGTGAGTCTTACCACTTCAAGCACCATCCAACCATCCCTGAGATTCTCCCACGTATCTCTCATCCCTCCAGAAACTCAGATGCGACTCTCCCCCTTCAAACCTAGTGATGTTCAGCTTGCTAACGTCTAAGATGTTTTCCCACCTATCCACGGAGAAACACAACTCATTCAGCCTCAAATCGCTATCCCACCACAGCACTATTCCTCCTACTTTACGACCCTCAACTATTTACTTGTCGCAATCCCCTAATCCCCCGAAACTCACCTTCGTTTTCGCGAACAAACCCTCCCACGTATCACCGAAACCGATCACGGAACCTGCGAACATGCTAGACCCATGGCTGTCAACCCCGCACATCCCTCACGAAGCTCTGAGAAAACTCTCACGACTTTTTGACCAATATCCCACGGATGCCCGAAACGATCTCCGCTCACTTTCTACGAGATTCTACGGATACCCTGCAAGACCCGAGCGACTCAACCACTATCCCACGGATCTCCGAAAATCTCCATTTCCCCGAGAAGTTATCCGACGGATGTCCGAGGGGTCGTACAACCCCCCGAACACCTATCCCACGGATTGGTAAGATCCATACCGGCGGACATCGAATGGCAGAAGTGGATGGGGAGTTCTCAGGGGTTTTAGAACCTCCCTTGTCAAGTGGAGGATGAAGGTGGAGTAGGAGGAGGGGATATAAACAGGAGAAGCATGGAGAATTTGCCACTTACTTACCATATCAATGTTGACCCTTCAATTCCGCCGTCTTCATAAGAACGAATCTGATAGTCAAAACCAAGCAAAATCTCATTATCAGCAGCCCGGCTCAGAGACCCAGGGTGATGCATCTCCTTCCTCAGATCCCCCTTCCTACTCCACACAATCTGCAACAGAGGACACCTCCCAAATCCCAGTTGGCAGCGAATCAAAGCTCAACGCTCCAGAGGGAAGGGAAGTTGACAGTAGCCATGCTTCAGGTGCGCTGGACACTCCTGCAAAAGAATATAATCCACCTGCATCAGGAATAAGAGGTCTTTACAATAGCATTTCACATACTTTGGAAGTAATCCGTCAGCCTATGCGAAAGTCGACCCATCCTCTGCATAACAGCTCTGTACCAGATACAAACAGTCTTGCCTTCAGAGCTTTGGACCTAGCGGAACTCCGTACTCGGGAATGGGAAGCCCTTACAGCTAATCTTAGTCCTAGTGCGTTGCAATCGAAGGCTCCGACGCCTCAGTACACATCTAAAGACCTCCCAGCAGAGCCTGCCACAACACAAAATGATGCCAACCATCCATGTCCTGGGAGTATTGTGCAACATAGTGAGAAGGCCAGTGATGAATAGCAAATTCAGTCCTTGAGTTCAAATAATTCATAAGAGTGTTGCTTGTTGGCTCCGCTTAGAAAGCCTAGTCACAAGCCTCTAGGCCCCTGATAGAAATTAGATGGTCCGTGACGGGAAGGGGTGATTTCTGTTTGCAAATAATGATGTGATAATACAGAGGGGGAAAAGAGCATGCATCAATTCTACATGTCTCTATACTTATCACATTCCACTCACACGCAGTAAACCAGAGACGATTGAATAGAGTTCAGAGGATAAGTCGAACAGAGAAATATTCGACGGAAGGGGTAATTATGTAACGGCGGTTCGGCCGTCCTGGCCCGATTCTATCGGCTAACAAGGTTCAGAGGATAAGTTGAACGAAGGGATATCAGACGGAAGGGGTCATTATCCTAGTGATGGTTCCACCGTCCTGGGCCGATCCTATCGGCTAACATTCACGATCCAAGTGGAAGGGAAGGTGGTGTGCGTCGGCAAATCGTCCGCAAGACAAGCAGGTTGTGGTCCTGTCAGTGGCAGTCCACATCACTTCTCAGCTCTTTTCATGTCTAGCGCCCAGGTCCTTCCCGGGGTGGAGAAGCTGGTGGTGTATGTCCATAGGAGGTGGAGGATTCTCTTGGTTGATCTACCCCACTGCCGCTCTTCTCCTGGGGGGGAAGGAAACTCCGTCGATGAACGGATGGATCTCACACCACCTTCCCACGCCGCCATATTCTCCTCTGGTTCGAATCAGTCAACATAGAACTCTCATCGTTTTCTAAAGCTTAGTAGCATCTCATCAGGAGACGATGTCCACCAGTCAGGATGGACAGATCAGCACCCCCGGGGACCCCTCCTCGACGACGGTCCCCCTCAACCGCGGGGACCCACCTTCATCAAATGCCTCAGAGGCCTCAGTATATCGTTTGTGGCCTCCCTTCCCACTTGATGTAGACTCATCTGATTGGGGTAGACTGAGAAGGTACCCTAAGATCGTTCCCCCAAGTGGACCGCGACAGGAAGGAGACCGAGCTAGCTCATCGTCTCCAGCTCTATGAACAATGTGGTTTCACCCTAATCCACCCACAGGCTATTGGTCCAAAGCAGGACGAAACCAAGTCCAACAAACCTTCAGTCACCCTCCCCCCCCCCAGGCTCTGGTGATGACCTCGAGAAGCTAGTTTCATAATTTAGGAAGGTCACAGAAGAGGACTTGAATGCACAGAAATCCGATGAGGGTGAATCTCTGACTCTCTCAGTCTCCTCCATCGTGCAGCACGATGCTCGACCCGATGAAGGATCGACACGACCGAGCCTGGTCCCGGAAGAGGTTGATTGATGGCGGGCAATGTAGTATCCCCCTGGTTGGATAATTGGCGAGATCGAGTGCAGTAGTATGATACGAGTAGTTACAGAGTGACCGATGTCATGTCATTCCTTCAAGTCATCCTTGCTGATCCCGTCAAAATGGACTATAGAATATTGGCGGTTATTACACAGCTGAAATGTTGACAAACCATTATCAAATAATCTATCTCTCTTGTGCATACTTGACTGTATCATTCTTCTCCACCGATTGAGCAACTACCGTCCCCTGTGATTGCCCAGTTTCGGTGGCGAAACTTTCCTCGATCTTCCCTTTCTCTGAACTCACGACTCCCATTCTATCCCACCGTCTGTCCTGAATCCTAACGAACGTGTCCTGACCCTTCCCATTCGTGAGATTCATGGGTAAGGAAACCAAATCCGACTCTCTTCCTCTACGGAAAAACCCGCGAATCGTGCCCTTCGGACAAAACTAGACGGCCTCGTCTTTCCAACCATTGATCGTCGTACTCTATGTAAGTACCAACTTCCCTTCCCTTCCCATGGTGAGAAAAAAAAAACCGTGGGATAGACGTGTCTTCCGCACTATCGATCTCCGACCGAATCCCCTGACCGATTGACCGTCGAGGAAGAAGCGAACGATAATCTTAGTCCGGCCTAGGTTTAGAAGGAAAGGTGCGCACGGCCTCTCTCAACACCTTCTAAAAATGTCCCACGTTCCCTAGGCGGGATCCGAACCGGTCAAAACTCATGAATTCTTCTTCAATGGTTGCTAGATCCTTCCCTAACCTGTGGGAAACTTCTCATACTTGTTTGATCATCCCTTGTAAGAAGTAGAAGAAAGAGAATTTCTTTGAAAGATATAATAACCAAATTTTCTACCCCATTCTTCCATCCATATCTCTTCTCTTCCCTCCACTTCAAGTGATTTTGCCACTTTTGAATCAAAGCTACCTGCATCCGTCAACATGAGTACTAAGACTTTCAACGATATTCCTGGTAGATCTATCTCAGATGCAACTCTAGTCCGTGGGGATTTACAAGACGTGACAATTTCCACCACTGTTGCTTTTCCCATCAATACCGAGTTGTTTGATAGTGAGAGAGGCGTTGGCAAATTAGAAGATTATGAAGGTAAAATACTCCTGGAAATATCCAAGGTTGATCCTGAGTTCTTCGGATCACTCGGACAACCTCCTTCATATGGATCTTTTGCATCTACGCAACAAGCTTCTCTGAACGAACAGAGCAAGACCATACTCAGGCAATACTATAAGCGATTCAGTCAACCTGACATGGATGCTCAAATACCAACACTGATACTTCCCCCTCCGTCCCCGCCCTTCACCGATACAAGAGGCATTGACTCAAGATCTGGAACTCCAGGATCAATCACTTCCTCAATTTGCTCTGAACATCTTTCACCAATCTCGGAAACCTCTCCTCTTTCTGAATGTGATCTGCTCTTAACCCCGAAACAAATGGGGACCTCCCCAGAATGCCTCTCTCCCAGTTATGACAGACCTGCGAGCTCACTATCCCACAGAGCGCTCTCTCCCACCCGAAGGAGCAGACAGGGGAGCCACAGGGCACGTAGCCGTTGAGGTGTTTGACCATGGATGCGCTGGAAATTTATCAGGGCTTAGTGGGCCTGGCTTGTCAGTACTTTTTGGATGAATGATTGTTAGCACCGTTTCTGTTCTCTGACCATGATGGGATTGTCACCCGTTAATAACTGAGGTACGATCAAACCGGGTTCCTATCTTAGTGATTATACTGCCTTTCGATCGTCTCCTGATCACATGTCATTCATTATGTTTGTTAGTTTGTTGCCGGAGCAGGTCAGACGTTACCCCTTGACACAGAGATGACCTTGTTAATGTTTCATCAAGTGATGTCCTCCCTTAGAGTGTCAATGGTGAGCTGGACATCATCCCCTGTACGGTCGTCAAGGTTACGATAAGTCGTCAAGACGACGATCAGCGACTAATATCATTGTGACATCAACGTTGTTAGCATCCCACTCTGCATCTTCACTCCCAACTTCTTTTCCGAGTTTTCACCGGCGGATCCTGCACGACGACCCCACCTGACAGGAAATTGCATGGAAGACGAGAAAGTACATCATATGCTTGGTGAGTGACGTGAATGCATTCCTGATTATGAAAGTGAACGATGTCATGCATCGAGGTATCAAGGCGTAGGAGACGTACGATCCGCAGGTGTTTCAAAAACGGCGATATTCTATCTCAAGTCAGCATCAACCTTAAACACTGGTCCCATTCACACGACAGACCACAATCAGTCAAATGGTTTATAAGACGTGACACGTTGACATGTCCGAGGTGGGGAAAATGTGTTCGAGATGATAGTTTCACAAGAACAAGAATCTGCTTGGAGTAAGATAGAGGGTACGCTTAAACTCACGATGTGTTTGGACGGACCCCTGACCAGCATAGCCATATTGAGACTGATGAGGAGGGCTGAAAAGCTGAGAGGGACCATATGGGCCATCTTCGGGAATGGAGTTGGAGTCGGGTGTGAAGAGTCTCTGTGGATGACCAGCGGATTGGACATAAGATAGTGAGGCTGAACCGTCAGCGGCGCGCTTAGAAGTTCTTATTGTGATGAAGAGAACTAGATGAGATATGAGTAACGTACCCGATTCATATTCTTCTCTTTCCCTCACTTCCGACCGCTGTCCTTTAACACTCCCATTCCCTACTGACCTAGCGCTTCTACTTCCATCCCAATCAGGTCCCTGTGCCTGACCTAACAACGCCGAAAACCCAGCCGGTGTTCCTTGTTGCCATCCATTCCCACCCATGTCCTCTGATCGTCTCAATCCCGCAAAAGGATTCTGGCCCGTCAAACCATTGGCTCTGGCAAATTCGAACCTTGAAGTCGACCGTGGTGCATCTGGCTGTTCGAGCTGTACGGGTCTTGATGGTCCTGCAGGTGGTTCCACGTTATCCTCGTCGAAGGGTCTAAATGTCGTAGACCAAATTCCTTCCCCAGGCGGATGTGAAATCATCAAATCAGGAAGGTCAGTCGCCAAAATACCGAGTTCGGCCAAACCAATCGAAACCTTGTTGAATGGGGTGGGATTGAACTGCGTATGAGGCACGGCTTGATTGTCCAATACGAAAGCGAAGGCTGGATCGGATAAGGGGAATGCAATAATGTCAGGTTCTGGGAATGGGGAGTGGACCTGATATGGTTCATCCGTGAGTGGCGGTACGATATCTGTAGGACGAGTTGGGGTTTGAGGAGCAGGAGAAGATGATGAAGGACCAGTTTCGGAATCTCGTGATGAATCATCCCGTTCCCCGGACTCGACTTCTTCCATCGGTAAAGGTGGTCGATGAGGTGAATCACCATTGACAGATGTCATTGCTGATAGACCTGGTGGACGAGAAGTTTTGGCGGTGAGAGGAGGAAGTAAGGATGATTTCTTTCGAGGTGAAGGTTGAGAAGAACTGGGCGCCAAGCTGCTAGTGTTGGAATCGTTACTTTTGCCTCGAGCCATGGCCGCTGCGGAGGGTTTGCGCTTATCTGCTTTCGTTGGCAGAGGGGCAGGGGAAGGGGTGGGGGGAGGGAACGCGGTGGTGCTTCTGAGAGGGAGGACAGTGGTGGCCTGAGGAGGTCGAGAGGATCCGATAGTGCCTGCGGGGATGGGTCTGAGGGCGGGTTTCGAAGTGAGCAGGCCTTTCCCCCAGCCGGCAGAGCTGGGCAGGGGTGAAGCTGGCGACGTCAGCGATTGCTTCCAATCTTATTTTAGCTAAACCCCACAGCAAAAATCTGGCCCAGATGTCTATCTGTGAAGGGGACCAATCCCGCTTGGCCAAATTAGGGAACGATGATAAGTAGTAACAAGGTAGGAACTCACAGCCTGTTGACTCTTCATTGGCAGGTTTTGGCCATCCCGTCTTCATAGCGATAGGTACAGACTGGGCAGCCACCACCTGTTTCTGCTTGGCGTCATATTCCTGCGGTCTCAACAAGGCCGTCGTATAATCGTCTCGGCTGAAACAGTCTCCCTCCCCACCCCACTCATGTAAATTGGGACAATTGGGGGTGTCGCATTTGATTCCTCTGAGAAAGGCCTCGCAATACCTCGTGGTGCCGTACGACGCTCTGATGGTCTGTCCTGCCGGTCCTCCAGGTGTTGGGATTCCGTCTAAAGCCGCAATAGCCCGTGCTGCATCTTCTCGACGTACGTAAATGATGAGGATTCCTGTCGGTGTGCTGGAGTCTTCTGAGGAGGATGTTTGCGCTTGTGTTGAAGTGTGAGGACGTTCTCGGAGATAAATTTTGGCTATTTTACCATATTGACCAAAGTACTCGTGTTGTCTCAATATTGCTATTGCCTATGGAGGTCAGAATCAAATCAAAAGTTGGATCGATGGACAAAAGACGCAGGCTTGACGATATGTGGATACCAAGGAGACGACCTACCTCTTCGCCTTGTCCGGGTATTTTGATGCCGACAACGTAAATCATGTTCTTCATCACTATCCGCACACCGAGAAGATGTCTCCGACCCATGGCATCAAGCTGTTTGATTGTCTTTGCCCTTTTCGTCTTTTTCTCTTTCGCCCGCTTGACCCTGAACATCAGCACTCTGCTTCCTTTTGCAATAAGGTGACCAACTCTTCGACGTCGACAGGTTGGAACACGACAGCATTTGCGTCATATGCTCGTCTACAACCTGGACACCGAGGGTCGGTAGAGAGTAAGTGGTTGTAGCAAAATTGACATATCTGAATTATTAGACGTGTATCTCTCATATAAGAAGACACTCACTTGGAGACCACATTGACAAGGTTTGAAATTGATGTCTGACAAGTCAAGAGGTTCCGCGCAGACGACACAATCTGGATCATCCTATGTATCAACATACAAGTACATCACATGAATGTCAATCACATCAGCTTCTTTAATCCCTGTAGTGGGGGTCTTTGTATGTCGACGGACTTGTCCTAGACGCGAATGTGAGGTGATGGGAGAATTTTGACCTTAAATCTCACCTCATCATCACTGAAAATCACGTCTTGTAATCCCTTGAGAACGTCACGAGAGACGCCTCCACCACCGGCGGCACTGGCCGGAGGCGGTCCCGCTCTGAATCCGCCCAAGGAGGCAGCAGGCTGTTGTCCTGTTGTCGGATTGACGGGAAGAGGGTGAAGGGGAGGGGGCATGGGAGGCAGACGAGACGTGTGGGTCGTGAGGACTGTATGGTGGCGAGTTGATGATGTTTTTGTGACGGAGTCCTCGACGTGATTGTGCTTGAAGTATGTCACGCCGGTTCGGGGAGTTGTATGAGATGGAGTTGAAAGGGAATGAGGATAGTTGAAGGTTTCAAAGCAAAGAGGAGAGGGTAAAAGGGGAGAGGGGTCACTCGCCATTGGCGGTCTTTACCGGGATTTTGCCACCGACAACAAGGGTGGCGAACGCCGCGACAACAATCACCACAGACACCATAACGATCACCATCTCTCTTCTCACTCTCATCATAGGGGTTGGAGGCACAGTCGACTCGTGGGGGAAGCTATTGTCTGGAGTATTGAGTGGTGACTGTCCGATCTCAGTGTAAGAAGGCGCTGCTAGCTGCTGTCTGCTGCTTGTCACTCCTCAACATGTCCGACCTCAAAGCCTACCTGGCGGCAAAGTACGTCATTGTCGACCTTGAGGGAAGACAACTGCTAACAAACAAGCTACATGTCAGGGCCAAAAGCAGATGCTATTTTAGCTCGAAGTGGCGATCCTACATCGAAGAAACGGAAAAAGAAGAAGAAAGAAGAAGACTACATAGGCGGTGGTCATATCAAGGGAGAGGGTTTAGTCTTGCGTGATGAAGATGAATTGAAAAGAGAAAACGACGATGATATTGATTTGGATGATCCTGATGCTCCTGGTAAGCTACACACATTCACTCCCTCTCATCTCATCATGATTCATCAGCTTATATGACAGTCGTTGGTAAAGGATTAGCAACATTTCAAAAATCAGAATCGAAATGGAATACCGTAGCTTCATCTTCTTCCCTTCGACCATCTATAACAACTTCTACTGAAGCTGGTCCTTCTTCTCCACCACCATATATCAAACCTGATCCTGACGCCTCACCCCCTCCCCCAGTTCAAATCACCAAACGTAAAGGTGGTCTAAGAACAGCGGCTCAACTTCGAGAAGACGAAGAACAAGCTGCTGCTGCACGATCACCCTCACCTGAACAAGAAGGTAGACCAGATCCTACTCAAACTGTACATCGTGATGCCTCTGGAAGGATCGTCGATGTAAAGAAGTTGAAAGAAGAAGAGAAACGTAAAGCTGAAGAGGAAAAACGAAAGGCTAGGGAAAGGGAAGAATGGACGAAGGGGTTAGTACAAAGAAAAGCAAGGGAAGAGAGAAGTAAAGAGGAGAGAGAAATGGGTGAGAGGGATGTGGCTAGGTATGCGAATGATACGAGGATGAATAGGGAAATGAGAGAGGTCGAAAGGTGGAATGATCCTGCTGCAGAGTTTTTAACGGTAAGTATAACTTCCTCCTTTTGACCATACCCTCCTCCCAGGCGCAGCCAATGTGTATGCTTATATAATCTTCAATCGTCTTTTACTCGAGGCGTGGTCCTTGTCAAAACGCTGATCAATCAGAAAAGAAAGAAAAAAGGTCCAAGACGACCAACTTATAAAGGTCCATACGGTCCTAATCGATTTGGTATCCCACCTGGTTATAGATGGGATGGTGTAGGTGAGTATATTTTACATATCCTTCAAATTTACATCTGACATTTCAGACCGAGGAAATGGTTTCGAAGCGAAATATTTCCAGTATCAGAATACGGCTGCTAGGAGACAAGTGGCCGCTGATCAAATGACGGAAGATGTATGATGTATGATCTTCCTACCTCTTTTCTTTTCTCCCAACTTTTTCATTTCAACATCTCAGATGTTCTTCTGCATAATGATCATCATTCCAAACCACTGCATGAACCAAATACAACCATGATGCATCCTCACGAAGTTGTGGACTATGTTTTATGCATCAAGACGAGCCTCATTGGTTCATTGTGAATATCTTTCATAGTATTTTTTGTTATTTTCTCCCAAATCCATTGGTGCGGTGGTGTTACCTATTCCTTCCGGCCTTCTCTCCCGTCCGCATCCTACGCCCCTATACAACTATCATCGTCAACATCAAATTACCCCTTATCTAGTCTTCCAAGAGAGGTCACAAAATATCATGTTGAGTGCTAGTGTTCGTTCCGCTTCTGGTCATCTGCTACCTCGGGTTATGATCCGACGTGCACCTGCGGCATTTGTCGGTGAGTTGAGAGGTTTTTCTTCTCTTTAGATCATTACTTCATTTATCTCCTCTTCTCGTCTTTCATCTTCCAACCAACCCATCAGGAATCAACACTTCAACATCTCTTACATCCCATGGATTTAAAGATAATCAATCAATGAGACGAATTAAGAGAGATAAAAGCTGACATTTGTTTCTTCCTTATCATCTCAATTCTCAACTTCTCCCTTCACACACTCTCCACCTATCATCCTTCAATAAAAACACTAACCTTCTTCACTACGTCATCACCCAAATCACCCTTCATATGATATCAACGATCGACGATCGACGACACATATACAGCTATCCGTCAAGCATCAGGGGGTGCACACGCACACGAAGTAGAATCTTTCGACGCATTCAATACTCGTTATCGTAACTTTTTCACCGCATGTGGTGATTTATTCGAACTTCAAAGAGGATTAAACAATTGTTTCGCATATGATTTAGTACCTACTACAGAAGTTATCGAAGCTGCTTTGAAATGTTCTCGTAAAGTGAACGATTACGCTACGGCCGTTAGGATCTTGGAAGGGATCAAAGAGAAAGTTGAGAATAAAGGACAGTATGAAGCTTATTTGAAAGAATTGAAACCTGTCATTGATGAGCTTGGTGAGTTTTTTTTCTGTTTGGTTTCACTTGACCTCATTCTTCATTTGACATCCGATAATCCTCCTCACCTAACGGACATTCATCCCTTCTTCCAATAGATCCCCACTCTTCTGACCACTCTCATCTTGAGCTGAAAGACGGGGGATCATTTCACTTCCATTTTTGACTTGAATGACGGGGGATCATTGCACTTCCATTTCGACTTGAATGACACGGGATCATTTCCTTTGCATCTCGACTTGAATGACGGGGGATCATTTCACTTCCAATCCGACTTGAATGGCACGGGGGATTATCTCAAATGTTTCCTCATCCCCTTCGTCATCATCTCTCTACATGACTACTAATCCATCCTGTCCCCAGATCTTGCCGTACATAATCTCCATCAGTCACATGTATAATGTACAAATCGTACAAAGCTGATAAACAGGTATCTCAAGCAAAGAAGAGCTTTACGGTCTTTCAAAATAAGTGATTTAGAAAATGCAAAGCATTGTTTGATTTCTCCGTTGTTTTCATGACCAGCATCCTCTTTCTTTCCCTTCACACATTTCTCGATTTAGCAACACCGCCCCTTCTAGCCATCGAAATTCGAGCATGTTCTTCATACGAGCAGTGCTAGCCTTCTCAAGCATCGCCTCACTAATCCAATCTCCGAGAAGAACTCACACGAAAAGTGATCATGATTCTACTCATCGTCGTTGAGCGTTCAAAAAGACCTAGCGAGATGTCACACTCACTTTCACGATGCGAGCTTTGACCCTGAGGATGGATGAGAGGAAAATTATGAGATAAATTAGACAACCAAAGTAAATCGCCATATGCAGCAGGCAGCACGAAGAAAATTGGAAAATCAAACAAATAAACTCATCCTCATGCATAAATCTCATCCCTCACCGACAGAGACGGCCGTGTGGCCACACGTTTAACCCGTCTCTCTCCATACTCTTATCAAAAACAAAATACACTAGAGTCTGACTGAATCTTATGTCGCGTCAAAAGAGCAATGTGCTGGTAGACACACTCAGGATGTTTATTCCTGAGCTTCTTCAGCCTGTCCTTGCTGAGCTTGCCAGTTGAGCCCTGTTTAGTCAGTGATGGTTTCTTTATCAAAACCCAAACATTGTGGAATTACTTTGGTGGAGTCATGATCAGACTTGTTCGTCGAGGAATGAAAATCCAGTGGATAAATGAGAAATAAGAGTCACGGTGGGACAGAAAGTAATGGAAGAGATTGAATCAAGTGATGGATGATTCAAACTCACATTCTTCACGGGTGAATTTGACAGAAGAGAATTCTTCAGCCAAGATTTCGGTACCGTCTTTAAGGACGATTTTCTCCTCGGTCCAGCCTATTATATCAGCGCCATGTCCCGATGATCATTCTCACAACTATTCCCCCATTCCTGTTCGTCTTCTTTTACACTTTGTACGTCTTTCCTTAATACCTACATGTCGTTTTCCATCCATTGTCCAACTTATTTCATACAACCATTCATGGCGCCAAGCAGAAAGATGAGAAAAAAAGAAGAAGAAGAAGAAGAAGAGAAACTCACTCTCAATGAGCTCATAAGTGACTTCATGTGCGGCGACCATATTGATAAATTTGGTTTGGAATGGAATGGATTGGTTTGGTTTGAATAGATATAATTCGAGAGGAATGTAAGATCGTTGGCTTGTTGAAGAAAAAAAATAACCGCCCAAAAAGTCGATATATATATCTAAAAGATGGAAGACGTATAGAAATAGGACAAAAGAAAGTTTCTTCCCTTCAAATCAACTTTCCTTTGTGGGATAGAAAGCACTACAAGACGCCATGAAATTCCTCCTTTGTTTTCTTTTTTGCGGCAGTGCGAATTAGCGCGTCAGAGGAAGGAGTTTTGATGCTTCAAGGAGAGATAGAGAATGTATTAGAATCTGATAGATTTCAGATTTGATCCGTAGTACTTTCCTTCGTCCGTCAAAGGCGGGGGCGGTGTATGACTTGTTTTGGAACGAAAGGAGAGTCAGAGGGGTAGGATGTTTTGAACATTGAGACTTTGAGAATTTGAGGTGTTAGGGAAGGATGTAAGGGGTTGAGGAGTATGAAGGAATGGTGATCGGTTAAAGCGCCTTTGGTGGAGTTAAGTAGGGATTTTTTCACATTCACACAACCAGGAAGGGCGTATAGGGAAGAGAAAAGGAGTGAGGAGGGAAGGAAAGACAATAGAAAGTAGATTCGGAAAGGTGTTAGGGATATACCAAAGGTTCCAGTTGGAAGTCTTTTTGAGGATGTCGTATGAGGAAAGTTTGATGGGAAACGTTAGACCTTTGAGGCCAAAGATGAAGATTGGGACTTTGAGGGAGGGTCCTTGAATGGACTGAGTTTGAAACTGAGATCATTGGCATCAATGTCTTTATCCGTTCATATTACCCTTCGGCCGAGATTGAAATCATGAAAGACAGGATCCTGTACTGAAGTCATAAGAGACCGACGAGCGGATCGTAAAGTTAGATCTTGTAATCCTTGATGTAAACCACGTCGTACGTGGAACACGGTCGATATGTAGGATAAATGGAGGAGACTTTCATGAACCAACGCGTGTTCGAGTTTCCTTGCATGATGAAGAAAATTCCGAGGTCGTGATGACTTTATTCAGTCTTCATAACTGGACGCAGTGTATACGCAGAGATGATCTCCCCTAAGACCCATACGCTGACTGCGACAAGCACCAACCCCGCTGCCCATACCCAAAGATGAACGGCCCAACCGAGAAATTCAAGTTGATAAGCCATCCCGAGCCATAGAGCTTGAGCGGTGATCCAGCTGGTACTGAGCAGAATGGCGCGTCGCGAGGTTATATGAAGATGAGGGATGAGAGGTGAAAGAAGAGGTAGAAACCAGGTATAGTACTATTATCAATCAGTATCTCAATCTATAGCTTGTCGTATGGAGATGGAGAGTTGAGGATGAAGGTGAAAACTCACCTGAGAAGTGCAGACTTTATTGAATATCACAAACCCCCAAGTTTGTACAAACATTCCTAATTCTAATCCACCTTCCAATGACCCAAAAGCAAATCCAACTAGGAGCATCAAAGTTGCTTGTGGTAAAAAGCTTATGAGCGGATGTTCCAACAGGAATAGCATCGGTTTGATCCATGAATGTGGCCATGACGATGAGATACCATTCTGAGTGGGAAAGTAGGATAGATAGATGGGGTAAAAGTAAGGTGAGAAATTATGTCTATGATCTAAACGAGTGAGATGGTAAAGAAAAGTGTGATCAAGAAAAGGTTGACCCCATCTTTTGATCAGTTTCAAAATCTCAACGACTGTCATTTTGTCCAGGTCTGATTTGCTTGCCGAGAAGTGATAAGTCTCCACACAAAGTCAAGAATGAGTGACTTTCAAAAGAATCAGACATGTACAGGAGACCGGAAGCTAGAGTACAGAAAAAAGAGAAACTCACATTGACCATAACAATCCATTCACGATGATCATACTGATCAAAGTGACCATACCAAATCTCCAAACTCCCCAACCGAACCATCCATACCGTCTAGCAAGTGTAGCCCATATGGTCGGAACGTATATCAGAGGATATATCTTATACGATACTGCCAATGCGAGTAAGACAGCCGCACGAGTCTCCCACTTGATTCTTAACTTTCCCTCCACATCGTCCCCATTCACCGGTCGACTTCGGTCCTTAGAGAGGGAGGTTGATTCGGCAGATTTCAGACTAAAGAGAAGGGCGGTGACTAAGAGACAGATGATCGCTTCGGGTGATCCTCGAGTGGTAATGTTTAATACGAATGGGTTGAGAGTCCATATCAAGTGAGTTGGCCAAAATAAAGGATTTCGTATTTGCTGAATATTTTGCTTTGATACAAGTTTCCTTACCTTCTTTCTGCCTGAGGGTTTGATCGTGGTATGCCTCTGAGGGTGGACGTTCAATCGTAAGAGAAGTATAGGGATGATGAGAGAAGCAACGACAAGTATGAGTTTCCCAAGGAAGGGATGTAAGATACTTGGCGAGAGAAGAAGTGGGAGGAGGGGAGTATAGCGGAATGTTGCTCTTTCGTATGGACTGAGTGACTGTCAGCTGAACAAGTCTTTCTCCACATGTAGACGTTTCTGTCGGGCACAATGAAGAGAAGGTTCTATAAAGAACCGAGAAGACTCACTTGCCAAAGTTCAGATCTAGTTTGTTGACTAACCATCCCTGTGCTCGATTTTCCAAAGTGGGAGAGAAGATGAGTTTCGCTCCGTCACTGACAACTCTCCAATCAACATCTGTATACTTGAGCCCTCCATATCTTTCTGGGTGGGTATCAACATGATTGGCATATAACAATAAAGTCACGTGAATGAAAGCGGAGAGTGCGATGATACGAGGGGTGGTAAGTATCGAAGACATATGTGGAGGAAGGAGAAGAGGAGAAGCAGAGGTGCCTGATTGAGTGAGAGAGATGTTTTGACGACGAAAGATGGGTTGTCTCTCAGCGACGATACATGCTCAGGGGTTCGAGAGGGGGAAGAAGACATCGGTATGACTGTGAGTACTAGCTGTAGACCCCATGTTGGCAGAGTGATACATGTGATCTATTCCCAAAGAAGGTTGAGAAAAGAGGGAAGATAGAGAGATGGGATGGTATTACCACCCCCTTATAGACAATTTACCTTCCTTTCCTTTCCCCCCTCTTTACTCTTCCCCACCACCTTTGTCCTCATCTTCCGTCACCCACCTCTCTTTCTCACTCTCTCACCATACAATCATCACTACCTTGGTCTGGCCAAGAGCCTGACCGCGTTGACCGGCCGATTGACCTTTGTTTCAACACTCGGCATGCTCAAACGTATCCGAACCAGTCAGAAACGCTTAAGGTAGCAAGTTTGATGTCACCGATTATCAACGCTTGAAACACGTCTTACTTTGTCACCTTGTCATTCCTCTTTGTCACCACATTCCATATACAGGTTCGCTATTGTGTATCAGTATTCAACCTACCATCAACATCATTCTAGTTCTCTACCAAGGATTCACTTGACCGACATACTTGAGTATGTCACCCTCTATCATATCCCCCAACCCTCGGATCTCGGGTCCACCTTGCAAATCCCCCAATCATTCTATTCCTACCCCTTCTCAGACTTCCGACTCGTCACCTTTATTCGCTGGATTTCTCTCTCATTCCTCTCATGCTTCTCCCATGTCTTATCCTACCACACCAATGAGTCATAGTCCTCCTTCACCCGACTCACCCACATCCGATTTACCCTACCTGAGCAGTCCTAAATCACCTCCACCTCTTCCTTCCTCCCCGTACCAAGCCGATCCCGTCATCAGCCCCTTCTCTCCCTCGATGAGTCAACCAACCACAGCTCGTCCTCAGAAACAAGACGTCTCGTCGATTGGATCATCTAGTAGCAATGGAGGAACAGCCAAACATCGACCCAGGCCTTTGGACCTCAAAGCTCCAGCCAATGACGGAAAAGGGACGCCTTCATCTTCGCAATCCGCTCAATTCGATACAAAGGACCCGTTGACCTCGAGCGATTCTGGTAAGTCGTATCTTTTCATCTATCACATTACGCTCTATGAGAATATTATAAAGATGAAAATACTAATATATCTTAGTTGGAAGCTCCATGTCGGAGACTTTCGACGAGCTATCGAGGTTGAGACGGGACGTATTGAAAAACCTTGAAAAGCGTCCTGTTGCCATATCATCACGATCAAGTGCATCCAGCGATACTACAAATTCAGCACCGGCAGTCACCATACATCCCCCTAAGAGCGACGATAACGCTATAGAGCTCTCTGAATTTCTTTCTATACAATCCGATCAGAGACGATATCTCATCCTGGACACCCGACCATTGGGAGATTTCCTAGAAGCCTATTTTCCTGGTTCAGCCAATATCTCAATTCCCACGCTCATGCTCAAGCGATTTAAAGCCCGATCAGGTGATAAATGTACCACTTGGGACGCCCTTTCAGCATTTATTTCCACCCCAGAAGGCAAAGGTATTTGGGATAAGCTCAACCCTTGTCAACCACTGGATGTTATTGTCATCGGAAGAGACGGGTCGGACAATTTACCATTCACAGTTCAAAATGTCCTCGAACCACTTCTTGAACAAGGACGGGCCAGAGTCCTCGTTGGTGGTTGGAATGCTGTGCTATCAAGTCCACAAGCACGTAGTCAACTAGTCGTCACCGCAGAATGGACCGAGAGCGAGGTGGAAGGAGGAGAAGCACTGCCCCCGCCACCAAAGTCCGCACCAGCGTTCGATTTCCCTCCACCTCCCATTCCACCCTCAGTCCCTCTCCGAGTGTCCCATCATCCCTCCATGCCGTCTCTAAGATCTGAAGGTTCTTCAGCCCCATTCCGCGTCAACGCACCAGGAGCTATATCTACTCGACGTACCCCAAAACTCAGCTTGAGACTAGACCAACCTCTTAGGAGTGCCACCCTTCCATCCGAAGGTTCCAACTTTTTGACCGCCACCTCATCATCGTTTGCCTCTGGTCGAAAATCCCCTGGTCTCAGCATCTCCGTTCCTAAATCTCCTGGTTTTCTATCTGTCCAGGCTTTGTGTCATGAACAGTCCAAACGTCCCCCATCACCCAGTACGTTTGGAGCGGTACCTCCTCCCCCTCTCGCGAACAACGATGATACGACCGAATCTCTCCTTTCGCCTCCATCTCCATACTCTGCTTCCCACACCGCACGACCAGGGATGAGAGATTTGGGCTCGGCCACCTCATCAGGTTCTTCTTCCGGATGGCCTACCAATTCGTCCAACTCGTCTGATCAGTCATCGTCGATGAATTTGACAGCACGGAATGTCATATCTCCTTTTGTGGTGACGACCATTTTGCCCAGCTTCCTCTATCTCGGACCGGAAATTGCGAGTATGCGGGATATTGAAGAGTTGAGAAGATTGGGGGTGAAGAGGGTACTAAATGTTGCGATAGAGTGCGAGGATGAACATAGTCTTGGGTTGAGAGAAAAGTTTGAGCGATATCTGAAAGTACCCATGAGAGATATCGTTGAGGAGACTGGAGTAGCACGAAACCTCCGAGAGGCATGCAATTTCCTAGGTGAGTCATTATCAATCTTACTGCTTGCAAGCCACATGACATACCCCTAGGTACATTAGCAACGGCTGATGCTAATAGACGACGCGCGATTACATTCCTCTCCTACGTACGTACACTGTAAAGCCGGGAAATCCCGATCAGTCACCGTCGTTCTAGCCTACCTCATTCATGCCAACGCCTGGACTCTGAAAACTTCATATGCCTACGTCGCCGAACGTCGGAAGGGTATCTCACCCAATATCGGTTTCGTGGCAGAGTTGATGCAGTTTGAAGAGTCCGAACTGGGTATCCGACAGTCTGGTGGTGTTCATGGTGAGGCAGCTAGGGCAGGTGGGGCGGCTGGACCGTCAAGAGGAGAGGAAAAGGATGATAGTCCGAGAGATAGGAAGATGAGGGAAAGTTTACCCCCTGCTTGGGCTAGTAGTTTAGATTCAAGTAGATTACCGAGTCCGTTAGTCGATGTAGAGAAGGACAAGTTGGAGAAGGAACAAGAAGAGAAAAGGAAGATTGGAGAGGAGAGGGAAGTGAGAAAGAATGGACAATGGGTTCATCAACGAAGGTGGGTTGTTCTCCTACCCCCCTCTTTGGTCTTTACCTGTCTATCTCTTTTGGTTTATATCTCTTGATAGCTAGGGTCGCATTGACTAAGCGTAGGGGCAATGAAATGAGGATGTAGGGTCTGATTGCTAACGTCCAGAGCACCGGTGGATCGAACGACCCTTCAACCCGGAAGGAGAGTTTCCAAAGCAGGTCTGGAATCACTTCGTCCTCTAGCATCCGTCAATCCTTCCACTAGTCCCCGAACGAGTCCAGGTTTGTCTCCTAGTCCAGGAGGAAAAGAAGGAAATCACGCTGTTACACCTGGAGGAGAAGGGAGGTTGAATTGGGTATGAGATAGAATCTTTCATGCATTGTATCGTGTCATGTGGTGCTGTATCGTAATCTTGATTACCCATACTAGAGAATACTTGTTGAGTCTATCTCGAGTTAGGATCCGAGAATTCGTCATGTCACTATGCCATTGTAGGTATAGTGAGACCTTGTAGTGGAGGCGGAATAGGAACGGGAACAGTTACGCCCGCCCTCTTTCCACCGTTGTATATCTTCATTACTGACTCACTGACTTCTGACCAGATCACAACTCCATACTAGAGAGGGTAAACCGGGGTTTGGACCGGTCACGTTTGACTTCTGCTTGGGGTTCACTTGAAAAGATTGATATCTAGAAGGATCCCCCATTCATCCTCAGTATCGCGTGAGTTTTCGTCCTATCCCATCTCGTTCTCTTTCTCACCCGTCGATCGGAATAATCCCCTCATCTACCCTGACGCCTTGATCTCTCCTATCATACTTATACTAGCTAGTCTCATTAATCTACAAAGATCTAATGGAGACAACAATGCAAAACGTAACTTTGACTTCTCTAATATCACACGTTCGGTGAAAATAATTTCAGAACGGGCGATTTCCTAGAAATCTGAAACTCTTTCTACAAGGACTACAGTATGATACCGTACGAATGGGTCGTGATCCTCGTGCTCAAAATTATGGAGACCCGGCGGTATGGCAATCTAGTTACCATCAAAGGTCGGGATCGCATCATTCACCGAATGGATCCGTCAATTGATCGCAACTCTTCAAGATCTACAAGACGATCCGTTGTTATCGAAATTCGAGAGGAAGGACCAGTAGGGGATTTTATGTTCATACATACAGTATGATATCCTATCAATTGATTTTAACATCCTGAGTGGACGACATCACATTCCCTCTCATACCCCAAGGATGGAGAAAGAGAAGGAAAAACCACTCCCTTTGACGAACCTCACTTTTACTTTTTAATCATCCATTGTTCATTTTGAAAACCAAAACTTTTCTTGGCAAGAAATCAAAAGCCGTTAGACCAAATGCCGGACATAGCAACTCGATCTGGACCATTTCCATAAGCGAAAATGAGAAGAAGAAGGCGAACCACGTCATATCAACTTTATATTTTTACCGCCTATCGAATCTCTTTTTTTTCTCTTTTCTTACTAGACTCGGCGTTGCCTTCGGGCGGAAACGTCCTTTGATCACATTTTTGACTACGACGAACTACTCTTTCCTCACAACTTGAACCTACGGTTATCGACAACAAAATCCGTTAATCCCTCACTACCTCCGTCCCCCTTCAATACGTTAGATTCGATGTGAAACTAGATGGAAACATCACTTGATCATTGATGTTAATCTACGGGAACCAATTATAGTCTAAGGAAACTACATCCGTGATCTTTCCCCTCCCCCCCCCTCCCTTACTTCCTTCCCTCTCCTCCTTTTCCCAGGTTCCCGCCCTCACCGGATCTCGTACCTCTTAACACGGATCTTGACATATCTTGAAAGTGTAGGGGGCGTAGAGTAAAGGGGATTTTAAACGCCTTCTATTTTCATATAACCCCCTCTTTTTCTCTCCGCTACAACGTCCGTGGTCATAGGTGGAGCTATGAGGGTAACTACTTCTTTCTGCGGGATACGGACCGTGGAGCCGTAGTTGAATTCTTAAGAATGTGGGAAAAACAAGATTCTTCTCTTTCACCGCACCATTGATTTCAACTGTCGGTCTTCGGGGGTTTGGAGCTTTACTTTTTGAAATATACAGATCTTGAAAGATTGTTGTATCCGAAGGCCCGCACGATATTTCCCTTTCCACTCTTTCCTCTCTCCTCTCCCCTTCCCCCTTCTCATAAGTTTTGTTTTTTTTCTCTGTTTTGATCACATCATCCATAAATCATCAAGAACAAAGCAGATAACACCGCCCGTCTATCTATACGATTTTCTTAAGCTTCTCATATTACCTAAAAGGGTTATATTTTTATAAAGACGTTGGAATGCCATGACGTGCGTTCCGTTTTGGAAGGGAAAACACCAATCTTTAACCAAAGTGAACATCCTTAACCTATTCCCACGGATATCATCTAAATCCGCGAGTTGATCCTTCTCAAACTTGTTTGAAGACTTTTTGATTCATTTATTTATTTATTCATAAAAAAATAAAGACTACATCATGATCTTTAGGACATCTCATATTTCATACTTTGAATCTTCTAGAATCATCATTCCGATTCAAGTGACCGACAAAGAATCCTTCGAATCATCTAAACTTACTTCCTCACCCCCTTCGTTATCGTCGTCGTCATCTTTTACATCGTCACCTTCAACAACATCCCTCGAGCACGGTCCTTTACCATCAACGCCCCAACGACCCGTTCAAGGAGTAAACAATTCTATCGCCCCTTCCCACCCCTTCCCAAACCCCTTATCATTCCCATACGGAGCGGTCGTAGTGAGCGGAACGGATACACCACGACGTCGACCTCCTTGTGAAAGAGAAACGATACGCCACTCTTCGTTAGTAATCGGAGGCAGTACGCCCCTTTACTTGTTCTTCCGTCCTCTCCGGTCGACTTGATCACTTCCGAACACACTCAACGGCTTCGACGTCACCCCGTTCCATCTACAACTTACTGTTTCCGACTTCCGAACCTGACGGGAAGGCCTTGGAGCCAGACGAAATGTCAATCGTCCCTATGACAGTCATAGAAGATCGACAAGATGACAAGATGGACAAACATCTTCCAAGTCACAAACTCTCTCTTTCTTCTTCTTCTCCTCGTCTTCCTCCGCTCAACGATAATGGAAAACTTTCACCATTCGACACAGTTAACACATCATTCCCATCGGTAGAAAAGAAGGAGGAATCATCACTACAATCTTCTCGTACTTCCTCACCATCAACAGGTATCGAACTTCATCAATCGCTTAAACGTCGATCCCCTTCTCCTCCTAGACCTTCTTCACTTCGTATCCTTCTCAGAAGAGACAGTGATAAATCTTCTTCACCTAAACTACCCCGCTTAATTCTACCTCCTATAGATGGAAGGTCGATGCGTCGTCGATCAGCTTCGCCCGTTCGTCTTGTCACGCCCTGGCAATCTCAATCTCGTCTACCCACTTTACCTTCTCCACAACCAGGTCCAATTCCAGCGACTGCGACACTCTCTCCTCCCGGCACCGCCGGCTCGTCATCTACCATTCGCAGTATAGGCGTAGCCCCTTTACATGGCAGTGACTTTGGTCGGCGACTGTCGGGTCCCGGACAACCCGCAACGCCCTCCTCTGAAACAAAGTGAGACACCCTTTCATCATACCTAGAAGGATCGTTGATGATTCAGTTCCTTGAATACCCTCCTTCTTCCCCGGAAACCCCCAGAAACAGCTATACCGGCTCCCTCCTCGGCTCCTGTGGCTTCACTGACTTGGCCACCCACAGGTATGATCAGTGGGGTTACGAATGCCACAGACCGTGCGTCGACGTCGATGAAGAATTACCCTTCTCCCGAGGCATGGTTTGCCTTGGCTTCTACGTCCAGAGATAGGCATCGTTGGTCTCGAGAGATGTTGCAAGGTTATCATCTAGGTGTAGAAGATACGATTCGGGCTATGGAAAATGGTATTGTTGGTGTGAATGGTAGGCAATGTGAGTTTGGACATTCTCTAGAATTTACATTTGCCGTGCGATCATCATCATTTTCCTCTTCCCCTTTCTCAAATCTCTAATTGTCTTGACTATTATAGATACATACATAGAGTCACCACTGGAAGAGGAAGTCAGTGAAGCTGACTATTATCAGTTCCACGTCCTGTACATATCAAGCACGATATCCCTCGACATACTATGGACGAATATCCTCGTCGGATACATCCACCACCTCGACCAAGTCCTCGTACCTTATATCAAACACCTATCAGTACTTCACCTGGGACTCCCACTCATCCTTCTGGTCTTCCTCGCTCCTTCCCAGTAGACCTTGGACAACATAATCATCCAGCCCACCCGAAACATTCTCTTCCTCATCAACCCGTTTATTCTCCGTACGGTAGTCATCATCCGACATCACAGTCAAAACAATCTCCTTCACCCACTCATTCACCTCAAACTTCCCTTCGACCCCATCCCCATCCCCATCCCCATCCTCATCCGCAACACCACCTTCAACATCCTCACATGCAGCATCAACATCTACAACACTTCCGACATTCTTACCCCTCCGTCCCAGGTCCATCATCACGCACTACCTCTTTATCAAACTCTATGGCCGCTATGAGAACACATGATAATTATCTTCCTCTTCTCTTTCAGCGTCAGACTTCTCCGGGGATGATGGGAAGTCCGAATAACCCAGAACGTCGTACACGTCAGCCCATATCATGTTACGGATGTAGACAACGTAAATTGAAATGTGATGGTATCAAACCATGCTGCCAATGCGTTCGTAGGGGAAATGATAAAGAATGTGATTATGCTCCTATGGTCAGAAGACGAGGAAAAGGGAAGAAACATGATAGATCAGAAAATTCAAGTCAAAGTGCTGATGATACTCCCAAACGTGATCATTTTCACACTTCTCGCAGTCCTTCTGTGTTAGAAACGAATCCAAACCCTATGGAAGATTCATCACGCCGTTCGAGAAGTTATGGCAGATCAGAGTCACTTCCCAAGAGGTCTAAAGGAGGAGAGGTAGAAGTTATGAAAAGAGTTGATAGTAACGAGAATGAACATGACGGGCAAGTCAGTCAAGATGAGACCAATGGGTTCGAGGACGAGAGGTTGACACAGCAGGAAGAAGATGTACAACTTAGGACAATCACACTTTCTCCAGAACAAGATATACGTCCTGTTCTGCATTCACCACTTTCTGTCAAAGCGGAAATATCCTCTCCAATGACTGAAAGACATCCTTCGCCTTCACCAAATCCGACGATAGAAGAGGAAGTCGTGCCAGCGGATTTCCGAGAATGCAAATGATTCATTAGCACTTCATGGACAATAACCGATTAGATCGAGTCGGATGGTATACAAGTACGATATGAGTATATATAGAAGATATAGAGAGATGATTGTGGATAAGAAGCATTGTATTTCTGTGTATCCCTGTCTTCTCCCAGATAGATGTAGGCCTACATGTATGCAGCGTAAATGAGTTTATGACTTCGTCTTTGAATGTGGCACCCTCGATGTGGCAGTGTGGCAATGTGGCAGAATGTGAATATCAAACGAAAGTGCCACAAAGGTTTACACCTCCTCGGATATGTCTCGACGACGAGACGTTGTCAAGGAAACCGACACTAACAGCACAAGAAGATACCTTACCGGTTGGAGTACGAGTAATCCATTGCTGTATGAGAACGATCATGGTCTTCTCAAGTTCTGATGATAACGACCCTGAAATGATACACTGGAATGACGATGATCTCTAGCTCGGAAATCCGGTCCTTTATACCTCCGAGGTCAAACGCTAAGTAATCCCTCATATTTATATACCCTTTCAAGCTATCTCCTCTTTGACAATCTTACTCTCCATCTGATCCTTCTCTAAAAAACTCATCCTGTTCAAGCGAACGAACGACAAACTTCAATATGACATTCACTGGACATCTATCAGCACACTACGTAATTGGAACCACTGCCGCTTTCTCACATGTCACACCTTTACTTCAACTCGCATTATCTTTACTTGAACTCACACCAGACTTGTGTATCTCTTTCATCGTTCATGCGAACAACATAGAGACATGTCATAAAGTTTTCTCTCAGTCGGACCAGTATGAAGAAGTCACAAAGCCCAGATTAAGATTGTATACAGTCGGTGATGCGGGTCTTGAGTTGAAGAAAGTAGGAGAGGCATTTATGGAGATGGTTTACAAAAGCGGAGAGCAGTATGGGACTATCTTAGGGGTAAGTCTGACGTTTCAAGCTGCAAATCTTTGAATCAATTGGTAACTTTCATTCCCATACAACTCTTTGGTTCTTCGCATTAGAAGACGAGGGTATAGCACCATATTGATTATCCACCAAACCATTATGCTTGATCTCTGAGTCATGTCTGGGGCCGATGAAGCTTGAATAGAGTCAGAAGCTAACCCTCAGTCTTGCTCTCATTTTGGCTGGCCATTTCCAACGATGTTCATCTTCGACTTGACCTCATTTTTCTACCCTCAAATCAAGAGTGCAGTAGAAGCTCAAATCCCAAATTGTCCTCCTGTAAGGCTCGTAGGATATTGGCCTTTACCCGTTGCTGATCTACTCTTGTAAGTATTTGCTTTTTTCTGGAATCCTCAAGTTGTCATATGACTCTAGCTCCCATCCTGAGACGTTCACTCATTTCGAGCCTAACGGGCTATGACTCGAAGAGAAACCAGCTACTTAAAAGTTCCCGAGTTGATGAACAGCCTCGCTGGGGACGTAACAAATGGCTCTATCCGATGGCTCGGAGAGGAATTCGATACTCTGTCCACGGCCCAAGGGGTAGATTTGAAAATTGGTTTGACCCTCGACAAGGTGAGGTTTCTAGAGTTAAAAATCGGATACAGCTGAGACAGGGGATCAGATGTTATACCCGGCTCAGTGGGGCAATGATCAGGTCATGTCCCATCAAGAATATGTGGACAAGGTCGTAGAGGCTTATCGTCAGGCGAGTCTCTTCAATTTCCCTTTCCTCATTTCATTCCTTCCAGAATCATGACTGAAATTTGCCCGCAGGTCGACAAGACGCTAACATTCAGACTGTCACCGAGTCTGGTAAAATTGTAAATGTATCAGGCTGTAATCCATGCTGTAAGGGACTTGTCTTCCTCTTTCACCTCTATCTAAGTTCATATTTCGAAGAACTCTACTTTTCACCCTTCTGTGAATGCATCAAGATCTAGGTAGGATTTGATAGAGACTGACCTGCAGCCCTATATGAACGCTGGGCGTTCGATATCAACTGGAAAGACCCTACACTATCATACGGCTGGTTTGCTTACCTCAACGGTGTCCAAGCTGCTTGCAGTGAGGTATCAGCCATGATCGGTTGTTTCCCCTCTTCAGTGGTCGAAGCCGAAACGCTCAAAGCGGTCCAGACGGATGGTCAACTCACCAAGTTGGCCGAGCCGTTCATCGAGATGGGGTACTTTCCTAAACCTGCCTCAGACCAGATCGAGATGCGCGTGCGAGAATTCTTAGATAGGCACGCCGAGAGACAAGTGACATTGCTCAGGTCAGTCCCCTCGTTCTCTCCTCACCGGTGGATGAGCTGACAAGGTGAGCTTTGGCACTGTGGTAGAAGCCGGTCCCGGAATATCCACGTTATTTGACTTCCTTGTGGACAATGACTTGCCGTTTGTTTATGCTTGCGGGGGACAAAAGGAAGTTTTACCCGCACATGTACGGGAAGTGCTGGCTAAGGGCGAAAAGGAGGGGAAATGTATCGCCCCGGATTGGGTCAACCAGACTGCCATTCTCGGGCATAAGGTGACTTACTTCACCCAGTTCCTTCAAAATACCCAGACTCACAAGAGATGGTATTGTGGAAATAGGGAATAGATAGCTGATGGTCAGTCTATCAAATGTTTCCTCTCTCATTGCGGTGCCAACTCTTTCTGCGAGGCTGTGATGGCTTCAGTGCCCATCTTGGTATGTTTTTCCTTTCCTCCTTCTATTCACTACTTGCTCCTCTAAGCCAACCGCACAGATTAAACAAACTAGTGAAGAACTTGAATAATGTAGGGAGGAATGTATGAGACTGATGGCCAGGCTTGGCCGATCAAATGGGATCAAATCCTCCTCGGCTCTTTAGTTCACAAACATTCCATCGGTGTAGAGCTCTTACAACATCGTCGTGGGGCAAACGTAGGGCAAGAAACCGCTCATCGCAAGATCGTAGTCGAGGGAACATCAGAAGCTCTTCATTCGGAACTTGTTGAAGCTTTCGATCTCATCGAGAAAGAAGGAGAGGAAATGAGGGAGAGGGCAAGGAAATTAGGAGATAAAATCCGTGCAAAGAGAGAGGGAGAATGGAATGAGAACGTAAAGAAATTCGGTATGTGGGGTAGGTCAGAGGACTTTTAGAACATCCCCACTATAAGTCAGATGAGAAGGTGGGTCGATTTATCATACTGATCGATTTCCGATGTAAGAAATCATGTGTATCACCATTTCGAGCTACTAATCGTCCTTGCCAAACTACATCACTGACAATGACAATCAGAGGTAAATCCTGAGACAGCTGATGTACATATAAATACTCAAAAACATCATTAGCGGAGTCGACACTGATGTCACATGTCGGATCATCACTCCTTTGAATACTTCTGACAAGTGACAACATTGTCATCCTTTGCGTCAATGTGGTTCTAACCCCCTTGTGTTTGAAAGATTTTGCTGGCCTTTGTTATCCTGTTCATCTTTCGCTCAATCTCACCTTCATTCTTCTTTCTTCCCCCATCACCTCACACAAAACCATCAAGTACTGAAGACACAATTTTGAATCATATTTCATCACTCTAAAACATCCGAAAGCTGAATCACTCAAACGAAATCTGAACTTTTCTTTTCACCTCCAAACCATTCCAAGATCAGTTGTTTCCCTTATCCGGTCACTTAGCTAGCATTAACACTTGGCAAAGGTTATCCATCTTGTAACCTTCACAACTATTGAATTCATTCCCGTGACAAGATTATCTTTACTTTCTGATGGGTTTATTCGGTAGTAGTCGTCAAAATGATCGTTCACAAATTGCTAAAAGTACTAGAGGTTCTATGTTCAACCCGCTCTCTCTTGTTAGGGGATACTTCAGCCGCCAATCTAAAGGAGAACGGGTCGATATGAGTGATCAATTCGACAGACTCTCTGATCGTTTTTCGCATTCTCGGACTAATAACTCAGCTCCATATGACCAAAGTCAATTATCAGGTCAATCTGTGACTGGGAATAAACTTCCTGAAGTAGTATCCGAATACCCTGCGGGCTATAGATCAGCAGAGAACAATCATGATCTGCCAGATCATCAACCTTCCGTAAACGGGGCTCTCGGTTCGACAGTTTCAGAACCGGGAAATGGAGGGAGGCAGGAAGATCAAGTATCCTCGGAGAGTAGATCAGAACATGATGACGAGGAGAAACAAGCCACACATACGGAAGGGCTGCAGACGGTGGAGGAGGAACATTCAGATAGAGAGGAAAACATTGGTCAGGGATCGGGAAGAGAAAATGACAGGGATGAGGACCGAACGAGGTTATTGGATGCGTTTCGGGATGATGATGATGAAGAAGACAAAGACAAAGACAAAGAGGAGGAGGAGGAGGATGAGGAGGATGTGGTGGAAGACAAAGAATTGGGTCATGTCGGACCTGTAAAACCGCGTGTCACCATGTCTATCCCAGAAACCGTCGGATTGGGTATTCAGGGAGTGCGTGGAATCGATAGTGATGTTGAACCACTTTCTTCTCGAGAAATAGAATCACTTAAAGAGTTCCAGCAGGGTGAAGAACAAGAGATTGGATTCCAAGCTTTGAAAACGACCGACATCGGTGTTAATGGGTTCATTCGAGACCAAGATAACAATGGGATTGATCCAGTGGAGGAATCAATCTTGACCGAGGAAGATGATATACCCCAGGAGACTTTTGATGATGGCGACAAAATTGTATCTCCCACTGAAGAGGATGATGATATTTTGATTCCATCTGAACGAATGCGTGTCGAGGGAAATAACGAGGTCAACGTCAACATTCAGAAAGATGTAGGACGGGATCTGTTCACCAACCTGGACCGCTCCCTTGAAGATACAAACGCAACATCCTCAATCGTACTCAATTCACTTCTTCCCGTCGTCACTACACCTCTTAACCCCTTATCTCAAGATGACGATACCATATTAACTTCCACTCTTCCCAATCTTGAAGATTTAGAACCATCTCATGTCATCCCAGATATCCAGATTACTACCCCTGTCGCGGAGTTGGGACTAAAAGAAGACTCAGAGTCTAATCAACTTGCACAAGACAATATCTCCACTTCCCCCAGACGTCGATTTAGGTTATCTCATTACACTTACTCCGATTCCACATCGTTCATGGGCCAAATCGATCACTATGCCACTCAAGCGGAAGATCATTTCCTTCAACTCCTCTCCGGAACTGTTATTCCATCAACCCCAATCTCCAAGATTCGTCGAGCCCGACGGGGTCCTCCGGGCAATCCAGCCTACCTCAGTATGATGTACAAGCAGACTGAAGGATTCCAACCTCTACTTTCTCGGCTCGATCCCACACTTTCAAAAAAACTCCAGTCGACTTATGAAGATGTCAAGAAGTTGTCCAGATTACATTATGACTCCAAGACTACTGAGATGAAATACAAAGATCAGTTTGGTCCTCATTGGGAAACAGAGGGAAGGGATCAAGTGGACGAAGATGTGAATCAGAAGATGAGAGAAGCGTATTTGGATCCACTCGGTTCGAGTGTGGGAACGTACGAGGTGGATGTTATTTCCAGTTTGAAAGCGGATTCCATAGATGGGCAGCAGTTCCAAAATAGATTGGAGGGATTTGTGGATATGATACATGGGAATAGAAAACACCATACTGATTTAAGAGATTGGATCAGTAGGAATACAACCCCAGAAGAGTCAACAGAGGATGGGATAAAGAACAATGTGAGTACGTCGAAGGTAGAAAAGACGGAGGAAAGGAAGAAAGGGAGAGTATCAAGCATGATAGTACCAAGTTACACTCAGGCGAGGAAGAGAATAATGCAATCGACACGTCGAACTGGGACGAAATATAATCCAACGGATCGAAAAGATTCTTTATTCTTGCCGGATGAATATGGTGGTGTCGGACCGAATCTGACAGCTTGGAATAAGACCCATGGTACAACAGCGAGCGTGCTGATCACTTTGGACGAAATGGACTTGTTACCTGATGGTGAGTTTCTCTTCGTGATCAGTATCTTCATCTGGATATCCTTTTTGTCTTGCTGTAGCGTGGTGGAAACAAACGTGGACCTTTTACTGACATCTTATCAGATTTCATCAAAACTCTCACTGACGAAACGGTGATCAAAGCTTCTACGCTTATCGATAACACTCTCGAAAACCCACCCGCAGGGGAATATGCCGAGGGTTGGGCCAACAGATACCTGAATATCAGAGATGAATTAGTTGATAAGGATCACACTTTAACGGAACAAGAACGGACAGACGCTCGTGTTGAATTATCGAATATGATACGCGATGCCGTCAACTTCAACGGTCAGAAATACGGAACGGACTTTGAGATCATGTCGGAAACAGTCGCCACCGAAGCTGTGAGTAGGAGTGTCAGACGTGGAGGTGGGACAAACGTTTGGTTGACATCTCTTGGATCCGTCAAAAATCTTCAATCAGCGATAAAGAAACTTGATATGAAGACTGATTTATTTGTCGAATTATCCATGTTACAAGCAAAGATGAGGTTGCCGATATTTGAAGAACCCACCAATCCTGATAACAAGTCTTCTCCAACTCGGACTTCATTCAAGAATGATAAAACCACAAGCACTATCAATGAGAGCGAAGCTGAAGGATCAACTCGAACAGTAAGGATTCCAATGAGTTCACAGCAACTTCAGCTTCTTCAAAGCCTACAGTTAATTCAACAAGCCATCAGCAAAGAAATCTCCAACGCTGAAAATACCGTCACCACCTTCAATTCAGTCACTCGTCAACTTCGAAACAACATTACAACTCTTGAGAGATTGGTCGATGATCCCAGCCATACAGCGACGGAAGCAGAGAACAACGAATTGGCTGCTTTACATCAATACGCTCGCGGAGCTTTACAAGATTTGACAACTTTTCGAACAACCACAGCTGTTCAGAGTTTTGCTTCGGTACCGGAATATTCAAGTTTCCTAAATGATAATCACATGTCGGAGATGGAAAGGAGAGAATTATCTAATTTAGCCTCGAAGTTGATACCAGCTGTGGATCATATCATAAAGGGGATGGGAGAAAATATCAGGAAATCTAAGGCGTTGTCGGGACGGAAGTTGACCGAAAAGTCAAACACCAAACCTCCAGGATCTAATGGTCTGGATGATCCATCTGCACTGTCCGAGATACTCAGTGGAGAAAGGTCGGAAGTGATATCCACAGATGTTGACAATGAAACGATGGGGAGTGCATCGGAGTCGATGTCGATGTACGAACCTCTGCCGGGATCTTCTAGTACCATCACAGCTTGATTTTCCGAATGAAGTGATGGGGTGTATGTATGTGATATGTGTTGTTTGACTGAGATTCATTCATGAATCGTTTCTTGCTAATGCTTTTTCTGCTCGTGTCTGTTCCAAACCCACCCAACTTGTTCGTCCCTCTAGACTAGCCCGAGTCTTTTCTCTTGCACTGACAAGTCTTTCCAATCTTACAGCATCCTCAATATCGTCGTACTTCCCCTTCTCCCCAAGACGTGGCGAAGTTTGGCTGCCGTTCTCAAGCACCACGCGAGACGCTCCACTGGCCTTTAGAGTCTTCCGCATAGACGCGATATCCTCATCGAGAGTTTCCAAGGTTGTACGTAGATCGCCAAGGGTCACAAGCTTCAGCAAAGAGATAAGAGAGGTATGTGAGGTGGTTCCTATGTGTTGAAAGCGGACAGGCTTCACTATCTCAGCTTGATTATTTGTAATGAGATGATATCGAGTCACTCACACCGATCATGTCACCTCCAAACTGACATATAAGCCTGCCAGTCTAAAATTGATAGAGAAAGAACCCACCCATCGGCAACAGACAGTGAGTACATCGACACCTTTGTTTTCCCTCAATACACGTAAAACCCTCTCCCCACCAAACTTCTCTCCGTCGTCATTAAATGTCTCTAGCAGCTGTTCGTGAGTGTCCGCAGTCACCACAACTTGAATTTCGGATATAATCTCAAGCAACAATAGTAGAGTATGTAGTATCATGTACGACTGGACTCACTTGATAATCATCTTCCCCTCCAGTCCCATTTCTCCCTTCTTTCAAGCACAAAGCTCTCACTGCCCACATACGATGATCTGGTTCTCTCGCTCTCTCTTTACCTTTCCGACTCCCCGGTGCTTTTCCCTCGCCGTTTTGAAACGCGCCTTCGACTTGTTCCAACAGAGCGGATCCCATCTGTCCCACCACATCCAAATCACGCACCATACGTTTAGCTTCTTTGACTAGAGAAGTCTCGGTGGTGATATGAGGAGGAGGGATCAATGAGAGAGTAAATGCCACAAAGGTAGAGTTCGCTTCGTGTAAAGCAGGGGAATGAGCCATGAGGGGAGGGGACAGATCCGGGTGAAGCCATGCGTGGACAGAAGGTGGTTGGCTGGTTGGAATCGGCGAGGAGGGACGTAGTCGTTTAATCTTACTCTCATGGGAAGGGGAGGAAGAAGAGGGGCGTTTTGGGGTTGACATTGACATGTTTGTCCCTCTAGTGCTGTTAACTTATCTCGTGTGTTTGTATGTATATATAAACTCACCTCGAGGTATATATCGGATGTCATATGGGTTATGAGTGGGTTGTGATCAAGAAGAGTTCGGTCTCTCGGTCGTCCAACTTGGTTTCTCATTCCTCCTTCTTCTCTCATCTCTCATCAACCTCATCTTTCTCTTCATACTCTCAGGTAGTATCGAGGCAGTAAGTCAGCCATCATGTCAGCACCTTCAGGAGTCAAGGTTTCGTCAGACATCACCTCTGCTTTCACTGCAGCTCGTAATGACCAAGATGTCAGAGCACTCGTTTTCACCATCCAAGGCGGTGAGTCCTTTCCCTCTTTATACCCCCTAAGCTAGCAAGCCAAATCCTGATTCAATCTCCATACTACTCGATAGAAAGTTTAATGAGATGCTACAGAATCGTTTCAACTCCATGCGACTCTCAAAGTCAAGGAAACATTCAACGACGATATAGCCCTCCTTCCTCCTTCTCTCCCCTCCTCAAAGACCCCGGCGAGCTTTGCCTATCGACTGGATTCCAAAGACTCAGGAAAGTACGAATGGATGATGATTACTTATGTTCCTGATGATGCACCTGTATGTCAATATCCCTCATCTTCATACTTCAACTTCTGATATCCACCGAGACTACTACTCTTGTTGATGGTCAGATCCGAGCCAAGATGCTTCAAGCATCTTCGCGCTCAGCTTTGATCAAATCCCTCGGTGCTACAAATTTCAAACATGATTGGCATGCTACTTCTATAGTGAGTTTTTCTCGAAATAAACGAGAACGAAGGACTGATGAACAGGATGACCTCACTCCCAACGCTCTAACGGCTCACATGAAGCATATGGCCGCCCCTCCTCCCTTGTCAGCACAGGAAATCGTCATGGCAGGAGTGAGAGAGGCCGAAGCTGCCGAAGCCAACAGGGCACCGGATCCTGAGATTGAGGCAAGACGACGACAAGCTGTTGTGGCTCTGGGTGGGAAGATACAATGGGGAGAAGGAGTCGAAGAGGCTTTGAAGAAATGTGCAGAGAGGAGTGATGAGGGTTGGGTGGTAGTTTTGGTGAGTCTTGATCACTTCTTTGTATATTTCATCCTGCTATTGTGATGCCCTTTTTTGCATATTTAGGAAGGCGTGAGGAGCGGGATTCGGCTGACTCTCGCCAGGAAATCCCACAGAAAGCCCAGGGTTCCATCGCTTTACTCAAATCTGAAGCTTGTCCACCTTCACAAGTAGGCTCAAAGCTTCCAGACAAGACCCCATCGTACACCTTCTATTCGTACCCTACACCTCTTCCACCTGCATCGCCGGTCAAACCTGCAATGACCTCACCAGTCCCAGCATCTGCTGCTCCCGCTTCGCCGAGGAACACATTCCAAGCTACTCAAGGTGGTGTGAGAATAGTTACAGCGTCATCTGCGGAGATCGTCAATCGGTCAGACAGAAAGGACGAGATAGAAGAAAAGGTGATCATAAAGGAGGAGGAAGAGAAAGAGGCTATACAAGCAGATACCAAAGATGTAAAGGAGGAGGAGGAGAAGCACGTTGAGGAGAAGAAGGAGGAGGATGAGAAAGTGGTGGTGGAGGAGGGGGAAAACGGAAAGGGAGAGGAGGTCAAGGTAGAGGAGGAAGATGCGAAAAAGGAAGAGAAGCCAGATGAAGAAAGGGCGGACAAGGTAGAGGAAAGAGCAGAAACATCTGAAGAGATTCCCAAGATCGAAGCACTTGCTGTGGAAGATATCACTGTCCCCCAGACCGAAACGCCCAGGGCTGAACCTCGCAGTGTCAAGGGTAGAGTCGTCTTTATATATACTTGTCCAACGGCCAGTCCTGTCAAATTCAGGATGGTTTATTCCTCCAGTGTCAGGGGTGTTCAACAAGAAGCGATAGACAAAGCTGGCGTTCAAATCGTGGCTAAGGTGAGTCATCTCTTCATCCTCTTTAACTATCCCATTCTCGGCAGCTCCCACATTGAGGGTGGAGCTAACAGACAGTTGGAAACATCTGACACTACCGACATCACCGAATCTTACCTCTCTTCTTCTCTCAACTCGAAACCTTCCCACTCCTCCTCTCTCCCCAATCCCGCCATGGCCGGATTCCCATTCGGCCGTCCCAGACCCATGCCGGCTCAACCTGCCCGATCAGCCTCGCAAATTCCACTTCCATCTTCTGGTCCTGTCACTCCAGTCACCAGTGTAGCTGGGGAAGAGGATGACGGGCAAGGTGGAGTCCGTAAAGCGTTTGACTCGTTTGGACCTAGAGTGAACGCTGCGTCCAGTATGGGACCAGGGTTTGGAAGACCTTGGCCTGTAGGAAAGAAACCTCTAGCTTGACGGTTTGATGTTATTATCATGAAGAGTATGAGAGTCGGGGTGGTACATCTTCTTTCACATGTATACATGTTACGTCTCTGATGGAAAGATACGAGGGAGGCATGTATTCGGATAGTTTTATGTGTGCTGTCCACCCTCACTTACTGACTTGAATCAAAGCATTCCATGCGGTGGTCGGTAGATCACGTGACGAGAAAAAGATGAATTTCGCTTTGATTTCGTTTTCTTCACTTTTGCACCTAGTCAACCCTCTTCTTTCTTTCTTTCCTTCTTTCCTTCCTTCCTACTCTACTCTACTCCTTTCTCTTCACCCTAGATAAACTCATCCTCTCAGCTTTGAGAACCTGACAGCTCTGCAGGGGATCCCACTCACTCGACTCTTTGGATCAATCCTCTGGTAGATCACCCTTACTCACCATCTCTTCATCCATCATGTCATCCACCGCATCTGCTTCTGATGTCCCGGCCGTACCCCCTACCCAGGGATTACCAACGATAGATCATATGACTTCTCGTGATTAGTATGTTGTCTCGTCTCTTTAGTCTCTCCTTCTCCATCTCCCCGACTACCCTATTTACATCATCAGCACGGTATTCTAGTCATGTTCACAATTCTTGGCTTAAGGAATTTCGCTGATGGTGTAGTTATGCAGACAGGTAAGTTTTACGACAAGACTAGGAGTGACTTACTGATATCCCACTATAGCTATGCTCATTTTGGTGAGTATATTATCATGTGAAAACTCTTGGTGACTGACCAATTAGGGATCCACGAAGAAATGCTCAAAGATCAAGTGAGGACGTTAAGTTATCGGAACGCTATCATGCAAAACCCACATTTGTTCAAAGATAAGGTAGTATTGGATGTGAGTTTGCACATTTTATCTTCTATCGATTTTCCTTTCCCCAAAAACAATAAAAAACACTTCATCTTTCTGAAAGCCGATTGAGAACCAGCAGAGACTTTCCGACTTTCTTTTTTGTTTCGGGCCAAGGCTGAGGAGTGACAATGTACGGGCAGAGATAGAAGCTTATGACAGGTCGGATGTGGAACAGGCATCCTCTCCATGTTCGCTGCTAAAGCTGGCGCTAAACGTGTGATCGGAATTGATATGTCTAACATCCTGGACCAAGCTAAGATCATCTGTGAAGCTAATGGATTTTCGGAAGATAGTAAGTGATCATTACTCCCGACTCCCTCTCTCCATGATGAACACTACCTTCCTACCTACTCTTCCCATCTCGAAGGATACTGCAGAAGGTGTACTTTGTAGTAGCGGTCTTCATACTTTCCGGTCGACACATATAGTCATAGAATTATCGAATTTGCTGACCATCCAGAAATCACATTGATCAAAGGCAAATTAGAAGATGTCGAACTTCCAGTCAAAGAAGTGGACATTATTATCTCCGAGGTCAGCTTGCAGTCACAAGATTGATTACTCGCGTAAGCTGATAAATATCAGTGGATGGGTTATTTCTTATTATACGAATCCATGTTAGACACTGTGCTCCTTGCTCGTGATAAGTATCTGGTATGTGGGTTTTCAACTACAAGGATCATAGAACTGATATAGAGGCACCTTCAGGGATGTTGTTTCCTGATAAAGCGACGATTTTCTTAGCCGCGATAGAGGATCAGGATTACAAGCAGGAGAAAATCAATTGTGCGTTGTCCTACTTTCCAGTCACTTCTTCCTCCTGCTTTTTCACTCGTTTTCATTATGAAACAGAGGTAGGATTGTTGTTATAGATAGATTTGTCCTTACTTGGAGACAAATAGCTGACCAAACTAGTCTGGGATGACGTTTATGGTTTCGACTATTCTTGTATAAAAGACATCGCCCTTCGAGAACCTTTGGTAGACTGTGTCGAACTGAGATCCGTCGTCACTCATCCGTGCGCTATCAAACATATCGATATACGGACTGTGAAGAAGGAAGATTTATCTTTTGATGTTCCCTTTGAATTGAAGGCTACGAGAAATGACTGTAAGCCACTTGATAATTCCAAAATCCTCCCTCTTACTCTTTCCCCTGCTTTCTTCTGGCCTCTTCTTCCGCTTCCCCTGATACACACTCCGGCATGATGTACTCTGCCGCATATTTTGTCAATTCTTGCAAACTTTGGATTATCGCCAAATAATCTCGTGGACGAGCGACTCATTTCTGTCTGTTGTCTCACTTCCGGATAAGCTACAGAATCTGATAACAATCATACTTGAAAGGCATGACTGACTTGAAAGACGTCCACGCCTTCTTAGGATGGTTCGATATCTCCTTTTCTTCCTGTCACAAACCCGTCAACTTTTCAACTGGTCCTCAAGCTAAATATACACATTGGAAACAAACCGTTTTCTACACTCCTGAAACGTTGACCATCTCTGTATGTCATAGCAATTCTCTCTTTCTTTGCTTTTCCTCATTTTCTCATTCCCTCCTTCCCTCGTCCCCTCATTCCCTGATTTTCTCATTTCCTGACAGATTTTTCAATGATACCCTTCTAACTCTCCCGTATCAATTCACCATCGCACTCAAATAATTCCATTATCTGTCCGAAACGCGTGACGAAGACCCACAACTGACAACACAGGAAGGAGAGACCATCCGAGGTCGACTTACATGCGCTCCCAACGCAAGAAACAACCGAGATCTCGATATCAAGATAGATTACGAAGTCGTTGGAGTAGAGGCGATCAAAGGTAGTATGGTGTATAAAATGTGCGTAAAATCGTTTACTTTGAGTTTCAGCTGATCTGATAGGGCGTGATCCATTATACTCATCACTCATTTCAAAATTGCACATTTACTTTTACTGGAATATCATCTCAATTCCGATCACTTCTTGCTTTGCCAACGTATATCGCTTCATCCTTGAACTCTGAATATATGACCTTAACTCTTGGTTGATGTGATAGGTATTAAGATGATGGAACATATATCAGATACATACCCTCATGCATTACCCTGCATTGTGTCTGTTCATTATCTGAATCTCGTCTAAATCCAGTTTCCACCTTGATCCTGATGCCTGATCCCTGACTAGACGAGGAGGGTACCAAATGTCAAGAGGTTTGTCATGCTACTATCACCCGTTCGGTGTATCGTAAGGAAATTCCGGTCATAGGCAGAATCAGTTTTTTTTGTAGGACAAGAGTATGACTGCCAGAACTGAGATGTGAGACTAATTGAGCAGTGTCACATATGCAAAGACATAATTTAGATATGATTCCCACTTTTCCTCCTTGCCCAAGCTTCATCCAAACTCGTCAATTCAGCTTGAACTCTTTTGACACCTTCTTTCCTTTCTTTTCTCGCTTCATTCCATTCGCTAGGAATATCCACACCATCTAAATCTAATAATCCACGTAAAAGTAATTCACTCAATCTAGCATGTTCTTTCTGTAATAATCCAAATTCAGGTATTTCCTTTAATCCATTCCCTTTTTCACCTTTATCATCCTCATCTACACCCATTTTCGTATCGTTACCTTTCAACATCGTATTGGCTTCAAATGTTTTTAAAGAGGGTTCAAGAGGTTTTAATATCCCTTCCACAAGATTTTTGATCCAATCTACTAATACAACTTGATTCGTAGTTTCAGGTTGTCGATTTTTTCCTCCAATTTTCCCAGATGGTTTTATTGAGGTTTTGGAATCGTGTGGTACTTCACCTGATTTTCCAACGAGAACAAGAACACTTCCATCGGTTATACCGTATGAAGCTATGGTTGAGGAAGGGTCACGTAGGACGGAACCTTTGGATATCAATTTGAAAGAACCGATAGGAAGACCTGTTTGGGTTGAGAGGGTAGCGATAAGTTGAGAGAGTGGAGTGAGGTTCGGAGTTGGGATAGGAATGTTGAAACTGAGTTTGGTTTAGTCATATTCTTAAACATATCCGGCTGGTGGAATTGGGAATTGTTCATTATTATAGCTTTGTTTGAAGCAGGTATGATGAGGAAGGTGAGGTTTGAGTGAAGATCTGGTCAGGTTGGAGTATCTCGAAGGATAGAGGATGGCGACGAGGGATTTGATCATGAGAAATAAGAAATTACCCATATTTTCGAGGGGTGTGCTTGGAGAGGGGAGGGGGGTTCAGGTAAGATGAGCGACATATGGAAGGAAACAGAAGGGAATATCGAAGATGGAAAGAGTCGCAATGAGAGACGAATATTATGAAAAGAGAACAAATCCACTCACCGCTCACGTCCCCATTTCACTTGAATCGTTATCGCCCCTTGAGCATTCTCGGCCACAGCCCGTCGAAAAGGGTTGAAGAACGACAGGGTGGTAGCGCGAAGGATGAGAAGTGGGGAAACTGGGGGTGATTAGCATAATGATTCTTTTCTCCATCATATCCCCTACCCAAACTAGCGTCCTACTTCCCAAAACAACTTTCGTCCCCTCTTCCTCTAGTGCGATCATAGGAGAGAGTGGATGGGTTGGGGGAAGGTCGGAGAAGATATGGACGAAAGATGACATACAAATACAGTCTGTGATTGAGTACGACAGCTTGATGAATTGTCTATGTCGGTCGCGCCCATCCAGCCTTGCCAGTTTATGACAATGAAGAGGGAAGGTTTTGTACGAGGTTTTGTCGATTGTCGAGGTGAAAGAGGGGAGGTGAGGGAGAAAGGAAGTGTGAAACGGGAGTAAATCTATGTGTGGCATGTGGCACTTTCCCCTTGGTGCATGATACAACAACACTAAATCAACGGGGATTGATCCTCTGCATTAAGCGGTATAAGCTCAGAGTAGAGTACATAATCTGGAGGAGAGTTTGGTCACAAATGGTAAGCTGAGTAGATGCATGGTTGTTCACTACCATAGTCGGCTTCGAAGCTCTTGTAAAGGTGGAAGTGAGTGGACAGCGAGGATATGCCACGTGGCACACTATGACGTCAGTGGTGAGCTTGGACCCACCACCCACTCACTCTCATTCAACCAGCCCTCCCTCCCCATACTCCGTATTACTCCATATTCCATACTCAACTTCATACATCGTACCCACTCATACTCGTCCGCTAGCTACTCATAATACAACAGATATATCATCTCGTCATGTGTAAGTTTTCAGCAGTTTACAACCCTCGGAACAGGCTAACCCCCCAGCCAACATCCTCGGCCAAGTCCAATCAGCCGCCACCAGCACCTTGAACACCACTGTCAACCTGGTCAATCAAGCAGCCGCTTCCGTTTCTCAAGCTGCTAATTCCGAAACGGCTAAAAATATTCAAGCTCAAGCTGGATCCATCGCCTCCAACGTCGGTACACAAGCTTCACACCTCGCCTCAAACGTTGGTACTCAAGCTTCCAACATGGCAACCAACGTCGGTACTCAAGCCACCGCTTTGGCCGGTCAAGCCCACAAACAAGCCCATATGATCGCTCCTACTATAGTTCCTGCTCCTGCTGTTGCTGCCATCGAAACGGGAGGGACGGTGGATGAGAGCGGGGATTTGAGTCCGACGAACGAAAAGGATGTGCAAAAGATGGATAAATTATTCGCGCAGAGGGCGAGTGCGAATGAGTTACAAGAGAAGGGCATTTTAAAGGGTGGGTCGACTCATCGTTATCAACTTGTTTCACAAATATTGAAGTCCCATTTTCACACTTTATCTTTCGCATATTGGCGTCATGCGCTGTTGGATCGATACACTGGGTAGTGAGCAAGGTATGACTTGATTTACTTTGAGTATCTGTCGAGTGTGGAGGAGCATCATATGTCACACGTCATACATGAGGTCATGAACTGACAAATAGGTGAACCTGGAGATGCTTTAGCTGGAAAGAAAGCAGCTCTTGAAGGAGCCATGATGAAAGTTTGTCTCTTCCTGCTCGCCTTATATCGTCTTTGATAGCTTATTCCAATGACCAGGCTGATGAAGTAGGATAAACTAAATGAAGGTCTTGCTCAACGTCCAACAGCCGAAGAGTTGGTAAAGAAAGGTATTCTAACATGTGAGTCCATTCCGTCACGCCCCATATCAATCTCGAGTTTGTATGCTGACCGCGCCGCAGCCGAAGATCAAGTTTGAGGGGGAGTTGTGTTTCTCTTACCATATGGAGTAATCTCTCTTTCGATTGTACACGTCCCTTTTCAGTAAAAGATGGAGATTCAATCATCGTGACATGATTAAGGGAGAATTTTGTATTCAATGTACATATATGTAGGATGAAAGCAAACCTTAAAGGTACAACCCCAAAAATGTGGATCTTGTTCGGATTTCGGTTCCGGCCGAAAGAGCGCGTAAACCCCACCACAAATGTCGTTTCTCCTACCACATCTTGGCATTCCTCTACCAATCCTACATCACTCATGACCACTTGGCCTCTCCATGCCGAGGAGAGAGAAGGGGGGATGAGCTCGTCGGAGCAGTCAAGCAAGTCCTCCTTGAGTGATGCTTCCAAGAGGGAATTGAAGCCTATCGGGATCATCAACGAACATAACACTTGTTTCCTCAATTCAACATTTCAAGCTGTCAGTCTTTTCGTCTTTTACCACTCTGCCCCATTATACCTTTAGTCCTTCTCTTGTGATTCACTTCCGAGGTATGCAGTAGGTAATGATTTAACCCTGTGTACATCACCCTGAGACATGTGATGAGGGAAACATCGGCCACAACATGGAAACTTTCACATGCTGATCTTTCTTCCAGCTAAGCGCCACCCGACCATTGATATCTCTCTTATCTCAAGATCCTTCTTCCTCCTTACGGCCTCTTCCATCCCTTCCCCCACCGATCCTATCCGCTTCGAACCTACCTGTATTTCATCCGTTAGCCAACGAACCCGACCTGTATCCTCTGCTACCTATCACCCGAGCTTTCCTCTCGTCTCTACAAAAAGCCTGGAGTTTGAAAGATGCAGGAGGGGGTACTTCCGGAATCCACGAAATGGATCCTGGTAGAAATATGAGTCTCAAACCTCTTTTACGTGCCATATCCTCTAAATACGATCAATACGATGATGTCAGTCAACAAGATGCTCAAGAATTATTACGACATTTATTAGATTCAATGGAAATGGAAGAGAAAGATGTGATCAAAAAGCTTCAAGAGAAGTCAGGTTCAATTCCTATCAATGACATTACGCAAGGGAAACATAAAAGAAAAGTTATACCTGGAAGTATAACGACCAGTCCAATACAAAGTCCTTTACCAAGTCCGGAAGGTTCAGGACAGAATTCGCCTTTGGGAACGGAACAACCTTTCTTTTCTACTATGTCGGAATTGAAAGAGGAAAATCAGAGGTTGTTGAGAGCTCCGGATATGATGAATGGGTTTTCGATAGGTCAAGGGAGGAAACAACCTGGCGATTCTAGTGGGGGAGGAAGAGTGGAGAAGGGAGAAGGGGGAAAGAGTTTGATACCTTTTGTTGATGCTTTGTTTGGAGGGTATTTGGCAAGTATAATTGTTTGTGAGAAGTGTAAAGGGGTATGTAATCTTTCCACAGTCCCTCTCACCATAAACCACCCGCAAATTGCTTCTCACATCCTTCCCTCCTCGATGGATACTGTCTTCGCACATCCGGGAAGAGCAGGATGACCTCTGGTCATACTGATTTTTGAGCTTACGTTCAGGTATCACACACATACGAAGGCTTCCTTGACATTTCCCTCTCTCTGAAAAGTGATGATCCTAAACCACGTAAACGTGATCGTTTCATAGCCGCCTTTGGTTTTGGTCACAAACATCCCACCACTCATCAACTTGGCGGTCATGGTGACCCCTTCTCTGTTTCATTACCTAAAGCCGTAGTATCCGATACCGAACTATCCGACTCTGAACGTGTCCGATTCAACTTGGACGATCGTCGAAGAAGTTTAGATCATGTCGACCGTCCTGAAAGTGGTCAACTTGGAAGAAGTGGATCTAAAACATTTGGAGGATTAAAACCCAAAACATCTTTCTCATTCAGAAAAAAAGATAAATTACGTCCTGGAACTTCGAATTCCGTCATTACTTCACCAACTCCAGAAATCATTTCTCCTCAATATCACACTGTACCTCCTCCTTCAAATCCATCCAACTCTCCTCCTTTAAAACCACAAGGTCCAACACCTGCTCAAGCGGCATATATAGCACGTATACTCACTCCTCCTCGTGGATCAGAACATGCCGATCCACTAGCTCGATTACGTGCAGCTCATAATGGCGAACATGTGATACCACCGGAATCAGGATTGATAGATGCGTTGAGCGATTTCACAGCTGTTGAAGTATTAGAAGGAGAAAACGCATTTGCTTGTAAAAAATGCTGGAAATTGAAAAAAGCGTTATCGAAAAAAAGAAGTGGTAGACATGAAGCTACTGTTCCTGAAGAAGATGAAAGATCATTAGAAATTTCACCAATAATCTCAACTTCTCGTTTACCTCCTCCTGCAATATCGATTCTTTCTTCACCTTCTTTTTCCGATGAATCTCTTCCTGCAGGGTCCGTAACAAATCCCAATACATCAGATCTCATCGGACGTTCAAAATCTTTATCTTCTCAAGGTTCTAAACTTTTAAGATCTCCTTCACCGTTAAGAAAGCATTATGAAGTTTCAACGAACCCAATTCCCAAAACCGCTTCTCCTGATCCTTCCGACTTGTCGATCACATCCAATAACTCCATTACTCCAGTCACTTCCATCACATCAAATTCTTCAATCCCTCCAAGAACATCAATATCAAGTTCTAACCCTAACAGACGACCATCAGACGATCCAAGTCTCGTACGAACACAAACGGTTGATACTACCGATGCGGACTCTGATGGGTTATCATGTTCCGATTTCTCTTCCGATGAAGAACCAATTACGACGGCAGCGATCCCATTGATATCACCAGGTTTGAAACCGAAATTACCGGGGAAGAAGAAGAGTTCTCATTATGTTATGAGAAGGGCTTTCAAAAGGTATTTGATAGCGACAGCACCAGAAGTTTTGGTTTTTCATTGGAAGAGGTTCAAACAGACACATAAAGGGAGTATGTTCTATAGTTTTACGGATTTGAAAAAGTGAGTTCATGCTTTTCTCTCTACTATCATATTCCATAATCGCTCCCTTAACTCGCCTTCTTGGTCTATCTCTCACTGTCTGCTTGTCATCTCACACGGCACTGTCTACGTTTGGTCTCGTTTCCTTGTTATCACGCTCATCATCAGGGTGGACGACTTCATCTCTTTCCCCCCTAAATTGGACCTCGCTCCGTTCCTCGCACCAAACAGAAGCGACTACAAGATTGTTCAGACTACGGCGGGACCAAGGGCACCTTACATGGACTGGACGTCGGAAGCGGGACCAAAACTAGAGCCGGTCATGTACAGGTTGTATGGTGAGTGTGTCCCCTTGATTCACCATACGTTTTTACATCCTCCGACCGAAATTTTTTCTTAGCTTCTTATAATGGTACTTCCACCAGGCATTTCCTTCCCTCGGTCTCTCATATCTATACCAATCACTTACAAGCGCCATACTTCAGTGAACTCTTAATAATCTTCAGCCGTGGTCGTCCATCTCGGAACAATGATCGGTGGTCATTACATTGCCTACTGTCTCGTCGACCCCGACAAAATGTTTTCTTCAAAGTCGGATGAACCTCCAATAGACGATTTGAATAGGTTGTCCATCTCTTCAACTCCTAAAAATGAATCAGCTTTGAAAGAGGATAACCGTATATGGTGTTACTGCTCCGAGTATGTCCTCATCTTCCCTCTGAAACAAACCTGACATTACAGTACTGAAATCCGAAGAGCTGAGGAGGCTGAAGTTCTAGCTTCTAGTGCTTATCTATGTTTTGTGAGTCTAAACGAAATGATAAGAAGCTGACGAGTAGTATGAGAAGATATGATCTGTACCACAATTCTGCCAATTAGCAAAATGTCATAATAGCCAAATCATCTGTGAATCTTACTTATACATCTCTAGTCGATTGCATCATGCAGTATTTGTTTGGTCTTGACATTCTCCGATTTGATCCTGGTCATTGACGCCGTGACGACATTGAAACGAATCGTTCGTGAAACATTCTGTCAGAGGCTCCTTTCAATACTTCATCCCTTTAAAAGGTGAGCGATTGAACACCCGCCCCATCTCATACGTCAGATGTGTTGTTCATTCCTTTCACTTTACCTCCTTGATACCCTAGTACGGACATGTGACCTTCATACATGTCCTTCAAATTGGCCTTCCACTTCAATCTTTCAAATTCAGTCATCATTTTGAATTCTGACTTCACATTCAATCTCTACTTTCATCGCTCTACCCTTCCCTGTGTGTAACATCCAGTTGACCAAGCCTGCTTACCACACTGACATATACTATCTATCACAAGCAAACTATCAACAAATATTATCACCAGCAAAGTATCAACAAACACTATCACCAGCAAAGTATCAACAATACGAAGTGTACATTTGAATCAAGACCAAAAGATATCAACCAATTTTCACCATGTCCGCTTCTGAGACAACTGAGAAAACGAATAAAACAGAGAAACCACCTACCGTATTGGGGTTCTCGGCCTTTGGACTCTTCCCTGAAACAGCCTGCAAAATCTTGACAGAATCAAGAGAAGAACAGAAGGATCTATTGGAAGTTATGGACGAATATCGAGAGAGTCTTTCGATTCTTGGAAGATTGTCCGAGGTCAAGAAAGATAAAGGAATTTCTTGTGAGTAGATACCCCACTTACTTCAATACTTCATCCCTGTGATCCTACACCTGGTCATTGTGCTCTATCAAGCCACATCCAATTCACTTTCTATGATATCAGACTTTGAAAGATTGACCTCCTGGATGAAGCTCACAGTGCATCATCAGTCTCAATGCTGACTTTAAGGGTTATTGCTTAACATGACAAATTTTTCTGAAATTGAACCACCTCATGGGGAAGACTACAACATTGATGGATCATATCTCACTCATCTTCCAACATTCCTAAATAACATAGAGAAAACAATCAACAGTGTCACTCAAAACGGTCATTGGGCTAGGAGTAATGGTGAAGATACAAAGACTGAATTTCAAACTCGTCTTCGAAAAATGTCAAATGATCCAGGGGCAATCAGTGAAGATGAAGCATGGAGAGTTTGGTGGTATGAAGAAGATGCTTTGAAGGAATTAAGACAAACTATTTGTCAGCTGAGTAAGTCATGTGAAATGTTTGGTGATTCTGTAGGATGTGCGAATTGGGCACAATGGGGTTATGATTTGGAAGAAAAGGTTTGTGAAGTTGTTTCGAGAGATGATGAGGATGTTGATATGTGGAATGAAGACGAGATGGATGTTGAGATGATGGATGTGAGTTGAGGAAGATTTCCCTGTATGACTGTAAAAACGGGTGAGTTTGTACTTGGTATTGTATGGACCATACTCGATAGGTCGCTCTGTGTGATGCAAAGTACAGGTGAAGAATAACAGACCAGGTAGAGAGAGACTTGTAGGATGACAAAAAAGAGGCAATCTTGTTCTGGGTCTCAGTAGTGATACACTGTAGGGTGAAACCTATTGTACAAAACAACTAAGTCCTGCCTGTTCTTGATACACTTGAGACAACAAGAGGAGTTTTGACAGGTCTGCAATTTGTGCATGCAAGTTAGGGGAGAAAGTATGAAACATGTTTCTTCTACTTGTTTCCCAAGCTATCGACTGATCCTTTGACTTTCCAAATTGCGTGATGAGCGCTCATTTTTGGTCGTATTGCCTGGTGATCACTGACATATGTAGACAGGATATATGAGGCATCCATATTGTCAGATATCTCCAAGTCTTGATTTACTATTTTCTTGTCCTACACTTCTTAACTGTTGCCCAAAACTGTCATAAAGAAACAACATCTTCACTACTCATTTCAACCCATACTGGTATTTCCACTGTGATGAGCTATCCTACCCCTGACCAATCAGTGGCTTCGTCGGAATATGACCTTACGGTTATTCCCGCGCCTACGAGAGCCGTTCATCCTCAACTCCAGTCGTTCTCAATCTTCTCACTTTTCCCACAAACCACAAGTCAGATTGTACAAAATATCACAAGACAAGAACTGAATTCTCTTCTTGCCGAGATGGAAAAGATGCGTGGATCTATAATAGCTCTAGGAAAGTTTTCCACCAACATGGAAACCCGGCTATTGTCCTGTAAGCTTCTACCTCCTTCCATTTTTGTAAGCTGATTTATTTAGGGTCACTACAAACTACAGTAAGCCCGTTTACCATTCTTCAAGAAGTAGGACCATCCTATTTTAGAATGGAAGCTATGAATCTGCCCGAGATCGAGCCATTCGTACAAGATCTCGAAATTTCGGTGAATACTTTGAATACCGCTCCTTCCGGCTGGCCCCAAGCCCTCGATCATCGACTGAATGAACTAGCCCCATATTCGAGTACGCTCCAATCTGCTCTTGATGTCTATGAGGTTCATGATAAGGCTATGGAAGAAGTCAGAGCGTCTTGTGCTTCACTCAGGAACTCATGTGAGACAAACGGGGATGAATGGGGAACATGGTATTGGGCGCAGGACGGGATTCGGTGGGAAGGTCGGATCATTCGGCTTATGAGCAAAGAGTAAGATACTACTTTGGACCTACTCTAAGAAGAGGGGAATGTTAGTCAGGCATCCGCCAGGGAAGGGATGGTTTACGAGTACAATACGGATTGACCGAAGGTTAGATCATCGATCGACGAGGGATGACAGGACTGTTAGATTAATTGGGAATAACAATATGAAGGTGTCTGGTGGTTCAGTGTCTTAGACTTTGCCTTCATGACCAACCAGGTCACTTCACTTGTAACATTATTTCACAGAAGATCTCCTACTGTACATGCGTTTTCATGAAGGTATGAGAAGAAGAAATCGTTTCCGAGGTGGCTTGGTCTCATGACAAGGCGACCGCGGTCCGATGCGCACGGAACATCGGATGGTTCAACTTTTATGTATGTACACAAGTACGATTGATGAGTTTAAAGAAAGCGCCCCATGTCTTGCCTGTCCTTGCAACACTTGCTGGGATATGAGTGATACAACTGGCACTTATATCAAGATTGAATCTTCTAAGTAGAGTTCATATGTGGCTTTTCAGGACGGTTTAAGACTGTGAACTCCCTCCCTGATCATGACATTACAATGTGAGTCTTGAAGCATGCATGAAGGTCTGAGGCAGCATAAGTAGCATCAGTAGGGCAGAGATACAAAGTAGAAAGTTCAGCATCATGTCAGACACGTCTCATTCCCTCTTGGTAGGTCTTGATCCCCGCTGACGTCGAAACTGCTCGGATACCAACCTGATCTGCCTCAATTGCCTTTTTCACCTCGTTCTCAACTCCATATCCAACAGTCTTCCAAATCAAAGTTCCCATCTCATCCCCACAGGTCTCGCACATGGTCTCCAACATGAAAGCCGCCATATCAACTTCTTGCAATGCTTCTTCGTATACTACATGAACCCTTGTGGCAAGTTCAGGAGTACATGAATCGGGAGTCTGTTTATTTAATAGATCTCTCAAAGCCCATCTCCATCCGAAACCACTGTTATTGATGCTGGCTATGGTTGAATGAAGTGCTTGAACAGATCCCCCAAGGCTTGACAAGTATGGGGAAGGCAGGGTATAATGCCTGCTGCCTCCCTTCACCAAGCATATGAATCTGCTCAAGGAGTTCTCTAATTCCCCTAGATATCAGCATCATGGTCATGTATGTAAAACTTACAGGGAATCTGTTGATGACATGCCGAAGGAAAGAGCTTTGCTAATGTACTGATTGCAAAGGACATTTCATCCATCCTGCTCAGAAGAATCAATTTCTCTGTTCTTGTGGTCGCGCGCGCTACCTTAAGACCAATACTGGAAAAGAGAGAGAAAACGGAGAAGGGTTCAAGACCTGTGTGTGGATGTTGAACCATCGTAGAGTCCTCCTTGTATGTCTCTTCCTGGTTGGTCTGTTCCATGATAAGATTGAGTAGTTGTAAACTATCTTGAATCTCAGGTGGTGTGTTGTGAGGGCGATTTGAAGCTGGGAGATCTGAAGGTGAGGAGAATATCGAAACAAAGAGCGTTCTTTCAGTCGCCGATTTGTTTGATGTCATTTTGAGGACATAACAATATGACACACATGTAGTCATTTGGTATCATTTGGGAGAGATAAAGGAATTGTGATTTTATGTGTTTAGTAATGGTGTCTTCCTGTTTGGGAGCTTTCAGAGACTTGTCAACTACTTCAACAGTGATCTTGACCAAGGATGTTATACTGCACCGTACACATGAAAGTGTCCACCAATTGCGCGGAGTGGCTGAGTACCCGCGCATTGACTGTCAGGTCTCAGCGCCATGGAAAACACTATAGCAGGGTGTTATCCTTGTTCGACTTTATCTATCTCGAGTCGGATGTGCAGTGGTCCCAGATTCCACAAAGGAGGCTCCGTACGAACTGCTTGTCAGCGATACGCAGTTGACGTGATATCATGTCATCTCCGACCACATATCATTCGTGCGATGTCGTGCTCCCACATGTTTAGAAAGGTAAGCATGTAAGCAGAGCTTGGTTGTTACGGATTTTGAACAGAGATCCTTCATACCCCTTCCCCTGGGTAGATGTAGGTCACATCATGTGAGATATTTGAGAAAACACATTTAAAGGGCTCAGCCTGTTTGTTTCTCCCTATCTGTTTCTCCTTATTGATAATCCCTCCCAATTGCAAGTTAAGATGAGCTCATACACACAAACCAATGACCAGTCTTCCTGCGGGACACCGATGACAGGATTCACCACCTTTTACAAACCTTCATTGACTCCAGGACTTTTTCAAGCAATGATTGAGGCGCCAAAGGCCACAAGACATGCCGCTTTGAGAGAACTTGATAATGTTCTATTCTCATTGGCTCAGTTGAGTGACAAATGCCCTCCACAAATTGACACAATTACCAACACGGATAGCGTCTACTCCTTTTGTTGTCAGTGATCTCTCTCAATTCACCACCAACACAATGTCAATGTCAGAACTGACTATATGTAGGTGCTCTGACGGCTAAGTCAAGTGTAGCAGGTTTTTTATGGGACTGTGACCCCATGTCGCTCTTGATCCCCCTTGATGTTGGTTTTCAATTGCCCAAAATATATGATCGTCTTCATGAAACCTTCAGGTCTATGGAGCAACAAGGAGTTGAGCCATTTCAGCCATTCATGTATCCATATGATGTACCATCAGGAGAAAAGGCACAAACTGTCACGGCCGTCGAGCAACTTCTTCCTTATAGACCGACGGTCGACGAACCTCGGCTAACTTCACGCTTCTGAGTCGATGTCTCACCCAACCAGGAGGGCGCAGACGTCGAAAGGAGTGTAACTACGGCGTACTTTGGCATAGTTACTCTAACTAAGGCTTTGTTCTATTGATGGCGATGTATCTCGATGTATAGCTATCTCTATTTGTCTTTTACTACTGACAACAATCAAGGATCGCTGAAGAAGTTCAGCGATCTGTAAACTATCTATACTACTCCTCTCTTCTCATAGAACGTCCCTCAACTCCTGCACTGCCTCACGCTCAGTCCTCTTCGTTCAACTTTGCCGTACCTCGCCGTATCCCCGATATCCTACTCCGCTCACCTCGACTAACTTCGCCTAACTTCCCCTGTTCTGCTCTCCCTCGGTTCCCTTCCCCTAACTTCGCCGTAGTTCTCCGCTAGGCGGGGTTATCGTGACAAATACCCTCTTGGTTCTCGTAACTTCGCCGTAGTTGGTCTCAGTGGTTCGAGTGGAGGTTGGTGGTGGTGAAAAGGAAGGTCGGTGATGGTGAAAGGAGGGTCGGTGGTGGTGGTTGTCAGGGATGTTACGACGTAGTTCGTGACAGTCGCCCCCTCCTTAGGCGCGAACGTCCTCGTGAGCTTTGTATGCATGTAATGAAGAAAAGGACACTCAGCAGGTTACAGGAAACACAATTGGTCATATAACAGTTGTTGGTAGATGATACCATGGTTCGTTGTTAAACGGACAGTAAACTTCGTCGAAGTTCATCGTGGTTGCTTGTTGTTACCCTGTGGTAGTTACCTTGTAAGTGAGACAGAGGATTTGGGGTACAACAAACCTCGTCGACGTTCGTCAGCGTATCCCTAACTTATATGAATGTGAGACACGTAGCGTGGGAATTTTGATCGTCGTCATGGTGTTTGTTGTTGCTGAGACACCTTGTTATGCGAAGTTACCAGCGCCCTGACGACGAGTAGCCATGTCAGTTATACTAAATACTCAGTACTTCGGCCCACTTCTTCTTCTTTCCCAGGACTAATCCTAAATCGTACTATCATCGTCTATTGATTTCCAGTCTTTACCTTACCAAACATATCAATTTGATATATTTCAACAAAATGTCTTCTCGTCCGGAGCTCAATGCCCATAAATTTTTTGCAGATCGCTTCGCCGCTGTCCGTAAGTCTACTTGTACTCTCTATAAGCTACTTCTGTCGCTGATTGTCTTAGTCGCTCAGCAGGGGAACTCTCCCCGCCAAGTGTCGTCTATGGGCTTTGGAGCCTTAGCCATCACCGATGGCTCGCCTTCTGCTGCTGCAGCTTCTGCTGCAGTTCCTTCTGCCCCCGCGTCCCCTGCTGCGGTTACGACCCCTCTCTCCTCTGGCCAACAGGAGGTCAGACCTGCTCCTGTTGGCCCTTTGCAAGCTTCGGGTCAGTCCGCTACTGTGGTGGAAATCGACGATGATGATGAAGAGATGGATGGTGATGAGGAGGTGGTTGGTGTTCGTCGTGGTGCAGAGACGGGTGTGTTGGTTGATGATGGTGAGACGGGTGGTGCAGATGACGATGATGAGATGGGTGAGGTCGATGAAGATGAGGAAATCCTCAGTGTTGATCTCGGTGATCCGGCGCTGTTTGAGGATAGAGAAACTTGGATGTCGGAGTTGGAAAAGTTAAGCCGTATGTCCTCTTGTCATATACCCTGCTCGTAAGTGCTGACATGTAGCTGTTCGTGATAATGAGGGGTCTCCCGAATTCCGCGTACGGCTCCAGACTTCTTTCGGGAAGAAACGGGTTGCGTATCAGGAGAAGATGGATGCTTTGGCTGAGATTAAAGCCGAGAAACGTTGCCGTTCCCCTTCCGCCCACGACGAAGTAACCCCTCCTTCGGCGAAACGGGTCAAAGAGACCCCTCGATCCTCTACAGGACAGGCTGAATTGTTTCCCTCCCCTTCCCACGAGCCAGGGAGTGCTCGCAAGGCATCGTTGCGAGAACAGGATAGGCTATGGAAGTTGTTTATCGATGAAAGGGAGCGATGGGAGGTCGCCAGTATCGATGAGTCGTGTGATAGATGTCGGTAGGTTCCTTCCCTAGAAGTTTATACATCTGCTGATCAGTAGCCGTGAAATTATCACGTATGGGAGAGCGAAATGGCCGTGTCTACGACCGGTCAAACCTCATAATCGCGGGTCCCGTTGTGCCTCTTGCACTTCTGGCCCCTGCTCGTTCTGTCCCCCCAACACCGCTCGGGATATTCCTCCTAGACCTTCTGCTCCCCTCGGTCCCCCCTACACTCCGTCCGCCGCTGTTCGCCGCCGTCTCCCCACAGCCCAAGACGGAAACTATCCTTCGCGCTCTCCTTCGGCGAACTTCTCCTCTCCTGGCCCCACCTCGCCGTCACCCGGCGTCCGTCGCCCGCCTAACTCTCCCGTGGCCGGACCGTCTCGTCTCCCTGCTACCCCTTCGGCAGGTTCGTCTCGTCGCGCGCCTCGCCGTGCTCCTTCCGCCTCCCTCCAGCCCTCGACACCTATGGCTGGCCCATCTCGTCTCCCGGCTACCCCTTCTGCCGGTCCGTCTCGTCCCACCAGGAGCCGTCCTACTCCTGTGTCAACTCAAGAGGAGTCTCCTCTAAGTCTCCCTCCTGCCCTTGGGACCCGAAGCCGTCAACCATCTGTTCCTCCTGCTTCTGGGCTTTCAACTCCTGCCCCTCCCGTGAAAACTCCTCCGAAATCTTCGAAAGGGAAAGGCAAGAAGAAGAAAGCTGTCCAGTTCGAACCGGCTGTGGTGGAAAACGAAAGTACTCAGCTACCAGAGGAAATCCCTCCTTCCCTCGACCACCCCACTATCGCTCTCGATCCTCGGATACCAGAGGAGGACAAACAGCTAGCCACCTTCCGTTCCGTCATTATTGGTTTAACCACTCAATTACAAGCCAATAGACGAGATACGGCGAAGCTCGTCGAATATTGCGTGAAGTTGGTCTCCGCGATGAATACTCTCTCTTGGACAATGGCAACCCTTGTGAACTCCTCCGACATAGGGCCATTAGGGCGAACTGAGTTAGCTAGAGTCTCCCGAGAGCTCACAACGGACATGAGCGACTTCTACCGCAACCTCTTTGACTCTCCCTACCTCCTGAACCCCACTGAGTATATGCTCCCCCCTACACTGGACTGGTTAAAACCATCTCAACCAGCTCGACTCAGTTCTCAGGATGGTGCTTTCCTCGATATCCTAACTCTTCCCGCAGACTGCCTTAGGGCACTTCGTCAGTTGTGGAAATCACCTAGTCTGAGTCTCGCTCGTGATCCTGCTCTCCACTCCGCTCACATTCTCGCCTTTAACACAGCATGGAAGGAGACTCGAGCCCTCCGACGGACGGTGGCACCGAAGGTTACTGAGAGTAGTTCTGGGGGTGGTCCTGCACCGGGGAACGAGGAACAGGGAGGAAGTTCGCAGCAGTGAGTTGTACTTAGCTAATGTTGTACCAGTTGTATGAATTACTTCCTCGTTCGTGATCTTACCACTCGTCCTTTCATCGGCTTATCCGGGTGAAGTTCGTGGAACTTCGCCAATATGTCATTAGCTCCGTCCACATTCTCTACTGGTTCCCATGATACTGCGTCGTCAGAGCCCTCGTAGCCTAACCATTCTACTAGATACTCTAACTTTCCTGACCTCTTATTTACTCTCGAGTCCACAATATCCTTTACTTCCCATGATTCTCCTATGTTATCTACTTCCACTGGGCCAGGTGGTTCAGCTTGCTGACCAGGAAATATTGGAGGGTGATAGGGGCGAAGCAAGGAGACATGGAATACATCATGGATACCTGCCAT